AGCGCTTTGAGACATCTGGAAACGTGATAAGGCTCTACATCAAATGCAAGGATTATTATATTTGCACAGGTTTTGTAGAATTCTGACTGTGCAAACAATGGAAACTGCTGATGGCCACCAATTCTGGGATGTTCCCAGGGAGAGATCTGGAAGGAGTGGGTCAGCTTGGTTCATTGACCAAATGCTTGTACCTGAAAGCACGAGGAAAGCAGAGACGAGGTCTGAGAAGGCCCCAGATATGGTTGATGCCTTTTCCTCCCTGCTATGCCTCTCTTCCCATCACTCTTGACCGACTGGAAGCCAAATGCTGCCAGGAGGTAAAGGTGTCAACAATATTCGAGCCCCCTCAGACCTCAATGCCCTAAGCCATGGCCTCCCTGGTTTATTGATTAATCCAGCCCTAAATGCCACAGTTGTCTTCACCATTTATGGCAGCAGTGTGCATACAATGGACATTTTACCTCTTAGAAAGCCGGGTCAGGGACAATAGTGCTGTACACTTCTATTCTGTGGTTGCTATGGAAGAGATCAATTCAGAAATCACATAGCTGCAGACTTTTGCTTCTTATTCTATGATTGTCACAAAAGGTGTTTGTTCCTCCTCAGAATAATCATGTCACCCAAAAGGTATTCACTGTCCTATTGGGAAGCAAATGAATTTCTATTAACTTTCCAAATCATAGAATAATAATAATTATTACATTTAGTATTGCACCTTTCAAGTCAGGAGGATGTCCAACCACCAGCTCGGGTGCATATCTCTGACTATCCAGCACTTTTGGACATCCTCCTGATGTGAAAGGTGCCCTACAAATATAATTTGTTGTTGTTGTTCACAGCATTTACTGTAAAGTGTACTGTCTGTATTTTGTGGGTGAACTCAGTAGTCAATTTGTGCACAATAAGGTCCCACAGAGAGTCATGAAGATAACAACCAATTTTATTTGGGAGATTGTGGATCCTGAGAGAAACTCCTTTCTCTCTTTTCTGAGATCTTTAATGTCCACCTAAACAGACAGACAGGCTCGGATTAAAGTCTCATCAGGAGGATGACAACGCCACAAAGAACACCCCTGCATTGCATTGGAGTATCATCTTAGATTATATGAGTTCCAAGTCCTGATGTGGGGCTTGAACACACCACCTTCTGACTCAGAGAAAAGAGTGCTACTATCTGAGCCAGGCTGGCACACTTATATTAACAAAGCAGTATCTTATAAAAATACATATAATTTTGTGGTGCTGAGTTACACAGACCAGTCAGTACAGGTTCAATAAAACCAGATTCTAAATGTGCCAAATGGCCTCATTCTTTTTTCTATTTTCTATGATTATATGAGACCGGGAAAATCCTAGATTCATCCACTGTTCTCAGCTCAATTGACCAATTTTAGCTGGGGACTGAATCAAACACTGAAACACAAAAACTGAAACACATAACAACAACAACAACAACAACAAGATTCCATTTATAGAGCGCCTTTCACGTTGGGAGGACGTCCCAAGGCGCTGTACAGTTGGGTCAGGACCCGAGCAGGGGGGAAATGGTCAGGGTGAGGGGAGGGAAGGGAGGTAGCGAAGAGGGGGTAGAGAGTCGAGAGGGGAGCTGAAGGCACGGTCAAAGAGAAAGGTCTTGAGACCGGCCTTGAAGGAGGAAAGGGAGGAGGCGGCGAAGGCACTGGGGGATAGAGTTCCAGAGCCTCGGGGCTGAGAGGCTGAAGGCCCGGCCACCGATGGTAGGGCGGTTAGGGCGGGGGATGTGGAGCAGACCGGAGCCAGAGGAACGGAGGGTACGGGCAGGTAGGTAGGGGGATAGTAGGTTGGAGAGGTAGGAGGGAGCAAGGCCGTGAATGGCCTTGTAGGTGAGGATGAGGATCTTGAATTGGATCCTCTGGGGGATGGGGAGCCAGTGGAGGCGAGCGAGGGTGGGTGTGATGTGGTCCTGAAGCCTGGTGCGGGACAGTACACGAGCTGCAGAGTTCTGAATGACCTGCAGCTTGTGGAGGGAGGTGGCGGGAAGGCCGACGAGGAGAAAGTTCCCATAGTCCAGCCTTGAGGTGATAAAGACGTGGACCAGTGTTTCAGCAGCGTGAGGGGTGAGGTAGTGCCATAGTCTGGCGATGTTCCGGAGGTGATGGAAGGCGGTGCCAGTTGTGGCGCAGATATGAGGGAGAAAGGACAGCTCAGGGTCAAACAGAACACCGAGGTTCCTGAGCGGCTTTGAGAGGTGGAGAGTGCAGCCTTGGATGCTGATGCTGTCAGCGCCTGAGGTGCGGAGGCGCTGACGTGAGCCAATCAGGAGGGCCTCAGTTTTACGCACATTGAGCTGAAGAAAGTTATCTTTCGTCCAGGACTCGATGTCGGACAGGCAGCTGTCAGGACATCGGTGGTCGTGGAGTTGAGGGTAGAGGAGGAAAGGTAGAGTTGGGTGTCATCCGCATACATGTGGAAGTTAACCCCATGTCTGCGGATGAAGTCACCAAGGGGGAGCATATAGAGGGTGAAGAGGAGGGGACCGAGGACAGAGCCCTGAGGGACACCGCACGAGACACTGCGGGGGGTGGAGGAAAAACCATTCGTGGAGACAAAGTGAAGATGGTGGGAGAGGTACGACCTAAACCACTCAAGGACAGGGCCTTGAAGGTTTAGGTGGGAGGACAAGCGGTGGAGGAGGATAGTGTGGTCGACCGTATCGAATGCTGCCGATAGATCGAGGAGGACGAGGAGGCAGAGGGAGCCCTGATCACAGATGGTCAGGATGTCATTGGTGACCTTGACCAGGGCAGTTTCTGTGCTATGGGCAGCACGGAAACCCGACTGAAGGGGTTCGAATAATGAATGGTTGGAGAGGAAAGAGCGCAGCTGGGAGGCGACAACTCGTTCCAGGACCTTGGACACGAAGGGGAGGTTGGAGATGGGCCGGTAGCTTGATAGCTGCGACGCATCAAGGGAGGGTTTTTTCAAGGTGGGAGTGATGGTGGGAACAGAGCCAGAGGAGAGGGACAGGTTGACGATGTCTGTGATATGTGGGGCAAGGAGGGGCAGGAACGTAGAAATGTACTGCCAGAAGGAGACTATTTGACCCATTGTGCTTGTGCTGGCCACTGATCCAAAGAGGGGAAAAAATAATAAATTATTTAGGATGACCTCTCCTTATCACAGTCCAGCCATCGCTACCGAAAATCTCCAAATGCTGATTGCCAGACTGGATGGGAGTTGTGATTGCCTGATGCTCACTGGTGTTGAGATGCCGTTTGTCTGTTAAAAATCCCATGATACTGTTTGGAAAGAGAGGAGAATTTTCTTTTTGTCTGAGACAACAATTTTCCAAGTCAATTGATCATTTATTTCACAGCTGTATGTGGGATTTTGTTGGAAAAAACGGTTATCCTGCTTGGCTAGAAACACAGTCTCCAAACTGTTAAGCAATTTGAGACATTTTGAGACATTTAAGCTTCTTTTAAAATGTAGTTTGTTTTCATTCTTTGGATCCGATGGAAAATGAAACTGTTGTGGGCATCATATCAAATACCAATCAGGATGCCACCATATTGTTTTTTCTCAAAAACTTCGCATGTGCTTTCTGCATACCAAATAATAATGAATGATTATCCTTACATTTGATATATATATATATACATTTCACCTCAAAAAGACGTCTCAAAAAGCTGCATCGGACTCACTGTGAAGTGTAGTGATTGCAAATTGGTAGGCAAAAGTGACAATTTGATTAGTAAATTAATCTACCTGCATCAAATTGGTTTCATGTATGGCAGGTCTTCCACTAATAATGGATGTTACTTAAGTAGGGAATTTCTCCTGGTGTCCTGGCCACCAATCTCCCAAATCATTCACTTCATGGTTGCTTGTGAGACATTGCTGCACACAAATTGGCTGATCGGTTTGCCCACAGTATATATATCCTGTGAAGCGCTTTGGGACATCTTCCATATATGAAAGATGTGAAATTCTTTCATGCAAACCTCTGGTTTCACTTCCCAATCTTTAATAATGCAATACTCACCCCAGTTCTTCATTTTGGTGCAACAAATTCAATAGTATCCTAAAATTGGAATGTGGCTTATCAATTGCCCCACTCTAGGCTTACTCAGCACCAGCTGCTTAATTCAGGTCCTTATGCAGGGGCCTTGGCAAATAGATGTGTCCGCTGTGAAAGTCGTCTCTGTCAATATATTTAGCAACAGATTAGTGTAGGTGGAGTCCTCTCTCTCTGCAACCACTTCCTGGGTTTGCCACACATTTCTGGTGTGCTATAAGTAATCACTCACCATTCCAAAAAATGTGAGGAAGCAATCAATATCTATAAAAATCAATACAAATTTATCAGTCTGGAGCAGCGGTAGCACTCTCTCCTCTGAGTCAGAAGGTTGTTGGTTAAAGCCCCACTTCGGGACTTGAAATCACATAGTCGAAGATGACACTCCAAAGCAACAACAAATTACATTTGTATAACAGTACTGGGGCTGTGTTGTCAATAGAGTACGAAAGAATGACTGGTACCTTCCTATGAAATTTCATCGTGCCCCCATGAAATGATCCCCCAGATTGAATAATAATCCTTGCATTTGATATTGTATTTTCCATCTCAAAGCAGTCAATATGATTTATCAAATGTAGTAACTGCATATTTGGTAGAGAAATAGAGCGTCCAATTTGCACACAGCAACGTTCCACAAACAGCTATGAAGTGAGTGATCAATGTTACCTGAGCGACTGTTGGTCACGAAATGGGAGAAATTCCTTGCTCCTTTTTGAAAAGTGCCATGGGGTCAGCATTCACCTGAACAGGCAGACGGGATCTCAGTTTAAAGTCTCATCTGAAGTGTGGCACCTCTAATAACACAGCACTCACCCAGCATTGCAAAACAGTGTCATTCTAGACTGTGAGTTCAAAATCAAAATTAGTTTAAAGTCCGAAGGTGCAGATCCACAACCTTTGGACTCAGAGGCAAAATTCTATAAACAGAGCCAGGTTGAATCAGGAGAGGAGGGGAAGAAAATTGGATAGGTGAGAATAAACTTTACAAGACTTTCACTGTTACTAAAACATTCTGAATAAATAGAAGTGCAAGCATAGTAGCTAGATGGTTATTTATAAAATCTTACTCATTATTTTAAGTGCTTTGAGTCACTACCCTATATGAAGGGCAATGTATGATTGCTAATTCTTGCTGTTGTAGTCAGCCATTTGCTGGGTGGTTTGTTGTCATTATTGTTGATATCAATCTGAAATGTGATACAGTATTTGGTTGCAACTATCCTTGAAAAAGAAAAACTTTTTCTTAGAAAGAAAGAAATTGCATAATTCAATTGATCATACCACACTGAGATCTAGTTTTAACCCATTACTGCCAGGGTGTTCAAGGAATCTCTTTCTCCCTGGGTTGTCTGGTTCTAAATATCTGTTTAATGAATACTGTTCATTCCCCGCAATCTTGTATTTGTTTTACCATATAAGATAGGGATAAATAAATTCAGCTGAACAGAATCCCATCACTTTGCTTCAGAGTATCCAAACGAAAGTATTACGTTTTTCTTACGTTGATGGAAATTTCCATTTGTCTGGTATAGAGCGCAAACTCTCTCCCTGTAGGAACGCATTTTGCTTACTTAGTCTTACAGAGTTTAGGCGCAAAATGGAATTGCATTAACTCCCAAAACTATTTTGTAATTCCTGAATGTCTGCTCTTAAACATTCCCGCTTGTTCTCCAGCGAAGTGCTTGGTTACTTATACATGTGCCTGTTCCTACTAATTTATATGTTACTAGAATGTAAGGAAAACATATTCAAATTGCACAGAATTTTGCATGCCTTCTGAAACCCTGCCTATTTCAGCTAAAATCAATAGTAATAACAATATCAAGAGGGGGATCAAAATTGAACTGCAGGAACATTTCGATGCTTTGGTTTGAATTTTAACAAGAATGCATCTTAAATTGTTGCACAATTCCTATTCGTCTTTCAAAATAAATGTCTTAATCGAGAAGTGCACAGAATTTCTACTAGCCAATCAATTGACATACCCAAGCAAGATTTCTTTTCCCCGCTTCCCCTTTGTTCACTGTTAAGGGCATTGGCTGCCGACATTCACTTCATCATTCATTCTCTAAATGAGTCACAACCGAAACTGCGAACACTTTATAAGTTGAGTTTCTTCAAGGGCAATCTTGCAAGCATCTGCAGTAAGTATTGCTCTTGTATACTTTCGATGTAACTAGCCTTGTTTTAGCACATTTAAGTAGCTCTCACATTTTATTCAAGATAATGCAAAACAGGTATCTACAACAACAAGATAACAAGATTTCATTTATAGAGCGCCTTTCACGACGGGAGGACGTCCCAAGGCGCTGCACAGTTGGGTCAGGACCCGAGCAGGGGGGAAATGGTCAGGGTGAGGGAAGGGAAGGGAGGGAGCGAGGAGGGGGTAGAGAGTCGAGAGGGGAGCTGAAGGCTCGGTCAAAGAGAAAGGTCTTGAGACCGGCCTTGAAGGAGGAAAGGGAGGAGGCGGCGAAGGCACTGGGGATAGAGTTCCAGAGCCTCGGGGCTGAGAGGCTGAAGGCCCGGCCACCGATGGTAGGGCGGTTGGGGCGGGGGATGTGGAGCAGACCGGAGCCGGAGGAACGGAGGGTACGGGCAGGTAGGTAGGGGGATAGTAGATCAGAGAGGTAGGAGGGAGCGAGGCCGTGAATGGCCTTGTAGGTGAGGATGAGGATCTTGAATTCGATCCTCTGGGGGATGGGGAGCCAGTGGAGGCGAGCGAGGGTGGGAGTGATGTGGTCCCGAAGCCTGGTGTGGGACAGTACACGAGCTGCAGAGTTCTGAATGACCTGCAGCTTGTGGAGGGAGGTGCCGGGAAGGCCGGCGAGGAGAGAGTTCCCATAGTCCAGCCTTGAGGTGATAAAGACGTGGACCAGTGTTTCAGCATCTAGTAATAACTGCTGAAAAATTATTTATATTGTATTTAGTAATTGAGCTACATTTTACACCATGAGCTTAACCTGCCATCAGCTACCAGGGAACAAGCCTAACCTGTACCATGGGTATTTTATCCTCCTTATCTTTTCCTCGTTGATGCAAGGTATTCTTTAACAGTTCTGCCATTTCCTTATTATCAATTATAGTTTTCCCTGCAGCTGTTTTTAACTGAACCACCTCTTATTTTACCACTTTCTCTTAATATATCTGTAAAACCTTTTACTGTTACCTTTGATATCATCTGCAAGCTTTTTTTCCATTTTTCCCTTATTGTTTGCTTTGTTGCTCACTAGGCAGTGTTGTCAATCCTCTGCCTTTCTATTTTCATTTTCTGTTTTGTACGCCTTTCTCTTTTTGTCTGATGTTTTCCTTTACTATTTTTCTACAAAAAAGTTTAACTTTTGTTTGACACCCAAAAGTTCCACCTCTGTCATTTAGGGGTATGTATTTAGCTTGCATCTTGTTACAATTACAACTTTAAATATTTTTCACATGTATTTTTGTCAACTAACATTGCATCCCATTTAACTGTCAACTATTCCTTTTTCACACCTTCAAGATTAGCTTTGTTTAAATTTATAAACATAGTCTGTGTCCTCCCCTTCTTTTCAAACACCGTATTAAGTTCAATTAGCCTAACCACCATAGCATTAATCATATCTGGTTTGTTAAGAATCACCAAATCTAGTAGTACCTGCCCTTGTAGGTTCAAAGACATACAGTTTTAGAAAACCTATCCTATACGCATTCCAAAAATGTACCGCCCTTATTACTAGTGCTGCTGTAATATTCCCCGTTTATATAATGATCATAGTTACCCTAATAACTACCTTACTTTGCTGCATCCTTCTCTGATCAGTTCCTATATCAAATGCAAGGATTATTATTATTATTGTTATTATTGATATTATTATTGTTATTTCATTCAGATGTTTCTACTGGTAACAATTCTGTTGTTGAGGGAAGTGGTTTCTGGAGCAGTGCTATGCCCAGATCAAAGTCAATGCCCGGAAGGAACAACATGCTGTCTGATGCAAAGTAGTCAATATGGCTGCTGTCCGGTTCCAAAGGTATGTCATAAATGTCAGGTACAAAAGCAGAACTGGATTGGGTGTCAGTGAGACATGTCTCAATGCATTTAAGAGGAAACTCAATCTTTACATAAGAGGCAGAGGGAAATATAGGGGAAGGCTGGGAGGGGGAAATCAGATTGAACTATAAACACTAGCATGAACTACATGCCAAAGAGATTGTCCTGGAAGATGGATGTCTTCAAATGATTACCTAACATTTTGTTCATATGTGCCAAATAGCCTGTTTGGTGGTCATTCTTCTTGACAGAGACCCTGCCTGGACTTCTTAAATTTAGGCAAATATTGGAGTCTAATCTTTTAACAGGATTTTTTATTTAATTATTTAGAGATCGTATCACAGATAAGTATTTTTCATTGGTCCCATCTTTTACACACTTATCCATTCCTAGGTTCCTAAACTTTTTTCATTCTTGCCCGATTAAATAAAAAAGATTTAGCAAATAATATTTTGATCTTCAGCAAATGAAATTCTAAAGAAAAATCACTGTAATTTTTGTTAATTACAAAAGACGATTATATATGGAAAGAATATTTGTGTTTTTAAATGTGTTGACATGCTAATTTACTACCTACTATACATTTTCAGGGTGTTTGTTGTTCAGACCATCAGCATTGTTGCCCACAAGGGTATAACTGTAATAATGAAACGTGTGTGAAAGGAGGTCTTAGCATTCCTTACATCAACAAGATCCCTGTCTTGGAGAGATTGATTGCTCGCAACAGCATTGAGAGCCACAGCACAAAAGTATTCTGTGATGCCATTCATTACTGTCAAGGAGGAAATACATGCTGCAGGAATCGAACTGGAGAATGGGCTTGTTGCGGTTATCCTCAAGTAATTACCTTACATTTGGTTTATGTGTATAACATATTGAGTGGGTTAAAAGTACAGAATATCCTAATTGTCCAATATTTGCTTAGATTGGAAAGAAAGCATACCATCCATCTATTTTCATTATATACTGACTTGTACATTCATTGCGAAATATGTTGCTCTCTTTACATGATGCACTGTTAAAACTGGCCTTCAGATATTCAAAACTAAGTAGTCACTGCAGCAAACGAGAGTCTAGTTGTATTTAGATCTGCACACACAATATGTTTGTCAACTGTAATCTAATCTATAGATTCTTACCAGCAATTTGCAAAAGACCATCAACACAAAAATTCTGTCTTTGTGCTGATTACAGAATAAATAAACAAGGAGATTACACAAGGAATATAATTTGATCAAGAGGTCCAGATGATAATTGAAAGGGATTAGACCTTTCAAGTAATTTAATTGCATCTATATCTTGTTTTACTTTCTTTATCCCAGCAGGTAGTTAGCTCACTGATATGTGGAATTCTCTGCCCTAGAAACTGTAGAAATGGAATTGATAGGGATTTAAAAACAAATTATAGACAGATACTTGAGTAGAAGTATTAATGGTTTTGGTGAAAGGACAGGACATTGTGTGTTAGCTTGACTTGGTGGAAGCACTCTCGTCTCTGAACCAGAAGATTGTGGGTTCAAGCCCCACGTCAATACTTGGAATCCCATAGTCTAAGATGACAATTCAATGCACTGCATTGTTGTAGGTGCTGTCCTTCGGATGAGACATTGAACCGAAGTCCCATCTGTCTGTTCAGGTGAATGCAGAAGATCACATTGCACTATTCAAAAAGAGAAGGGAATTTATTCTGATGTCCTGGCCAACAATCCCCCAAATAAAATTGGTCACTCGCTCCATTGCTGTTTGTGGGACATTGTAAACTGGCTGCCGCGTTCTGCCCATAAAATATACCAGTGAATTAAATTACCTTTGTTCCGATTTTATCTACTCTTTTAATCCTGGTTATATCCTGCTCCATGGGTATGGCCCTTCAACTAGGTTGACCAATAAACAAAATGTTAGAATATTGCTACAGTAATTATTAACTTTCAATTTATTTCTTATCGATTTAGGCTACTTGCTGTGCTAATGGCCTAAACTGCTGTCCTAATGAATTCACCTGTGAAATCTCTGCATCAATTTGTACACAAAATGGTCTCAAAATCCCAATGGAAACAAAGAAACCATCACAAAAGATAATAAGTCTGAGCAGCAGTGTGAGCAGTGACAGCTCAGCTGTTAAGTGTGATAGTGTGCATTCCTGTCCAGATGGAAACACTTGCTGTCGACAAAACACTGGACATTGGAGCTGCTGCCCCCATCCTCAGGTAGGTTACAATCTCTCCAGTTTAAAATCACACTGTGCAATGCCAGTGATCTCAGTATTCAAATTGCCTTTCAGTTTCTACACCTGATGCTAGGTTTGCAAATATTTGCTCTCATAGAAACTCTGACAATTAACTCGGCTATCAGTCGCCTGGTGACTGGAACTGTTTCATTTCCCCCCAACTGCTTCTGTGGTATCACCTTGTGGTCAAAAGAATGGCATTTCCCCCAACACAAAGTGACCTCAACAACCAAGGAGTTAGTATCCATTTTCAACAATAGCATCTAAATCAAGTGCTTAAGGTGCCTAACAGTGATCTAGTGTGCATTAAAGTTACAATAATGCATTATATGTAAGATAAGAACTGACAATAAAATATGATATTGTCAAATTTCAGTTTTTTACAGCTAAAGCTACTGCCATAGTGAGACTTGTTATTGGTGATTACTTCACTTTACATAAATGAATCATAAGTATTATAGAAAGAGGGTGGGGGCAGAGTGGCACAAGGCCCACCGCCAATAGTGGGGAAGCGAGGCGGGTGTTGTGAAACAGGTCGGAGCCCGCTGAGCGGAGGGAGCGAGCAGGATGGTACGGGGTTAGGAGGTGGCAGAGGTAGGGGCGAGCAAGACCATGGAGGGCTTTGAAGGTGAGGACCAGGATCTTGAACTGTATCCTCTGTGTGATGGGAAGCCAGTGGAGTTGGGTGAGGATGGGTGTTATAGGGTCACCGAGTCTGGTGCGGGAGAGGACATGGGCTGCAGAATTCTGGATGATCTACAGCCTATGGAGGGAGGAGTTGGGGAGGCCAACAAGCAAGGAGTTTGCATAGTCAAGCCTCGATGTAATGAAAGCGTGTATGAGAGTTTCAGTGGCCTGTGGAATGAGACAGTGGCGGAGCCGGGCGATGACGAAACACATCTTCACACCATAAATGTGAAGATGTGTTTCCTCACCGCCAGCTATAAGTGAGTGTTCTCCAGCTTGAAGGTATGACCTCTGGTTCTGGAATAACAATAACAACAGCAAATTAGATTTGTATAATGTCTTTCATGTCGGAAGGACAACCCAAGGCGCTAGACAGAGGGATTTGGACCCAAGCAGGGGATTGGGAACAGTTGGGGTGGAGGGCAGGGATGGTAGGGATAGGAGGGTGCCAAAGGCACGCTCAAAGAGGAGGGTTTTGAAACAGGCCTTGAAGGAAGCAAGAGAGGGAGCGAGACAACAGCAACAACAACAGCTTGCATTTATATAGCGCCCTTCACTCCAGGTAGGGTCCCGGAGAGCTTAGCATTGGCGGACTCTGACCCCGAGAAAGACGGTTGGCGCAGTCAAGCGTAGGTGTGATGAATTTGTGGAGGGTCTCAGCAGCCTGAGGGGAGAGGCATTGGTAGAGCCAGGAGATGTTGCGGGGTATGGGGAGGCAAAATGGTTCATGGCACGAATATGGGGTATAAAGGATTGATGGCTTAGAGAGTACCAAAGAGGCAAAGTGACTGTGGGCTGGAGTTCAAAAAGATGTGAGCAGAGAGGCTAAAGGTCCGACCGCCGATGGTGGGGCAGGCTGGTCATGGATGTGATGAGCAGAGGGAGCTAACAAGTTGATAAAGGGTTAGCAGGTCACAAAGGCAGGGGAGAGCAAGGCCGTGGAAGGATTTGAAGGCAAGTATGAGAATTATTAACTCTATCTTCTGGGGGATGGGGAGCCAGTGGAGCTGGGCGAAGTGGGGGTGTGATGGTGTTACAGAGCCTTGTGCAGGATAGGAGATGAGCTACAGAGTACTGCATGATATGCAGCTTGTGGAGGGAGGATTGGAAGCAGTGAGGTTGCACAGTTAAGCCCATATGTGATGAATGTGCGGATGAGTGTCTCGGCCGACTGAGGGGAGAGGCAGTGGCAGAGAGAGGCGATATTGCGGAGGTATGGAGAGGTAGAATGGGACATGGCATAGATGTGGGACATAAAGGACTCAGGGCTTGCAGCAAAGCCTTCCATGTGCTGAATACGTGGTGATAATGTTGAATGTCCCCCAGAGCGTGAGCATGGAGCAGTTTGAAGGTGACGACCAGGATCTTGAACTGTATCATCTGTGTGATGGGAAGCCAGTGCAGTGGGGCGAGAATGTGGTGGTAGGGTCACGGAGCCTGGTGCGGGAGAGGACAAGGGCTCCAGTGTTCTGGATGATCTGCAGCCTATGGAGGGAGGAGTTGGGGAGGCCGACAAAAAAGGGGTTTGCGTAGTCAAGCCTCGATGTAATGAAAGCGTGTATGATGGTTTGGGCAGAATGAAACAGTGGCGGAGCCGGGTGATGAGGAAACACATCTTCACCCCATAAGTGCGAAGATGTGTTTCTTCACCCCCAGCTATAAGTGAGAGTTCTCAAGCCAAGCCTTCGCTTTGTTCTCTTGCAGCAAAGCCTTCCATGTGCTGAATATGTGGTGATAATGTTGAATGTCCCCCAGAATTTCTTGGCAAATCAACTTATTTATTCTACAGCAGTTTATTTTCCTCGTGAAATCTATTTCACTATTGTTGATGTTCTGACCGCAACTCGGCTGTCAGTCCTCTGGTGATTGGAATTGTTTCCTTTCCCTCAACTGCAATTGTTTCCTTTCCCTCTACTGAAATATCAACTTCCTAGTTCAGTGACAATTGCCATTGGTGACTACTTTACTTTACACAAATGAATAATAAGTAAGTAATTCTACATTTCTGGTTTCTATTTAGACTGTCTGTTGTTTTGCTGGAACAATGTGCTGTCCCAAAGATTACACAAGTGGTGTTTCCACTTCATCCAGAGCAATGAATGGCCTGAGCATTCCACTGGTGAGCATGATATCTGCAGTGGAGTCAGCTCTGAGCACCAGTGTGAGCAGTGACAGCTCAGCTGTTAAGTGTGATAGTCTGTATTCCTGTCCAGATGGAAACACTTGCTGTCGACAAAACACTGGACATTGGAGCTGCTGCCCCCATCCTCAGGTATGTTACAATTTCTCCCGTTTCAGAACATATTGTGCAATACGAGTAATCTCAGCACTCAAGTTGCCTCTCTCTTTCGACTCTTCATGATGTTATGGTAAATCTGACAATCTTCTCTCCTGTGAGAAATCCGTCTGGACCTCTCTTAATGAATGCAATACAGTTGACATTTAAAGGACAAAGGTTGCAGAGTTCTGGTTGGTCATCTCTTGGAGGGCAGAGATGGAGAGTCTGGCAAGCAGGGTATTAGTGCAGTTAAGCATCGACTTGATGAAAGCGTGGATGAGGGCCTTGGTGATCCCTTGGGAGTGTGTACTATTTGCACAGATAACATCACGGGAGAGTTTGTTCCATGTGACTACCGCAACCACAAACAACAACAACAAAGTTACAATTGTATAGCGCATTTCGCATCGGGAGGACGTCCCAAGGTGCTGGATAGACGGAGTTGTGGACCCGAGCTAGGGTTCGGGAATGGGGAGGGCGGAGGGCAGGGGGCAAGCATGGAGATCGAAAGAACGGTCGGAGAGGAGGGTCTTGAGATGGGTCTTGATGGAAACAAGGGAGGGGGCGAGGCGGAGGGACTGCAGGATGGAGTTCCAGATGGTGGGAGCAGAATGGCAGAAGGCCCACTCGCCAACAGTGTGGCGAGCGAGGAGGGCGATGTGAAGCAGGTCAAAGCCCACTGACCTGAGAGATCGAGCAGGATGGTAGGGTGTTAGGAGGTCGCAGACGTAGATGGGAGCGTGAGCATGGAGCAGTTTGAAGGTGACGACCAGGATCTTGAACTGTATCATCTGTGTGATGGGAAGCCAGTGCAGTGGGGCGAGAATGTGGTGGTAGGGTCACGGAGCCTGGTGCGGGAGAGGACAAGGGCTCCAGTGTTCTGGATGATCTGCAGCCTATGGAGGGAGGAGTTGGGGAGGCCGACAAAAAAGGGGTTTGCATAGTCAAGCCTCGATGTAATGAAAGCGTGTATGATGGTTTGGGCAGAATGAAACAGTGGCGGAGCCGGGTGATGAGGAAACACATCTTCACCCCATAAGTGCGAAGATGTGTTTCTTCACCCCCAGCTATAAGTGAGAGTTCTCAAGCCAAGCCTTCGCTTTGTTCTCTTGCAGCAAAGCCTTCCATGTGCTGAATATGTGGTGATAATGTTGAATGTCCCCCAGAATTTCTTGGCGAATCAACTTATTTATTCGACAGAAGTTTATTTTTTTCGTGAAATCTATTTCACTATTGCTGATGTTCTGACCCCAACTCGGCTGTCAGTCCTCTGGTGATTGGAATTGTTTCCTTTCCCTCAACTGCTTCTGTGGTATCACCGCGTGCTCCAAACAATGGCTCTTCCCCAATACAAATTGTTTCCTTTCCCTCTACTGAAATATCAACTTCCTAGTTCAGTGACAATTGCCATTGGTGACTACCTTACTTTACACAAATGAATAATAAGTAAGTAATTCTACATTTCTGGTTTCTATTTAGACTGTCTGTTGTTTTGCTGGAACAAGGTGCTGTCCCAAAGATTACACAAGTGGTGTTTCCACTTCATCCAGAGCAATGAATGGCCTGAGCATTCCACTGGTGAGCATGATATCTGCAGTGGAGTCAGCTCTGAGCACCAGTGTGAGCAGTGACAGCTCAGCTGTTAAGTGTGATAGTGTGTATTCCTGTCCAGATGGAAACACTTGCTGTCGACAAAACACTGGACATTGGAGCTGCTGCCCCCATCCTCAGGTATGTTACAATTTCTCCCGTTTCAGAACATATTGTGCAATACGAGTAATCTCAGCACTCAAGTTGCCTCTCTCTTTCGACTCTTCATGATGTTATGGTAAATCTGACAATCTTCTCTCCTGTGAGAAATCCGTCTAGACCTCTCTTAATGAATGCAATACAGTTGACATTTAAAGGACAAAGGTTGCAGAGTTCTGGTTGGTCATCTCTTGGAGGGCAGAGATGGAGAGTCTGGCAAGCAGGGTATTAGTGCAGTTAAGCATCGACTTGATGAAAGCGTGGATGAGGGCCTTGGTGATCCCTTGGGAGTGTGTACTATTTGCACAGATAACATCACGGGAGAGTTTGTTCCATGTGACTACCGCAACCACAAACAACAACAACAAAGTTACAATTGTATAGCGCATTTCGCATCGGGAGGACGTCCCAAGGTGCTGGATAGACGGAGTTGTGGACCCGAGCTAGGGTTCGGGAATGGGGAGGGCGGAGGGCAGGGGGCAAGCATGGAGATCGAAAGAACGGTCGGAGAGGAGGGTCTTGAGATGGGTCTTGATGGAAACAAGGGAGGGGGCGAGGCGGAGGGACTGCAGGATGGAGTTCCAGATGGTGGGAGCAGAATGGCAGAAGGCCCACTCGCCAACAGTGTGGCGAGCGAGGAGGGCGATGTGAAGCAGGTCAAAGCCCACTGACCTGAGAGATCGAGCAGGATGGTAGGGTGTTAGGAGGTCGCAGACGTAGATGGGAGCGTGAGCATGGAGCAGTTTGAAGGTGACGACCAGGATCTTGAACTGTATCATCTGTGTGATGGGAAGCCAGTGCAGTGGGGCGAGAATGTGGTGGTAGGGTCACGGAGCCTGGTGCGGGAGAGGACAAGGGCTCCAGTGTTCTGGATGATCTGCAGCCTATGGAGGGAGGAGTTGGGGAGGCCGACAAAAAAGGGGTTTGCATAGTCAAGCCTCGATGTAATGAAAGCGTGTATGATGGTTTGGGCAGAATGAAACAGTGGCGGAGCCGGGTGATGAGGAAACACATCTTCACCCCATAAGTGCGAAGATGTGTTTCTTCACCCCCAGCTATAAGTGAGAGTTCTCAAGCCAAGCCTTCGCTTTGTTCTCTTGCAGCAAAGCCTTCCATGTGCTGAATATGTGGTGATAATGTTGAATGTCCCCCAGAATTTCTTGGCGAATCAACTTATTTATTCTACAGCAGTTTATTTTCCTCGTGAAATCTATTTCACTATTGTTGATGTTCTGACCGCAACTCGGCTGTCAGTCCTCTGGTGATTGGAATTGTTTCCTTTCCCTCAACTGCTGTTTCCCCTCTAACTGAAATATCAACTTCCTAGTTCAGTGACAATTGCCATTGGTGACTACCTTACTTTACACAAATGAATAATAAGTAAGTAATTCTACATTTCTGGTTTCTATTAGACTGTCTGTTGTTTTGCTGGAACAAGGTGCTGTCCCAAAGATTACACAAGTGGTGTTTCCACTTCATCCAGAGCAATGAATGGCCTGAGCATTCCACTGGTGAGCATGATATCTGCAGTGGAGTCAGCTCTGAGCACCAGTGTGAGCAGTGACAGCTCAGCTGTTAAGTGTGATAGTGTGTATTCCTGTCCAGATGGAAACACTTGCTGTCGACAAAACACTGGACATTGGAGCTGCTGCCCCCATCCTCAGGTATGTTACAATTTCTCCCGTTTCAGAACATATTGTGCAATACGAGTAATCTCAGCACTCAAGTTGCCTCTCTCTTTCGACTCTTCATGATGTTATGGTAAATCTGACAATCTTCTCTCCTGTGAGAAATCCGTCTAGACCTCTCTTAATGAATGCAATACAGTTGACATTTAAAGGACAAAGGTTGCAGAGTTCTGGTTGGTCATCTCTTGGAGGGCAGAGATGGAGAGTCTGGCAAGCAGGGTATTAGTGCAGTTAAGCATCGACTTGATGAAAGCGTGGATGAGGGCCTTGGTGATCCCTTGGGAGTGTGTACTATTTGCACAGATAACATCACGGGAGAGTTTGTTCCATGTGACTACCGCAACCACAAACAACAACAACAAAGTTACAATTGTATAGCGCATTTCGCATCGGGAGGACGTCCCAAGGTGCTGGATAGACGGAGTTGTGGACCCGAGCTAGGGTTCGGGAATGGGGAGGGCGGAGGGCAGGGGGCAAGCATGGAGATCGAAAGAACGGTCGGAGAGGAGGGTCTTGAGATGGGTCTTGATGGAAACAAGGGAGGGGGCGAGGCGGAGGGACTGCAGGATGGAGTTCCAGATGGTGGGAGCAGAATGGCAGAAGGCCCACTCGCCAACAGTGTGGCGAGCGAGGAGGGCGATGTGAAGCAGGTCAAAGCCCACTGACCTGAGAGATCGAGCAGGATGGTAGGGTGTTAGGAGGTCGCAGACGTAGATGGGAGCGTGAGCATGGAGCAGTTTGAAGGTGACGACCAGGATCTTGAACTGTATCATCTGTGTGATGGGAAGCCAGTGCAGTGGGGCGAGAATGTGGTGGTAGGGTCACGGAGCCTGGTGCGGGAGAGGACAAGGGCTCCAGTGTTCTGGATGATCTGCAGCCTATGGAGGGAGGAGTTGGGGAGGCCGACAAAAAAGGGGTTTGCGTAGTCAAGCCTCGATGTAATGAAAGCGTGTATGATGGTTTGGGCAGAATGAAACAGTGGCGGAGCCGGGTGATGAGGAAACACATCTTCACCCCATAAGTGCGAAGATGTGTTTCTTCACCCCCAGCTATAAGTGAGAGTTCTCAAGCCAAGCCTTCGCTTTGTTCTCTTGCAGCAAAGCCTTCCATGTGCTGAATATGTGGTGATAATGTTGAATGTCCCCCAGAATTTCTTGGCGAATCAACTTATTTATTCTACAGCAGTTTATTTTCCTCGTGAAATCTATTTCACTATTGTTGATGTTCTGACCGCAACTCGGCTGTCAGTCCTCTGGTGATTGGAATTGTTTCCTTTCCCTCAACTGCAATGTTTCCTTTCCCTCACTGAAATATCAACTTCCTAGTTCAGTGACAATTGCCATTGGTGACTACCTTACTTTACACAAATGAATAATAAGTAAGTAATTCTACATTTCTGGTTTCTATTTAGACTGTCTGTTGTTTTGCTGGAACAAGGTGCTGTCCCAAAGATTACACAAGTGGTGTTTCCACTTCATCCAGAGCAATGAATGGCCTGAGCATTCCACTGGTGAGCATGATATCTGCAGTGGAGTCAGCTCTGAGCACCAGTGTGAGCAGTGACAGCTCAGCTGTTAAGTGTGATAGTGTGTATTCCTGTCCAGATGGAAACACTTGCTGTCGACAAAACACTGGACATTGGAGCTGCTGCCCCCATCCTCAGGTATGTTACAATTTCTCCCGTTTCAGAACATATTGTGCAATACGAGTAATCTCAGCACTCAAGTTGCCTCTCTCTTTCGACTCTTCATGATGTTATGGTAAATCTGACAATCTTCTCTCCTGTGAGAAATCCGTCTAGACCTCTCTTAATGAATGCAATACAGTTGACATTTAAAGGACAAAGGTTGCAGAGTTCTGGTTGGTCATCTCTTGGAGGGCAGAGATGGAGAGTCTGGCAAGCAGGGTATTAGTGCAGTTAAGCATCGACTTGATGAAAGCGTGGATGAGGGCCTTGGTGATCCCTTGGGAGTGTGTACTATTTGCACAGATAACATCACGGGAGAGTTTGTTCCATGTGACTACCGCAACCACAAACAACAACAACAAAGTTACAATTGTATAGCGCATTTCGCATCGGGAGGACGTCCCAAGGTGCTGGATAGACGGAGTTGTGGACCCGAGCTAGGGTTCGGGAATGGGGAGGGCGGAGGGCAGGGGGCAAGCATGGAGATCGAAAGAACGGTCGGAGAGGAGGGTCTTGAGATGGGTCTTGATGGAAACAAGGGAGGGGGCGAGGCGGAGGGACTGCAGGATGGAGTTCCAGATGGTGGGAGCAGAATGGCAGAAGGCCCACTCGCCAACAGTGTGGCGAGCGAGGAGGGCGATGTGAAGCAGGTCAAAGCCCACTGACCTGAGAGATCGAGCAGGATGGTAGGGTGTTAGGAGGTCGCAGACGTAGATGGGAGCGTGAGCATGGAGCAGTTTGAAGGTGACGACCAGGATCTTGAACTGTATCATCTGTGTGATGGGAAGCCAGTGCAGTGGGGCGAGAATGTGGTGGTAGGGTCACGGAGCCTGGTGCGGGAGAGGACAAGGGCTCCAGTGTTCTGGATGATCTGCAGCCTATGGAGGGAGGAGTTGGGGAGGCGACAAAAAAGGGGTTTGCATAGTCAAGCCTCGATGTAATGAAAACGTGATGGTTTTGGCAGAATGAAACAGTGGCAGAGCCGGGCGATGAGGACACACATCTTCACCCCATAAGTGCGAAGATGTGTTTCTTCACCCCCAGCTATAAGTGAGAGTTCTCAAGCCAAGCCTTCACTTTGTTCTCTTGCAGCAAAGCCTTCCATGTGCTGAATATGTGGTGATAATGTTGAATGTACCCCAGAATTTCTTGGCAAATCAACTTATTTATTCTGCAGAAGTTTATTTTCCTCGTGAAATCTATTTCACTATTGCTGATGTTCTGACCCCAACTCGGCTGTCAGTCCTCTGGTGATTGGAATTGTTTCCTTTCCCTCAACTGCTTCTGTGGTATCACCTCGTGCTCCAAACAATGGCTCTTCCCCCAATACAAAGTGTCCCCAACAACCAAGGACCAGGTTCCCGCTTTCAGCAATGGGGTCTAAATATCAACTTCCTAGTTCAGTGACAATTGCCATTGGTGACTACCTTACTTTACACAAATGAATAATAAGTAAGTAATTCTACATTTCTGGTTTCTATATAGACTGTCTGTTGTTTTGCTGGAACAAGGTGCTGTCCCAAAGATTACACAAGTGGTGTTTCCACTTCATCCAGAGCAATGAATGGCCTGAGCATTCCACTGGTGAGCATGATATCTGCAGTGGAGTCAGCTCTGAGCACCAGTGTGAGCAGTGACAGCTCAGCTGTTAAGTGTGATAGTGTGTATTCCTGTCCAGATGGAAACACTTGCTGTCGACAAATCACTGGACATTGGAGCTGCTGCCCCCATCCTCAGGTATGTTACAATTTCTCCCGTTTCAGAACATATTGTGCAATACGAGTAATCTCAGCACTCAAGTTGCCTCTCTCTTTCGACTCTTCATGATGTTATGGTAAATCTGACAATCTTCTCTCCTGTGAGAAATCCGTCTAGACCTCTCTTAATGAATGCAATACAGTTGACATTTAAAGGACAAAGGTTGCAGAGTTCTGGTTGGTCATCTCTTGGAGGGCAGAGATGGAGAGTCTGGCAAGCAGGGTATTAGTGCAGTTAAGCATCGACTTGATGAAAGCGTGGATGAGGGCCTTGGTGATCCCTTGGGAGTGTGTACTATTTGCACAGATAACATCACGGGAGAGTTTGTTCCATGTGACTACCGCCACCACCAACAACAACAACAAAGTTACAATTGTATAGCGCATTTCGCATCGGGAGGACGTCCCAAGGCGCTGGATAGACAGAGTTGTGGATCCGAGCTAGGGTTCGGGATTGGGGAGGGCAGAGGGCAGGGGGCAAGCATGGAGATCGAAAGAACGGTCGGAGAGGAGGGTCTTGAGATGGGTCTTGATGGAAACAAGGGAGGGGGCGAGGCGGAGGGACTGCAGGATGGAGTTCCAGATGGTGGGAGCAGAATGGCAGAAGGCCCACTCGCCAACAGTGTGGCGAGCGAGGAGGGCGATGTGAAGCAGGTCAAAGCCCACTGACCTGAGAGATCGAGCAGGATGGTAGGGTGTTAGGAGGTCGCAGACGTAGATGGGAGCGTGAGCATGGAGCAGTTTGAAGGTGACGACCAGGATCTTGAACTGTATCATCTGTGTGATGGGAAGCCAGTGCAGTGGGGCGAGAATGTGGTGGTAGGGTCACGGAGCCTGGTGCGGGAGAGGACAAGGGCTCCAGTGTTCTGGATGATCTGCAGCCTATGGAGGGAGGAGTTGGGGAGGCCGACAAAAAAGGGGTTTGCGTAGTCAAGCCTCGATGTAATGAAAGCGTGTATGATGGTTTGGGCAGAATGAAACAGTGGCGGAGCCGGGTGATGAGGAAACACATCTTCACCCCATAAGTGCGAAGATGTGTTTCTTCACCCCCAGCTATAAGTGAGAGTTCTCAAGCCAAGCCTTCGCTTTGTTCTCTTGCAGCAAAGCCTTCCATGTGCTGAATATGTGGTGATAATGTTGAATGTCCCCCAGAATTTCTTGGCAAATCAACTTATTTATTCTACAGCAGTTTATTTTCCTCGTGAAATCTATTTCACTATTGTTGATGTTCTGACCGCAACTCGGCTGTCAGTCCTCTGGTGATTGGAATTGTTTCCTTTCCCTCAACTGAAATATCAACTTCCTAGTTCAGTGACAATTGCCATTGGTGACTACTTTACTTTACACAAATGAATAATAAGTAAGTAATTCTACATTTCTGGTTTCTATTTAGACTGTCTGTTGTTTTGCTGGAACAAGGTGCTGTCCCAAAGATTACACAAGTGGTGTTTCCACTTCATCCAGAGCAATGAATGGCCTGAGCATTCCACTGGTGAGCATGATATCTGCAGTGGAGTCAGCTCTGAGCACCAGTGTGAGCAGTGACAGCTCAGCTGTTAAGTGTGATAGTCTGTATTCCTGTCCAGATGGAAACACTTGCTGTCGACAAAACACTGGACATTGGAGCTGCTGCCCCCATCCTCAGGTATGTTACAATTTCTCCCGTTTCAGAACATATTGTGCAATACGAGTAATCTCAGCACTCAAGTTGCCTCTCTCTTTCGACTCTTCATGATGTTATGGTAAATCTGACAATCTTCTCTCCTGTGAGAAATCCGTCTAGACCTCTCTTAATGAATGCAATACAGTTGACATTTAAAGGACAAAGGTTGCAGAGTTCTGGTTGGTCATCTCTTGGAGGGCAGAGATGGAGAGTCTGGCAAGCAGGGTATTAGTGCAGTTAAGCATCGACTTGATGAAAGCGTGGATGAGGGCCTTGGTGATCCCTTGGGAGTGTGTACTATTTGCACAGATAACATCACGGGAGAGTTTGTTCCATGTGACTACCGCAACCACAAACAACAACAACAAAGTTACAATTGTATAGCGCATTTCGCATCGGGAGGACGTCCCAAGGTGCTGGATAGACGGAGTTGTGGACCCGAGCTAGGGTTCGGGAATGGGGAGGGCGGAGGGCAGGGGGCAAGCATGGAGATCGAAAGAACGGTCGGAGAGGAGGGTCTTGAGATGGGTCTTGATGGAAACAAGGGAGGGGGCGAGGCGGAGGGACTGCAGGATGGAGTTCCAGATGGTGGGAGCAGAATGGCAGAAGGCCCACTCGCCAACAGTGTGGCGAGCGAGGAGGGCGATGTGAAGCAGGTCAAAGCCCACTGACCTGAGAGATCGAGCAGGATGGTAGGGTGTTAGGAGGTCGCAGACGTAGATGGGAGCGTGAGCATGGAGCAGTTTGAAGGTGACGACCAGGATCTTGAACTGTATCATCTGTGTGATGGGAAGCCAGTGCAGTGGGGCGAGAATGTGGTGGTAGGGTCACGGAGCCTGGTGCGGGAGAGGACAAGGGCTCCAGTGTTCTGGATGATCTGCAGCCTATGGAGGGAGGAGTTGGGGAGGCCGACAAAAAAGGGGTTTGCATAGTCAAGCCTCGATGTAATGAAAGCGTGTATGATGGTTTTGGCAGAATGAAACAGTGGCGGAGCCGGGTGATGAGGAAACACATCTTCACCCCATAAGTGCGAAGATGTGTTTCTTCACCCCCAGCTATAAGTGAGAGTTCTCAAGCCAAGCCTTCGCTTTGTTCTCTTGCAGCAAAGCCTTCCATGTGCTGAATATGTGGTGATAATGTTGAATGTCCCCCAGAATTTCTTGGCGAATCAACTTATTTATTCTACAGCAGTTTATTTTCCTCGTGAAATCTATTTCACTATTGTTGATGTTCTGACCGCAACTCGGCTGTCAGTCCTCTGGTGATTGGAATTGTTTCCTTTCCCTCAACTGCAATTGTTTCCTTTCCCTCTACTGAAATATCAACTTCCTAGTTCAGTGACAATTGCCATTGGTGACTACTTTACTTTACACAAATGAATAATAAGTAAGTAATTCTACATTTCTGGTTTCTATTTAGACTGTCTGTTGTTTTGCTGGAACAAGGTGCTGTCCCAAAGATTACACAAGTGGTGTTTCCACTTCATCCAGAGCAATGAATGGCCTGAGCATTCCACTGGTGAGCATGATATCTGCAGTGGAGTCAGCTCTGAGCACCAGTGTGAGCAGTGACAGCTCAGCTGTTAAGTGTGATAGTGTGTATTCCTGTCCAGATGGAAACACTTGCTGTCGACAAAACACTGGACATTGGAGCTGCTGCCCCCATCCTCAGGTATGTTACAATTTCTCCCGTTTCAGAACATATTGTGCAATACGAGTAATCTCAGCACTCAAGTTGCCTCTCTCTTTCGACTCTTCATGATGTTATGGTAAATCTGACAATCTTCTCTCCTGTGAGAAATCCGTCTAGACCTCTCTTAATGAATGCAATACAGTTGACATTTAAAGGACAAAGGTTGCAGAGTTCTGGTTGGTCATCTCTTGGAGGGCAGAGATGGAGAGTCTGGCAAGCAGGGTATTAGTGCAGTTAAGCATCGACTTGATGAAAGCGTGGATGAGGGCCTTGGTGATCCCTTGGGAGTGTGTACTATTTGCACAGATAACATCACGGGAGAGTTTGTTCCATGTGACCACCGCCACCACCACCACCAACAACAACAAAATTACAATTGTATAGCGCATTTCACATCGGGAGGACGTCCCAAGGCGCTGGATAGACGGAGTTGTGGACCCGACCTGGGGTTCGGATTGGGGAGGGCGGAGGGCAGGGGGCAAGCATGGAGTTCGAAAGAACGGTCGAAGAGGAGGGTCTTGAGATGGGTCTTGATGGAAACAAGGGAGGGGGCGAGGCGGAGGGACTGCAGGATGGAGTTCCAGATGGTGGGAGCAGAATGGCAGAAGGCCCACTCGCCAACAGTGTGGCGAGCGAGGAGGGCGATGTGAAGCAGGTCAAAGCCCACTGACCTGAGAGATCGAGCAGGATGGTAGGGTGTTAGGAGGTCGCAGACGTAGATGGGAGCGTGAGCATGGAGTAGTTTGAAGGTGACGACCAGGATCTTGAACTGTATCATCTGTGTGATGGGAAGCCAGTGCAGTGGGGCGAGAATGTGGTGGTAGGGTCACGGAGCCTGGTGCGGGAGAGGACAAGGGCTCCAGTGTTCTGGATGATCTGCAGCCTATGGAGGGAGGAGTTGGGGAGGCCGACAAAAAAGGGGTTTGCATAGTCAAGCCTCGATGTAATGAAAGCGTGTATGATGGTTTGGGCAGAATGAAACAGTGGCGGAGCCGGGTGATGAGGAAACACATCTTCACCCCATAAGTGCGAAGATGTGTTTCTTCACCCCCAGCTATAAGTGAGAGTTCTCAAGCCAAGCCTTCGCTTTGTTCTCTTGCAGCAAAGCCTTCCATGTGCTGAATATGTGGTGATAATGTTGAATGTCCCCCAGAATTTCTTGGCAAATCAACTTATTTATTCTGCAGAAGTTTATTTTCCTCGTGAAATCTATTTCACTATTGCTGATGTTCTGACCCCAACTCGGCTGTCAGTCCTCTGGTGATTGGAATTGTTTCCTTTCCCTCAACTGCTTCTGTGGTATCACTTCGTGCTCCAAACAATGGCTCTTCCCCCAATACAAAGTGTCCCCAACAACCAAGGACCAGGTTCCCGCTTTCAGCAATGGGATCTAAATATCAACTTCCTAGTTCAGTGACAATTGCCATTGGTGACTACCTTACTTTACACAAATGAATAATAAGTAAGTAATTCTACATTTCTGGTTTCTATTTAGACTGTCTGTTGTTTTGCTGGAACAAGGTGCTGTCCCAAAGATTACACAAGTGGTGTTTCCACTTCATCCAGAGCAATGAATGGCCTGAGCATTCCACTGGTGAGCATGATATCTGCAGTGGAGTCAGCTCTGAGCACCAGTGTGAGCAGTGACAGCTCAGCTGTTAAGTGTGATAGTGTGTATTCCTGTCCAGATGGAAACACTTGCTGTCGACAAAACACTGGACATTGGAGCTGCTGCCCCCATCCTCAGGTATGTCACAATTTCTCCCGTTTCAGAACATATTGTGCAATACGAGTAATCTCAGCACTCAAGTTGCCTCTCTCTTTCTATATCTGATGCTAGGTTTGCATATATTTGTGTGCTGAGTGGAATGGATCCTTCTTGTCATTATCACCAACCACTTGTCATCAGTCTCAATTTGCACAAATATTTGTGATTTACTTTATTCTTTTCATTGATGGAGTATGTTCATTCTGTATGTCCACATAAGCATATCACCATTGCTTTCATGCTAGAAATGAACGCTTACTCAATTAATCCACTTTACATTCTGTGAAGCACTGTGATGTAACTCAATAACATGACAAGGTGCTATATCAAATGCAAGTATTTTTTTATCATCCAGTCATGTTCTATAACCTCTTTTCTGAAACATCTCTTTTACAGGCTGAAAACTCTTAATTCCTAATTTTTGACTCTGTCAAAAATTGATTGTGAGATATAAAAAGTCTGTTAAAAATTGTTTTCCCCGATTAGGACACTTGCTGGAGCTTCAGAAAATATTTGGCCTGATTTATGTGTAGCTAGAATGCTTCCTCACACTTTAATGAATCTTATGGCACAATACACCAAAGTATCCCATTCATTGTAGAATCATAGAAAATTTACAACAACAAGATTACATTTGTGTAGTGCCTTTCACGTCGTGAGAGCATTCCACAACCGAATTCTTGGAATGAAAAAAATGGCCCAAGCTTTCCTTTTGCTCTTCTTTTGAATGATTCTTCCTGCCATAATTTTTTCCCAATTTGTAGCAAACCGTATTAGTTGATAGCTCTATTGCTTCTGGGTCAGAAGATTGTGAGTTCAAGCCTCATGTTAGGACTTTGAATACACATCTACGCTAACGTTTCAGTACAGTACTGTGGGAGTACTGCAGTGTTATAGGTGTCATTCTTTGGATGACATGGCCTATCTACTGAGAAGACAAAATAATTTGTATTTGAACACATCAGACTCCATTATGATGATTTGAATCTGTAAAAGGAGACTGTATATTATATGGGTCCACATACGACAATGGCCACCAGTTCATGCTTCCACATTGTTGTTGTGTTAGCTGAGTGGTCAGCACAGATCACCCTTGTAAGCATTTCTGTCAGTTGCTGACTTGCTGTGACAGATGCTTTCTCTGAAGCGCTCTGAGACACTATCCGGCATGAAGGGCACTGTATAAATGAACGTTGTTGTTGTTTCTGTATCTGCGCAATATGGACGGGAAATCAGACAGGCATTGTCATAAGCTCAAAGTGTAATACACTTTTGGTGTATTACAAATCTATGATATGCCAGGCAACTGTGTGGACCCACAATAAACTGTTTTGTGGTGTAATTAGGTCTAACTAAATATAAGAAGTTTTTTTTTCAAAAAGTCTCATTTCCTGTTAACTCTATTATCTATTTCCAAAACCATTCCACAAACTGAAATGATTCGCTTCCAGCTCAGTAATATTCTTTTACAACACAAGGGGCTTCTCTGTCCAAATTTCATTCAAGTTCTGCTTGAAACATTCTTCAATATAAGAAGTTTTTGCTATATTGTGTTATGATTTACCACCAAACACTTACTCTATTGTGTGTTCCTTTCCAGACTGTGTGTTGTTTTGGTGGCACACGATGCTGTCCCAAGGATTTTTCTACTTTGTTCAAGACATCAAGTAGTCTGAGCGTTCCAGTTAACAGGATGAAACCTGTAATGGAGATAAACGCTTTGAGCATTCAGTTTAACAGTGGCAGATCAGTCACATACTGTGATAATCTGCATTACTGTTCTGCTGAAAATACATGTTGCAGACTGCCTAGTGGATCTTGGGGATGTTGCCCCATTCCTTCTGTAAGCTCATTTTATTAATACCATTTAAGAGTTAAGATTTGAGGCAATGTTTTGCTTTTATTTTTGGATCACAGTGACTACGGATCTTGCTGATTAGATTTATTTCAAAAACTGATTATATTATTTAATTGTCTTCTTCGGTCATATTATACGAATGATTATTTGTTTTTTAAACAAGATAGAATCGTACTTTCATCAATTTTTCAGTAAATGTTAGATCTCAGACTAAAGGTTGTTTACAAAAGGAAATGAATTACTGTCAAGGGTATAGAACATTGGGAAAACCTGCTTTCATTTATATATGCATTGTATATTTACAGTTTCTTAGCATGTTAATCTCACACAAGTAATCAATGTGTAGTCCTGTAGCTTAGTGGTTGGAACATTCGCCTCGCAAGGGGGAGGACCTGGGTTTGATTCCTGGGCATGGCGAAACATTGCGCAAGTTTCCTTATTCCACACATGGTTTACCAAGCCATGAATAGGAACTCTGTGCTGGAAGATTCTATGATAAGTAACAAAACAGATCTTTGGCAAGGTAGTGAATTGGCATCATTTGCACAATGAAATTACAAAGCACAGGTTAGTAACAGCGATTTCATAAATTGTGAGCTCTTCATAACATTAATCTTAAGAAGAAGCAGAGAAAGGAAGTGAGTCATTTGCTTAGAGACAATATGAACAATTGAAAGTTGAGGAAAGCAATCTCTATCTAGTGGATGGCTGCAAAGCATTGGAAGAACCCTGGTAATAGCATACCAGGTTCAGGGATCTGTCACTGGGAGAAAAAGTCACATCCATACAAATTGTGTGTGGAATTCCCTCGGTAATAAACATATCAACAAAGTGGGCTTACAATGGGAATTTCTCACCCAATGTGCTTTAACAGTAAAATTAGGAGCCAAAAAAGTTATTCACCAGAGGAAAATCAGATACTAAAATATGTGAATATATTTCAAGAAAACAAATATCAAACATTTTACACATTCTCAGTGATAAGATGGTTTAGAGGGTATGATGTATTTTGTAACAGATTTTGCATTTGTGTGCATTGGTTATTTGCTGGCTGGCTCTACTGCTCAAATAACATGAGCTATTCATCAATAGGGCAATGTCAAAGAAGATGCTTGAATATCACATGGCACAGCATAAATACGGCATCAGTAAAGATGACAAAATTAGCCCTAGCAGATAAGGGAAATCTATGGTCTAGCTAGGGAATAAACTAGACCTACAGACAATACATCTTTCAGATTTAAATTCTGTTTTGCTGATTTCAGCTTAAGCAGCAGTTGAAGTACTACAATTAACCTATCTCCCTGGCTTAGGAAGGGAATAAAATAGACACAGCTCCTGATTGATATCTAAAAACGTGTAAGTATCAGGAGAAGATAGGATACTGCTAGATTGTGATGACTTCCAAAGATCCTGTCTATCCTCATGGTCCCAGCTAACAAAAGTATAATGGGCCATTTGGGAGAGGTACAGGAAGTTCCTTTGGAATGATATCCAGGAATCGGGAAACTAAGTCAATGCCTTCAGGGAAGGAGCTGAGAAAATTGGAGGAAAAAAATTGGAGGTGAAGACAAATGCCTATTGAAAAGAAGATGACAGAATAATTGCTAAAATCCAGTAATGAACTCTCATTGGTGTTCTACGATTTTAAAAATTGCTGTCCTAATGAAAAGAATTGCTTCAGATAGCCTGGAGATGTCTTTAGGTTCTGTTGCTTTTCTTTAATTTATATTACAGGCATGTAGTGAAAACTAAAACTAATTTTAGCAACACATGTTACCGATAAAATAATCCTCTCTATCTCTGTTTCTAACCAGGCTACATGTTGTAATGATGGTGTGCACTGCTGTCCTCATGGCATGAATTGTGATGCAGAAAATTCCTTCTGTACAACGGATAGTATCCGTATCCCATGGTTCAACAAAAAACCTGCACTCATCGCAACAGACGTTGTCAATAGTGTTGGTCGTGATAGTTCGGTGGTCAACTGTGATAAGACATATTTTTGTAAAGATGGACTGACCTGTTGTCCAACGGCTATGGGAAGATGGGGATGTTGCCCATTTCCTAATGTAAGTTATTATTTAGGCCACAAGATGTACACTTGTTTAAAGTATTGTCCTTCTATCTCAGTCCTTTGAAACTGAAGATTAATGCTTTCAATGGAGTCTTCAAAAGGGGTATTAGTGTTAGTGATAGCATACATAAGATTAGAAATGAGCTTGAAAAAGGTAGCAGAACAAGAGGACACAGAACAAGAGGACACAGGTTCAGCACCTCAAAAGGCAATTTCAGGGCAGGCATTAGGAAATATTTCTTTACCCAGAGGGATGGGAACCGGTTACTATAAAGAGTAGTTGAGATAAGGGCACTGGACTCATTTAAGAAAGGGCTTGATACTGAAGTGGAAGGATGGCAATCTTGTGATCTTGGATGATTAAACCCTATTGTCTATCTAGGAAAGGAAGCATTCGAGATACCTACTCATAAGAAATAGCTGAAAACATTATACTGCATCTTGACAAAAAAAATCTTATTCCAAGACAAATATAGCTCTTTGCAATGCTGGGATTGAAATTTTCAGAAAAAAATCAATGTGGTAAATATGATGTGACAAATACTGCATGTAAATAACCTAAAATCTAGAAATTTGAGGATTGCTTTTCAAAATCAGATCTATTTTCACTGGAACAGAAAGGAAAAACAGATTTTCAAAATACTGAATACTTGTTTTGAGAGGATAGATAGTAAAGGTGAATAATGGGGCAGAAATGCAGAATTATCACTTGGAAAAAATAAGGCAAATGTGGAAAAAAATCACACTGAGAAAATGTTGGAATATGAAATGGTTTGTTACAATTAGCTTTTAAAACCAGCCTAGTAAAACTAAAACACAATAATATTTAAAAGTGAATTACATTTATATTTGAAGAGAGAAAAAGTATAAAAGCTTATGGGAAAAGACAGAGAACTAGGAGTGGAGTACTGTACATATTTCTAGCCTTGTGTGCTGGATTATTATTTTTATTTTATAACTAACAGTTTATAGTAATGTTATCTGTATTTTTCTCTTAGGGTCAATGTTGTAAAGATAAACAAACCTGCTGCCCTCGGCACTACAAATGTAGTGGGGGTCCCAAAACAATGACCTGCAAATGGAAAATCTGGAACTAGATCTCATCGGTTGGAAATACTGAAGAGTTTGAAAACTTTTGATGGATTTTTCATTAACTTTGCTTTACTTCACGGTCATGTTTGCGTTAAATGTTGGAATAAATTATCCTTACATTTACATTTTACATTTACAGTTTTAACTTACATTTGATTTAATAATAATAGTGATCCTTGCATTTGATATAGCGCCTTATCAAGTCTTCGAAACGTCTCAAAGCGCTTCACAGAATATACTGTGAAGTGAATTGACTGTATATTTTGTGGGCATTTATATCTAGAGGATGTCTCAAAGTGCTTCACGGGATATACTTTAAAGTGGAGTAACTGCTGTATTTGTAGGCTTGGTGCAGATTCAAATAATTGCTTATATCTGACTTTATTTGACTTTTTATAAACCTGGCATTTCAGAAATCAGAAAATTAGTCATTTAAAAATGTTGCTTTGCTAGAATTGTCTTTGAAATACACAATCAGATTTTCTAACTTTAACAGTGCTACAATAATTTTCTCTTTTGAATTAAGTGATTGATTACAGTTGAAAACGTCTATCTCTAAATTGTCTATTAAATCTGTGTTACTGATGATGTACAATGATGTATTTGACTTGGTTTGTTATTTATATATGTTGACTATTTTGGGGGAATGCTTTGCTCCTGGATTATGCTGTTAAACTTCCTAAATATTTATAGTAGCTTCATAGAATACAGAAATTGTTATTGCTAAAATAATATTCCTGGGTGGGAGGAAGGAGAAGCTTGAATCCAACAGCAACAACTAATATAGCACCCGCCACACAGGGTAGCATCTCAGAGTGCCTAACAGTGGTGGAGTCTGACTCCCTGCCGGGTGGGGGAGTTGGCCGTAAGCACGGTCAAAGAGGAAGGTTTTCAGGCAGGACATGAAAAAAGGGAGAGAGGAGGTAAGGCTGAATGAGGGAGATTGAGGGAGATTGTTCCAAAGTTTTGGGGCTGAAGGTGCGACCTCTGATGGAGGGGCGGAGGGCGCGAGGGACGAGCAGGAGGCCGGTGCCAGTCAAGCGGAGGCGCCAGGTGGTGGATTGGGGAGTGAGCATGTCGGAGAGGTAGGGAGGTGCCAGGGAGCGAAAGGACTTCAACATGAGTGTGAGGAACTTGACGTCGATCCGTTCGGTGATGGGGAGCCAGTGCAAGTTGTTGTTGTTGGTAGGTCCCACAAAACACCCACCCGCTTTACCCGGGATGTCCTCCCAACATGAAAGGCGGGTGTGGTATCAAGTGTCGGGATTCCAGATAAGATCGGTCAGTCGGTGGGGTTGCTCACTCCCTCGCCCACTCATTCCACGGCTGTTCGTGGGGGACACTGCTGTGCGCAAGTTGGCTGCCGCATTTTGCCCGCATGAGACACGCAGACACTACACTTTACAGTGTGTCCTGTGAAGCGCTTTGAGACGTCTCGAAGACATTGATGAGGCGCGATATCAAATGCAAGGATTATTATTGTGGGTGTTGTTGTTGTTGTTGTTGTTATGGGGTTGGGGGGGGGGCCTTTGCTCCTGTGGGAGCAGTGCGACTCCTCCCCCTGGTTACGGGGACGCGGCCGTTGCCAGGGCTGGGGGTGGGGGCGGGGGCGGGGCGGAGGCAACAAGGGGCTTTGGGATTGGTCAGCTTTTGATAAGCGTTACCAGGACTACAGGTTAGCGCGTGGGACAGAGAGCAGTCGGTCGGTGCTGGTGGGGGTTGTTGTGTGGGTGAGAGAACCATTCAGAGAGAGAGAAAATCACAGAGAGAGAAAAGGTCAGAGACAGACAGACAGACACACACAGACAGACAGACACACACAGACACACACAGACACAAAGACAGACAGACACACACAGACAGATACACACAGACACACACAGACACACACACAGACAGACACACACAGACAGACACACAGACAGACAGACACACACACACAGACACACACACAGACAGACACACACAGACACACACACAGACAGACACACAGACACACACAGACAGACAGACACACACAGACACACAGACAGACAGACACACACAGACACACAGACAGACAGACACACACAGACACACAGACAGACAGACACACAGACAGACACACAGACAGAAACACAGACAGACACACAGACAGACAGACACACACAGACAGACACACAGACAGACACACACAGACACACAGACAGACAGACACAGACAGACACACAGACAGACAGACACAGACAGACACACAGACAGACACACACAGACACACAGACAGACAGACACACACAGACACACAGACAGACACACACACACAGACACACACAGACAGACAGACACACAGACAGACAGACAGACACACAGACAGAAACACAGACAGACACACAGACAGACAGACAGACAGACACACACAGACAGACACACAGACAGACACAGACAGAGGAGGAGGAGGAAAGAGTGAAGATTGGACACAGACAGTCGCGCTCCCGGGACCCCAGGGCGATGGCGCAACCCACCGCTTTGAGTAGAAAGAAGCAGCAGAAACAGGCCGAGACCCTGACCAAACTAGCCAAGCACTGTGAGTGTCCGGGAAGTTGGGGGCGGGAGAGGGGCGGGAGAGGGGTATTGGAGTGTTGGGATAAAGGGGGTTAGGGATAAGGAGGTATTGGGATAAAGGGGTATTGGGTTGAGGGGGTATCGGGATACAGAGTATCAGGATGAGGGGCGATCGGGGTGAGGGGCGATCGGGGTGAGGGGCGATCGGGGTGAGGGGCGATCGGGGTGAGGGGCGATCGGGGGGTGAGGGGCGATCGGGGGGTGAGGGGCGATCGGGGTGAGGGGCGATCGGGGTGAGGGGCGATCGGGGTGAGGGGGTATTGAGGTGTCACATGCTACATTAATAATGGAGATGTTGACTATCAATTTCTATCGATTAGTCTACAATACACGCATGAGGCGAGGAAAGCTTTGGGAACCATAGGTCCAAAGTTGCTTTTTTCTCCCAAGCACACCACACTTTCCATATGCTGTAACTCAAATGACACATATACTGTATCCCTTCTTATAAGGGATAAGAGAGAAATCTTATCTAACTTGCATTTGAATGAATCAACAATTTTTGCTTCCACCATCTCCCGAGGGAGCCTTTTCCATAAATTTAGCATTGGCTGACTGAAATAATGTTTCTGCTGATTAGTTTTGAATTTACTCCCCTTCAAACTCAGGCTAATTTCTCTGGTTCTACTGTTCAGCATAAGATAAAATAGCTTATCATAGTCTACATTATCTCGTCCCGTTAGAATCTTAAAAACAGTAGTCATATCACTTCTCTACTTTCTCTTCTCCAGCGTGAACATATCCAGGTTATGCAATGGCTCCTCATAATCCAATCCCTCCATCCCTTCAGTCATTCTGGTTGCCCTCCTCTGTATCCTCTCAATTGTTGCAACATCCCTCCTGTACTGCAACGGCCAGAACTGTATATAGTATTCCAACTACCCCCCCACGCTCTCCAACTACCCCCCCACGCTCTCCAACTACCCCCCCACGCTCTCCAACTACCCCCCCACGCTCTCCAACTACCCCCCCACGCTCTCCAACTACCCCCCCACGCTCTCCAACTACACCCCCACGATCTCCAACTACCCCCCACGCTCTCCAACTACCCCCTCACGCTCTCCAACCACCCCCCACGCTCTCCAACTACCCCCCACGCTCTCCAACTACCCCCTCACGCTCTCCAACCACCCCCCCACGCTCTCTCCAACCACCCCCCCACGCTCTCTCCAACTACCCCCCCGCGCTCTCCAACTACCCCCCCGCGCTCTCTCCAACTACTCCCCCACACTCTCTCCAACTACCCCCCACCTCTCTCACTACCCACCCACGTTCTCCAACTACCCCCCCACGCTCTCCAACTACCCCACTACGCTCTCTACAAATACCCACCCCACGTTCTCTCCAAATACCCACCCCACGCTCTCTCCAAATACCCCCACCTCACTCTCTCCAAACTACCCACCCCACGCCCTCTCCAAATACCCCCACCCCACGCCCTCTCCAAATACCCCCACCCCACATCCTCTCCAAATACCCACACCCCACGCCCTCTCCAAATACCCCCCCCACGCCCTCTCCAAATACCCCACCCCAACCCACTCTCCAAATACTCCCACACTCTCTAAATACCCTCACCCACTCTCCAAATACCTCCATCCACTCTCCAAATACCTCCACAGACTCTCCAAATCTCCATGCACTCTCCAAGCACACCCACAATTACATTAGAATTTAAACATAAAATATAATTGTACAGAGAATTATAGCTATTCACAAAATCAGAATGATCTGTATTTTCAGAATTTAGTGGTGCTTGTTTTGAAAACCCAAATTATTTTTAGAATGTATTTCTTTAGCACACGTTAAAGAGAAAGTGGACTATACTAACAAACATGAATGGCGCATTTATATAGCGCCATTCACGTCAGAAGGATATCCCTGACAAGAGCAAGTAAATATCAAAAAGGAGAGGACCAAGGACAGCTTTGACAAAAATGTATATAATATGAAGGGAGATATCTGTAAAAGTTGGGGTGTTCCTCAGAGGCGTTTTATCACATTTTTGATACAATGGTGAAATACAATGGTATGGCATCAGACAGTTTGTTTAGAAGCCCCTGTTCTGCATCAGTAGCTGGTGTGACACTCTGAATGGGGAAGAAGGACTTTGGCAATATTCGTCATTGATAATAAATCACTGGAGCAGAATTTATGATGCCACATCAGGGAATGTTGTAAAAATGTTTTCTATCACGCTTTTTCTACCCACCAGTTCTAAAGGATAACAAGGAATTACTGAGTATGAATTTATATATATATTTAGATATAATATATATACATTTTGGTAACATTAATTAGAATGAATCATTTCAATAATCTTTCCACTAAAGGTTAACGTATTTCTTAAACATATATGCATTTCACATTCAGTTTAAACCATTTATTTTTCTTCTCTTATTGTTGCAGTCAATCGATATGAAGTGGATTGTTTAATGAAGCTCTTTAATACGCTTATCAGTACACCTTCTGAGCGCCGTATCGGAAATGGACTGGATCGAAATACATTTAGAAATATTCTCCACAACACATTTGGAATGACAGATGACATGATCATGGATAGAGGCGAGTACTACAGAATACTGCAGATATCTCTTAAGGATATTCATAATACATGACTGCAAGAGGTTTGGTAATGCTGGTCTACAATATACTGCATTAAAAATGTATGATAAGAGAGCAAGGAACCAAAAACATCTTTCAGATCATCAATCCAATTCCAATTACAGAGCGAGAACAATTAACTTTATCATGAACTTCAAGCTTAGCTAATCTCCTGATAAAAAGTTCTGCAAATGTTTTCCATTCTTTCTCCCCACGACCAGTGAATTGTGAAAAAAAGTATCCAAAAACAGAGTTTGAATTACGTATGCCACCTACACAGGAAATGTCTTTGTGTCAGTATTGGAGTGTACAATCTATCCCTGGAAGGATACACGCTGATTATCTAATTCCAGAGAAAATTAGATACAGGTTGTCAAGAGGAAAGGATTGGGGATCGGGGGGGTGGATGGGTAGCGGTACTGTTGGGAGTTTAACCAGCTGAAATAGCAGCCATCAAAAGCACTGTCTGGCAAGTTCCCACTGCTTGTCTATCTAGCATCACCCTATCCATTCTCAAAAANTACTAATGTTGGTAATTTGGATGTTTTCAAGATACCGCTTGGTATTCTTCTCCAATGTCAAATATGTCTAGATATCTCTGTTTTATCATGAAAAAGCAGCAATTTTATCATTTTAGTGTGCTGTACAACATTTTGTATGTTCATTGTAAAACAACTATGTTGACTTTATGCTTTCTTTTTATGGATGAAAAGAATGAAATATATGTGATTTTAAGATAAAATAAATGTTGGTATATTACCCTTAGAATCCAGTCTTGTCTATAGACTCAGTAAAGGTAAATAACATTGACATTCCAAATAAGTTTGAATTTTTGTGCTATTTTCCAGTTTTTCGTGCATTTGACAGAGACAATGATGGCTATGTCAATGTAAGGGAATGGATTGAAGGGTTATCTGTATTCCTCAGAGGGACTTTGGACGAAAAGATTAAATGTAAGTTTATATTGAATGTGTGATTTATATATTCTGTGTGGCACTAAACATAAGGCATAACAATCATATTCCAATTCATTATTGCTTTTGGATTATTTTGATCCAGACTGTTTTGATGTTTTTGATCTGAATGGAGACGGACATGTTTCAAGAGAAGAGATGTTTCACATGCTCAAGACAAGTCTTATCAAACAACCAAGTGAAGAAGACCCTGATGAGGGAGTGAAAGACCTAGTTGAGATAGCACTGAAAAAAATGGTGAGAAAATCACATGAAGATACTTTTTTTTTAGCTGAAATGTTCAGTTGACACCTTAAATTGTTGAATTGTCAATTTAGGGGAATGGCAGACCTTTCATATCTTGGCACTTAATGTCATGCTCCCTGGTTAAGTGATCAAATAGCTCCCTCTCTTTTTCTCAAAATCCACTCCTGCTCAAATGCTATTTTGTTTTCCTATTTCCCACCTCAGTCTTCTTTATTTTAAGTGAGATTGTGAATTTATGTCAAAGGGATGGCTGTATCAAGTAGGAAGTGGTTTGAAACTGGTGAACCTCTCCTCACATTCAACACTTAATTGGCATTGAGAAACAACTTTCACCATCATCTTAAAATGGATTTGAACCCATATCCCAGAGGTGTAAGCGTGCAAAATTGTTGTGATGCCTAGTATAATCTAAAGTAAATCTTAAAATTCTAAAGGGGTAAGACAATATAAATCACAACAGGCTGTTTCAACTCGTCCAGAATAGTAAAACCAGATCATATGGCCTGCGATTGAAGGGAGGCAAATTCAGAACGAATCTGCACAAACACTATTTCAGTGAGGGAATAGTGAACCTGTGGAACAGGCTCCCAAGGGAGATGATTCGCAACCACATCACTCCCACCCTCGCTCGCCTCCACTGGCTCCCCATCCCCCAGAGGATCGAATTCAAGATCCTCATCCTCACCTACAAGGCCATTCACGGCCTTGCACCCTCCTACCTCTTCGACCTACTATCCCCCTACTTACCTGCCCGTACCCTCCGTTCCTCTGGCTCCGGTCTGCTCCACATCCCCCGCCCCAACCGCCCTACCATCAGTGGCCGGGCTTTCAGCCTCTCAGCCCCTAGGCTCAGGAACTCCATTCCCCAGTGCCTTCGCCGCCTCCTCCCTTTCCTCCTTCAAGGCCAGTCTCAAGACCTTTCTCTTTGACCGTGCCTTCAGCTCCCCTCTCGACTCTCTACCCCCTCCTCGCTCCCTCCCTTCCTCCTGACCAGTTCCCCCCTGCTCGGGTCCCGACCCAACTGTCCAGCGCCTTGGGACGTCCTCCCGACGTGAAAGGCACTCTATAAATGCAATCTTGTTGTTGTTGTTGTTATTGATTGAAGCAGGAAATGTTGATTCTTTCAAACACAGATTACATGATGGGATATAGTACATAGGTAGTTTGGGACATATGTGCATGCGACCGCCTGTAAGGTGGAACGTGAACTAGATGGACCTTGATCTTTTTTCTCTAGCTTTTCTTATATTCTTATGTTCTATGTTCTTAAATCTGAATGGCAATTTGTGATATCAAAATGTGTCATTTACATTACTAGGATTATGATCATGATAACAAGGTTTCGTATGCAGACTTTGAGAAAGCAGTAAAAGATGAAAACCTCTTGTTGGAAGCTTTTGGACCCTGCCTTCCAGATTCAAAGGTAAGATTGCCAATAAACTAAATGAAATGTAGATATTAAATTATACCATACAACTAGTACAACAACAACAACAAGATTCCATTTATAGAGCGCCTTTCACGTCGGGAGGACGTCCCAAGGCGCTGTACAGTTGGGTCAGGACCTGAGCAGGGGGGAAATGGTCAGGGTGAAGGGAGGGGAGGGAGTGAGGAGGGGGGAATGGTCAGGGTGAGGGGAGGGAAGGGAGGGAGCGAGGAGGGGTAGAGAGTCGAGAGGGGAGCTGAAGGCACGGTCAAAGAGAAAGGTCTTGAGACCGGCCTTGAAGGAGGAAAGGGAGGAGGCGACGAAGGCACTGGGGGATAGTAAAGTGACCCATCTGAGAATGAGCAACAATGAGAAAGGTTTATCTGGTAACAAAGGTAGGAGTGAGCTGCCATAAGTGAGGGTAACTACATGAATTAATCAATGTCATTTGTTTAGAAACAAAATGTAAAATACTGCAGATGCTGGAAATCTGAAACAAAAACAGAAGTAGCTGGGAACACTCAGCAGGTCAGGCAGCATCTATGGAGAAAGGAAAGTGAGTCAATATTTTGGGATCCACGACCCTTCGTCAGAACTCTCAGTGTTCCCAGCGAATGTCATTTTTTGCTCTGTGTGTATCACTCTGTCTGTCTCCTCTTGTTTGTATTTCTTTGGGAGTCTTTCACTAGCTCCATGTCTTGTATCCATAATCTGGATAAGCTGGAGTTTATGGGGGGTAGAGGAGGGAGGCCGGGGGAGAAGAGCTTTTGAGAGACCGAATTTGTAGTTGACAAAATATATGAGTAGTACAACATGATCCAAACAATAGATTTATACTTGAAAATAAATGTTAGTACTTTTTTCTTATCTTTTGTCTAGACTGCTCTTGCCTTCGAAGACCAAGCCTTCAAGAAAACCAAGGAACATTAATCTGCATCGATTCTTCTTCATTGTATTCATGAAGGTCAAAACTATTTCATCATTGGTTACCAATAGCTTGAGTGTTGAGGACTAGGATAATTTAATCACCATGCAACTGGCTGTTTTTTCTCAGTAATGAACATTACATCATCTTCTTGCACAACTCAGCAGCAGTCACATTTGCATTAATTACATGAAGAATTAAGTGGTACAATAAACACACAAACCTCTGCATTATAAGTTGGTCAAAATATTCCTCGTGTTTTATATACGTCAGTTAAGAGAACAAAATGTACATTTTATGTATTAAAAAAAAGCTTGAATTTGATTATAGGAAATCCACTCCAAGATCATAGACTTGCAAGGTTTTAGGAATAGCATGGATCTTACCAAATATAATAAACAAATTTTAATGTTACTTATTTGGCTTATAAGTGTTCATGTACTAACAAAAATGTCCCTCCTCTCCCTCCAGTCAGACTGCGTTAATGAGCATTGTTGCCTCTGATACTTATGTGGCACCTAACTGAAACTAAAGCAATATCCAATACAACTAGTATTCCAGGGCACTGCTGAAGACAGCACAGCCACCCTGGCTCATCGACAGGATCTGGAAGAGCAGACCAGTCACCGGGGACAGGGAATCATCCTGCTCAGCTCCTTTTAACTCTGTAAGCCAAGGCCCTAACAGGTAGGCTAGTCCAAGCTGGACAGCAGCTGGAAAGTTTGCCTGACAGCAATATCAATGGCAAACTATGCGGTTTAGCTGTTTGACTCAATAGTACCCAATACACACTCACTCTGGGGTTCCCAAGCCTTGGCTCTTGCCAACCTGCACCTAATATTTTCCAGAATTTAGGTAAGCAGGATGCATCCCTCCAGGGAGAGAGTACGCATTCTATCTACCTCTGGAATTTCTATGTGTAGGTGGGATGCATGGAAATCTCAACTTGGTTTGGATACTCTTAAGCATGGTGATGTTTCTGCATGGGTCAGACCCCCCCCCTCCCATAAATTCTCTAAATATTAACACTGTGCATGTGCTAGGAATTCATAGTTCCAAACCCAGAATGAACTGGAATCCAAATTAGCTACCTATGATCCTATTCCTGAGATGGTTTTATAATCTCATTTATACCAGAATAAACTGGGAATTTGGCAAAACAAATAATGGTTTGATTTGCAATTGGTTTCTAAACTAATGGAATTGATGTGCCGTTTAATCATAAGTTTTTCAAAAGAGCTACAAGTTCCCTTTTGTTTAGAAACCTCTCTCTACTGCTGACAATTATGGAGACATAAGATTTTTTCAGGTAATGTCCTCATGACAGTTCAGAGCCAATTATGATTTGTTTTCGGTTGCATTATGCTTTTTCATTGAAGGCACTGAAATATATTGGGACCCTGGTCATCTGTTACCTTGCTGAAATGGCAATTCTTTATTTATGTACGGATGTAAGTAAGTGTAAAGAAGCAATGTCCTACAGCCAAGCCAAATCATCTCCTGCAGAGACCTGCATACTGTCCAGCAAAGGCTGGAATGCCACTCAATAGTAATTTAGAGTCAAACGCTGGTTGTTTTTCAAATTTTCCCCCTCCCTATTTCAGTGGTGCTGAATTTGATTGTACCAACTCAATACTGCCAATGGTGCGATCAGCTAACTTAGCTAATAACAAAAAGTGTAATTGGTACCTTCCTGGGTCTGTGATACACTGAGCAATAATATCAGCTGAACTATCTTGGAGTGTGAAGTGTTTACATTATTTCACTTAGCTGCTTCAGATATTTTCGTTCCTCGTTTCTCTTAAGAATTGGTGATAAAAATTGCTGCTATCATCAATGTTTGACTTTTCTTCCATAATAGTCTGTGCATTTTACTGTAGATGGAAGGTGATGTGCATTTTCACACAATTAAATATTTTTTAGTTTTGTAGCACCTACTGAAGTTTGTTTTAATTATAGTAAGTACTATTGTATGACAACATAAGAAAAGTAAAAACTTAAGAGTGGGTATCCTTAATTCCAATGAGTTATTTGATTTTTTTAAAAATGCGATATTTAAAGAACTATGTTGAATGTATCTCTCACACTTACCAGTGCTTCCATTAAACTGCAATTGGTTGCATTAGTTAACAGGTTTGCTTTTCAATTAACTCAAAAACAAAATCCAACCTTCTTTTGACGTTAAGCAAAATCAAGAATTTAAAAATAGTTTTAAGACAGTTCTTGGACCAATATTCATTCTCCTTTAAGCCTGTATTTTTGATGTAATACATCTTCATATGAGAGTTCCATAATGAAATATTTGTATTTGCATTTATGAACATTGGTCATGTCTGATCTCTAAATCTAGGATGGAGGTTAATTTTTTTAAAATGATTAAGACATACAGCACTCTGGGCCATTACCCCTCGTGAAGGTGCTATATAAATACAAGTTGCTGTTGACATAGAAAGTCTTAAATGCAATTGAATCTGGATAAACATATCGGCTTATCGTACTTTCAAATTACTACCATATCCATACTATTCATAATTAAATATGGTTACTGTATTACCGTATCTATAGCATTATTAATATATTAATTATTAATAATATATTAATAAACCTTGCATTTGATATTGTGCCTTATCATGTCAGTGAGATGTCTTGAAGCGCTTCACAATAATTATACCGTTAACATTTTAATGATAACCAGCCATCGTTTTTTCAAAACTAAAACAGATTTGTGCTATGACGACAAATGCATTGTAAAGCCTTAGCATAACATTTGAATGTTATTAAAAACAGAATAAAAGTTTGGTTCAGATATTTATTTGTTCAGATATTCATTTATCTAGTGAAAAAATAAGACAACTTTAATAATTTAACAAAATGGAAAATATGTTCCTTTTACTGTATTAACATGGTCTGTAGGTAATTAAATGCAACTTAACCTTTCAGAAGCCTGCTCTTCATAGAGTGCTTCAAATCCTATCTTGTGAACATAAGTGGTAAGAATCCTTGCATCTGATACAGCGTCTCACCATGGCAAAATGTCTCAAAGCACTTAAGGTTTTTTCCAGTAAAGTGAGATGGCTGTGTATTTGTAAGTGAATGTGACAGTCATTCTGTATACAACAAGGCTCCACAAAACAGCCATGAACTTTAAGATCTTCTCTGAAGGACTGCACTTCCGACAATGCAGTGGACAATCCCCCAATTCGACTATCTAGAGTTGATACCATTACAGTCCCCATCTTTAAATTCTCCTGCGTTGTTTTGGAGCTTTTGTTTGAGGTGCTTCATTTTTTTCAGTTGCTGTTGTAGGGACGGACAAGACCTGGTAAAAAAGGAAAGTTAGTTTTCAAATGAAAAATTCCACTGTTTAAAGAACCTGCACTTTTGTTTCTTTTATCATATTGAAATAGCTCAAATTCTTCACCTACAATTACTGCGAAGTGCAACAATTGTTATGTAGGCAAATGTGGCAGTGTTTGTGCCAGCCCCAAAGTGAATACATTTATCTGGAGAACTATTAACCAAGACACTGGGAAAAACTTCCCTTCTCTTTACAAAAGTGTTATAAAATCTTTACTGTCCACCTACACAGGAAAACAGTACATAATGTCTCATCCAAAGGACAGCATTGGGCAACACAAAGCTCCCCCAATAATGCACTGGGTTTTTGAGCTGATAGAACTCAAGCCTCAGCTTCTGGCTTAAATCCAATCTGTACCTCATACAAATAAAATCCTCCTCTAATTTAACATAAATTAGCTTAGTGGTTAGAGCTCTCGCCTAACAAGCAAGGGGACCTGTTTTCGATTCCCAGGCAGGGCAAAATGTTGGGCATGTTTCCTTACAATTGGTTGCCACGTTTCACCCACAAAATATAGTCTATTCACTTCACAGTATATTCTGTGAAGCATTTTGAAACGTCTCGAAGACGCAATAAAGAGCTACATCAAATGCAAGGATTATTATAAATGATTTTGATTGAAATGTTCTCCTCTATTGGCAGCACCTCCCACATATCACCCTGGGTCTGGAAAGCATGCCTGTAAACTGTTCTATGGTCTCCACCAATGCCACTTCTGAACATCCTTGACAGCAAACTCAATGACTCATCTATTAGTTTACCCTCCATTTCTCTTTTGATGAAAATATCAAGTGTTTGTTTCTTCTTTGTGACTGAAAAACTATAGCGAGCTCTCTGTATGAAGTTTAATGGCACAACAAGCAGGTAATTGTCTTCTTGACCCTACCAGTGCCTCCTCCTCTCTACCATTGGCAGCCGTGCTTTCAGCCACTATGCCCCAACATTATGGAACTCTGCCTCAATTCCTCTGCTTTGCCTTCTCTTTCCCCCATCTTCAGATCACACCTGAAGACTTTCCATTTCTTCCTGAAGACTTTCACGTCGGGAGGACGTTTCAAGGCGCTGGAGAATCAGGGATTGGGATCCAAACAGGGGTAGAATCAGGAGGGCAGGGAGAGTAGGAAGGGGACCAAAGGCGCAGTTTAAGAGTAGGGTCTTGAAATAGGCCTTGAAGGAAGCAAGGGAGGGGACGGGGCAAAGGGACTGTGGTTTGATAGCACAAGACAAATACATAATATAAATTTATGGATTATTTAAAACTTACCTCTGTTAATTTATTTCGAATCATATTAGCTGAGACATTCAGAGAATTATCACCCAGGTCGACCTTTTGAACTTGTGGAAGTTTTGGTCCTATTAAAACTGCAGTCCTATCGCTATCCAAATCACCAAAAGCATTCATGGTCATTTGTTCTTTCATTCTTTTCCGATTCTGCAGCTGAGCAGTCCTTGGAACAAATCTAGAAACATTCCTCTTTAAAGATGATGTGCACTCAATGACATTAAAAGAACAACTTTCTCCTTCTGCTCTACGAAACTCCTCAGGTTTATGCAGTTTTCTGTTAGGAAACCAAGGTAATTCAGATCTAAAACCTGCAGAATTTTCAGGAGAAATATTGAAGTCTTTTGGTGAGGTGGCATGTGACATAGGCACCGGAGGATAGCCCAAACAGTTCATTTGTCTGCCTTTGGGAAGTTGGTAGTCAGGCTGTGGAGGAGGTGGTAACATAGGATAGTCATACATGGAATACCCAGTGTTCCATTCTTCCTGGTTTGGTTCTGAACCCCCAAAGAGTTCAGGCTTTTTGGAAAGTACTTCCATGTGAGGATTCTGTAATGGAACTGAATTGTCGGGTTTCTTTTCTATCTTGTGCAGGTCTACATCTAATGCAAAAAAAAGGTAAAGGAGGAAAGAAAGGTGATCAATCTGCAGGCGGAGTGAAACCTTATGCAAGTTTCCTTACTTCACACACAAACCTGTGTTTACCTAACAGTAAGTATGAACCTGATTGTTAGTCGATTGGCAGAAACAGGCCACTCAACCCAACTAGGCTGTGCCAGTGTTTAGATATTAATAATAATCCTTGCATTTTTATATAGTGCTTTTCACATTTTCTAGCTGTCTCAAAGCACTTCACAGAATATGCTGTAAAGTGAATTGACTGTATATTTGTGGGCGAAACGCAGCAGCCAATTGCGCACAGCAGTGTCCCACAAACAGTCGTGGATTGAAAATGAACAAGTTTTTTTTTTGGTAGGATTATTATTAGGCGTGTGGAGTAAAGAAACTTGCCCAAGAAATCGACCCACTCCGTACTCCTTCCTATTCCCTTTTCATTCATGTATACATCTAAAGAGAAGATCCTGGCTGTTATCATGACAATGTATACATAGAACAATTGGCAGCTACATTATCACTATCTAAACAGGCATTAGTCTTCAAAATAGAAATGAACAAAACTTATAAACTCCACATGTAAATGGTAAACACAATGCGCCACTATTATTTATCCAACAAGTAAACTTAAGATCATAACATACTGTAATTTTGTTCTTCATGCAGTATCTGATCCAAATAGAACCTCATCAAGTATTTCTGGACATCAGGGATTTATTTAACTATTTGTATCCACAATCAAAAGTGTCTTTCTAACTTAGTAAGAATAAATCATTTAAAAATTAAAATTTAACAACTTAAACATTGAATACAAGGGACATAAATTCATAATTGTGATTGTAAGAATTAATAGGAAAGTTAGGACATCCCCTCCACACAGAGGCTGTTAAGTCATGGATTTTTTTGCCACAAGTGGCTACTGAACCCAAGAACATAACTTCTTCATTGATGGAAAAACATCTTTTGTTAAAAGCATGAATCAGAAGATAAGTTTTCTTTAAAAAAATGGAAAAAATTAAAATAAAATGTCTGGAACAAACCTTGCTTTGTTGCTCTTGCTATGTACCTTCTCCTGTCCTTTAATTTTGCTCTGGTGTCCTCAACGGTTTCAAATTCTGGTGCATAACACACATGAAGCAAACTACCAAAGAAACTTCTTTCATCCAGTTTGCGTTTCGCTATTCTAAAATAGTTGAAAATACATGGTTTATATTTACTGTATGTAATAAAAACATTTTTATATTACGTGTGCATCTTCCACATAAATAACTACTATTTAGTTCACCCAGAGCTCCGAAATCTGCATTCTCTCTAAAACTAGGCTCCACAAGGACACACCCAGCTCCAATGACTCTTCACTCCTCAGCGGATCAACTTTAGAGATCTTGCCCTTACCTTCAATTGTCTCATGGCCTTGCCCCAGCCTAATACTCTATGAACTCCTGCAATCCTATTTTCCTGCCCCACAAACTCTGGCCCTTTGGTAAGCAAGCTTTTAGGTTCTTTGTTCCTTTCCTCTGGAACTCTCTTCCAAATTCCCTCCAGTTTGCTTCTCACTCTCTGCTTTCAAAACCTGTCTAAAAACCTTTATTTTTGATTGTGCTTTCAGCCATGCCTTCCCACTTCATCCTGCTTGAGCTCCCAATCTGTCTTTGGAAAACACTTTGGGACATTCTATGAGAAAGGTGACATATAAAAGCAAATTGTTATTTGTGTGTATAAAACAATTAAATCTGAACTTTCTATTCGCCTTCCCTCCTCTGAACTTGATTCCATATTCCCTTGACCATGTTAAACATACCAGGGTTCAGTTTACCTCTACCCTTTATTTCAAAAATATCTATCCTAAAGCCTTTTCCTCCTTAGGGTGAACATTCAGTTTCTGTATAGCATAGCCTAGGTGCCTAATTCCCAGTTATCACTATCAATTCAATTACCCTTTGTTGTATTCTCTCCAATGTCCTTATGACCTTGCTATAAGAGGGAAGACCTTACTGGTAACCAGAATTGCATGCATTACGTGGAGTCCTGTAGCTCAGTGGTTAGAGCACTCGCTTTGCAAGTGAGAAACCTGAGTTCAATTCCAGGCAGAGGGCGAAACCTTGGGCAAGTTTCCTTACTCCACATGCCTCCAATAATCCCTCCAAAACAAAACAATAATAAATTGGTCATTTTCAATCTACGACTGTTTGTAGGACATTGCTGTGCGCAATTGGCTGCCACGTTCGCCCACAAATATACAGTCAATTCACTTTACAGTGTGTTCTGTGAAGCGCTTTGGGACATCCTCCCGACGTGAACAGTGCTATATCAAATGTAAGGATTATTATTATTATTACTCCAGGTTGGGCCTATAAACAGTCACTTGATTGCAATTTCTATGAAGCACTTTGATAATTTGACGATACAGGAGCTAAGAAAATACAAGCTCTTTTTTTTTTAAACAGAACACATATTACAAATACAATAAAGAAGCAATTGAAAATATTCCAGAACCAGATATTATATAGTAAGATGGCACCTCAGCAGCTCATTACCTCGCACTCTGCAATCGCTGGTATTTGATTTTGTAAACTTCAGTAAATTCCTCTGCCGGGTATTCATCCAGTACAGAGTACTCTTCAATGGTTCCATACAAAGCAAAAAGTTCAACCAACTCCTTCATGACACCTATAGCTGGTACTCCTTGTATTAACAGGTGCCTCGATTCCAAATTTATTGTATATACCTAGAATATAGAATAGTGTAGAAAGCTGAATGCACACAATAATAATTTACATTTACATAGTGCATTTTACTTCAGAAAATCGTCAAAAAAGACGTCTTAAAGCTGACTGGGAACCTGAGTGGGTGATGTTTCAAAGATGGAGGAGAATGGACTTTAGCCAGTGCCCTGATGAAAGGTTTAAAGGAGAGTAGGGGGTCAACCAAAACAGATTCCGCACAAGCTTCATGTTTTGGGAGAGAGCAAAAGGGAAGCTCAGTGGGCAAGGAGGCGTGGACGGAAACCGAGCACCATTGACTAAGTTTTGTCAAAGTCGCGTTGGAGAAAGTGAAAACTCATCCAGCAGTTATCCAGTCTGACAAACACATTTACTGAACTGCTGTGGCACTGCTTGCAGATTCACAAATGAAGCATTACAGATCAAGGTCCTCTCCGCCTGTTTAAGTGGACATTAAATATCCATTGGCACTATTAGAAAAGAGAAGAGAGCCCCAAAAGAACCCCAAAATAAAAATAAAACTGGTCAATCGTTTCATGGTTACTTGTGGGACATTGCTGTGTGCAGCTGGCTTCCGCAGTTCACGTACAAAATACACTGTCACTCCAATTTACAGTATATTCTGTGAAGCGTTTGGAGGTATCTCGGCACCTTGATAAGGTGCTACATCAGTAGCAAGGATTTTTCTTATTCGAGAGCTGCAACTGTACACTGCAGCTACGTGTTTTCCACATGTATGCGGATCACACCCAACTCTGCTTCCTCCCTCGACTCCAGGATCACTGCTGTCCTGACAGAATGACTGTCAGACATCAAGTCCTGGATGAGAGCTGACTTTGTACAGTTAAACATCGACAAGACGGAGGTTCTCCTGGTTCGCTTCCGTCAGCGCCTCCTCAGCTCAGACACTGACAGCATCACCGCCCATGGTGCTCACTCCACCTTACTAAGCCGGTCAGAAACCTTGGCATCTCGTTTGACCCTCAACTATCCTTTTTACCCCACATTCACGTCATGACCCGCTCGGCCTTCCCTCACCTCCGCAACATCACCCGGATCCGCCACTATCTGACACCGCAGGCCACTGAAACCCTCATACACGCATTCATAACATCCAGGCTCGACTACGCAAACTCACCGCTTGTCGGCCTCCCCAACTCCTCCCTCTATAAGCTGCAGATCATCCAGAACACTGCAGCCTGTGTCCTCTCCCACACCAGGCTCCGTGATCCTATCACCCCCATCCTTGCCCGACTCCACTGGCTTCCCATCACACACAGGATACAGTTCAAGTTCCTGGTCCTCACCTTGTTGGCGTTGTTCCCCTCTACCTCTGCAATCTCCTAAACCTCTACCAACCTGTCTGCTCCGGTCTGCTTCGCATCCCCCATAATAATAATAATAATCCTTGCATTTGATATAGCGCTCTTCACGTCGGGAGGACGTCCCAAAGCGCTTCACAGAATATACTGTAAAGTGAATTGACTGTATATTTGTGGGCGAACGCGGCAGCCAATTGTGCAGAGCAATGTCCCACAAACAGTCGTAGATTGAAATTGACCAATTTATTATTGTTTTGTTTTTTGGAGGGATTATTATTAGGCTCTGTGTGGAGTAAGGAAACTTGCCCAAGGTTTCGCCCTCTGCCTGGAATTGAACTCGGGTCTCTCACTTGCAAAGCAAGTGCTCTAACCACTGAGCTACAGAACTCCACAAATGGGAGTATAGCAACATAGCAACAGTGGTGGTCAAGCCTTCAGCCACTCTGCCCCCACCCTCTGGAACTCCATCCCACAGACCCTCTGCCTCCCTCCCTTACCTCCTTCAAGATGAACCTCAAGACCCTCCTCGTCAACTGTGCCTTCGATCACCCTCCTTTCCCCGCTTGCCCTCCACCCGCCCTGATCCCGCCCCCCAGCTCGGGTCCGAAACACTGATGGTCCAGCGCCCCGGGACATCCTCGCGACGCGAAGGGGCACTGTACAAATGTGATGTTGTTGTTGTTGTTGTGGTAACAAGGGCCAAAACTCTTACACACTGCCTCCCAGTGGCCCAATGCCGCCCAGGGTCAGTGACACCCGAGGCAGGACAAGCTCCTCAACAAGGCAGCAGCGACTTGCATTCATAGAGCGCCCCCCACAGCGGGCGGCGTCCCAGAGCGCTTAGCAATGGTGGAACCCGACGCTGAGCCACTGAGCCGCGGGAGGGGGAGGGGGGGAGGAGGAGGAGGAGGAGGGGGGCCACAGGCACAGTCGGAAGTGGAAGGTCCTCAGGCGCAACCTGAAAATGGGAAAAGAGGGGGCGAGGGGAGGGATGGGGGGGGGGGAGGTCCACAGTCTCGGGGTGTAGCGGCTGAGGCTCGGCTGCCGGGGGTGCCGCGGAGGGCTCGGGGGGGACGGGGGGACAGGGAGGGGACAGGGAGGAGGGCTCGGGGGGGGGGGGGACAGGGAGGAGGGCTCGGGGGGGGGGGGGGGGACAGGGAGGAGGGCTCGGGGGGGGGGGGGGGGGACAGGGAGGAGGGCTCGGGGGGGGGGGGGGGACAGGGAGGAGGGCTCGGGGGGGGGGGGGACAGGGAGGAGGGCTCGGATGGGGCACAGGGAGGAGGGCTCGGGGGGGACAGGGGGGGGCACAGGGAGGAGGGCTCGGGGGGGACGACGGGGGGACAGGGAGGAGGCCGGAGCCGGTAGAGCGGAAGGCAGCGGGTGGTGCTGTGAGGAGAGAGGGGGTCGGCGAGGCCTTGGAGGGATGTAAACACTGCAGAGCGGATCCAGGCGTCGCTCGGCTGTGTGACGGGAGCCCCCGCGGTGGAGTTTGGCAACACTTACTTTCACAGCCCTCAGTCTGCGGCCCTCTCTGTACTTGGGCCTCGTGAAGCACACGCTCTTCTGCTGGTGGTGCTTGTGCACCTCTGGAGCCGGAGCGGCCATCAGACACTCACACACACACACACAGCCCCACCCACAGCTACACACCCTGAGCTGCGCGTGCGCACAGGTCTTAACCCCCCCCTTTCCCGCTTTCCCCCAGGGCTCCGATTGGATGAGGCGACGGGAGGGCGGGCGGACCTGCGCGATGTGATAGGTCGCTCGTGCTGTCAGTCACTCACACCATATGTTGTGCATGTGACGCTCGCGCCGTTGGCTCGCGCTGCAGAACGTGTTTGAATTTGAGGGAAGGGCTGGGAGTTCTGACAGTAACGGTTACCGGCCCTCCCCTCCGGCCCTGCCCTCCCCTCCCCGCGGGCCCTGCCCTCCCCGCGGGCCCTGCCCTCCCCGCGGGCCTCCCCCCTCGCGGGCCCTGCCCTCCCTCCCGCGGGCCCTGCCCTCCCCTCCCCGCGGGCCCTGCCCTCCCCTCCCCGCGGGCCCTCCCTCCCGCGGGCTCTGCCCTCCCCTCCCCGCGGGCCCTCCCTCCCCGCGGGCCTGCCCTCCCCTCCCGCGGGCCCTCCCCTCCCCGCGGGCCCTCCCCTCCCCGCGGGCTCTGCCCTCCCCTCCCCGCGGGCCCTGCCCTCCCCTCCCCGCGGGCCCTGCCCTCCCCTCCCCGCGGGCCCTGCCCTCCCCTCCCCGCGGGCTCTGCTCAGTGCCGCTGACAGCGGAGCGGCCTTTTGAGAGGCGGTCGGCCTGGCCACTAAAGTTCCCGCGGCTCTCGGGTTAGGCTGAAAAAAGGGGAGGAAGTGAGCGAGAGGAGGACAAGGGGGGCGGTGCGAGGGGCTCGGCCTGGTCTGGCGGAGGAGGAGGAGGAGGAGGATGCTGCTGAACGGCGGCTCCGGGGCTGCGAGCGCGGAGCTGAGACTCTGCATCACGAAGGATTGCTTCCTGCACCTGACGGCGCATCTGTCCTCCCAGCTCCAGCTGCAAGAGGTGCTGTCGGTCTGTCTGTGTGTGTGTCTCTGCTGTGCTCTGTTACCAGTTGACCTCTGGTTTATTTGCAGGGCCCGGGGTTTAATGCTTAACCATTTCTCACCCCCCCCCCCTCCCTCCCTCCGTCCTTAATGCCTCGGACCTGTTGCTGAAATGCAACTTTTGCTGCTGTTCATCACCCCACAGAGTGAATGAATGCACTGCAACTTGTTGCAGTCTGAGATAACTTAAGCAGGAAAGCTGCACTTGCGGTTTTAGGACATGCAATGGATTTCGGCCTCAACCGGGTGTTCAATCGAAGTAATAATCCTTGCATTTGATATCGTGCCTCATCACGTCTTTTGAGACGCCTCAAAGCGCTGCGCAGGATGTACTGTCGAGTGAATTTTATATTTTGTATATTTTTAATTCATCTTGATTTCTTCTCTTCCTCCCCCCCCCCCCCACCACCTTGCTAATGATTTCAACATCAACCTGCATTTATTTAGTGCCCTTCATCCAGGCTAGCACCTTGGAGCACTGTACAGTAGTATTTTGGACATCGAAGGGAAGGGTGAAGTGACAGTAAGTGCTGCAGAACAAGTAAATGTTAGGGCGGGATTTAAAGATGGACACAGGCAGATGTTTCAAAGGTTAGGGTCATAGTGGCTGAAGGTATGGCCACTGAGGGTAGTGCAGAGGGATTGGGGAACATACATACATCAGGAGGTATGAGCAGGTCACAGAGTTAGGGAAGTGCTAAGGGGTGAAGGAATTTGAATGTGAGGATGAGTTCCTTGAAAATTATCCTTTAGGAGAAGTGGAGCCTGATGGGGATTGATGCGAGGAGTTTGGTGCAGGTGAGGAGTTCAGGCAGAAGAGTTTTTTTTTAATGAGTTGGACCCCGTGGATAGTTAACTGGGGAGACCACCAATCAGAGAAATCAATGCAGGATGTGGCAAAAGCATGGGCAAGGGTTTCAGCAGATTTTAGGGTGCGTTAGGGTGGGGGCAAGTGTTGTGATAGAGATTGTAGAAAAGTCCTGGTTATGGACAAAATGTGGGGTAGGAAGGACAGCCAGAAATCAAACCAGACACCATAATTGTACAAAGGTTTAATGAGTTTGAAAGACAACCCCAGGAGGTTGACAAGGTTAGAGCTATAGGTGAGGAGACTCTGACGGAGCCATGAAGGATGGCTTCTGTCTTACATACTAGGCTAGTTATTGCCAAAGCAGGCTGGCCTGCTCCATCGGCAGTCGGATCTTCAGCCTTTCTGCTCCCACCCTCTGGAACGCCATTCTGGAGTCCCTTTGCTTTACCAACACTTCCTTGCCTCCTTCAAGGCCCATCCCAAGACCTTCCTCTTTGACTGTGCCTTTGGTCATCAGTCCCATCCCCTCCTCCTACCCTCAACCTCTTAACTCTAACCCCCAGCTGGGGTCCAAACCTTCCAGCTATCCAGTGCCTCCTCCTGACTTGAAAGGCACTATATAAATGCAACTTGTTCTTGTCGTTTCAAAGTATACCTGAGTGGTTCTTGTTTTTTCTTGCATAATGATTGCAGTGTTTTCACCCATTAATCATGTGATTTTTACTTTATCGTCCGAATTTAGCAATGTTTTTGTACGTGATATACAAAATGCATATCTATAGCTATTTTCCCTATCAAGCCGCCTCAACCTTCCTCGACATTTATACTTTGTTCCACTGTGTATGTTACACTATGAAAAATATTATTTTAATCACTTAATGGTATCCTTTTGATACAGTAATAGTAAAAGCCTAAATTTTAGTATTGAAATTACTTGTATAAATATTGTTTACAGAAATATTAATAATTATTTTTGTATTTGATATAGAGCCTTATCATGTCGTTGAGATGTCTTGAAGCACTTATATTCTGTAAAGTGGACTGACTATGTATTTGTAGATGAAATGCAACAGCCAATTTGTACTTTGTTGCAACTCCCCCTTTGTTCTGCATCATTTACACCTCATTAACCCATCATCCCCTGGACTCTACCCCATTTCCTCCTTTTGTCTTCCTTGCTCTGCCTTCCCCCCTCTCTGTTTGCCCTTAAAAGCCTCTCCCTCCCAACATGCCTCAGTTCTGACGAAGGGTCGTGGACCCGAAAAGTTGGCTCACTTTCCTTTCTCCATAGACACTGCCTGACCTGCTGAGTGTTCCCAGCGACTTCTGTTTTTGTTTTTAAATTTCCAGCATCTGCAGTATTTTGTGTTTTGTATATAAATGTAATGTTGTTGTTGCATCACATTCAAAATAACTGATGGCTGATAAACGGGTTTTGCAAGTGATAATGATAGTTGACACTGACCTTCAAATCTTTTTTATTTTTATTGGGCATTTATTTTCTTCTATCTGTAGTCTCCATATTGGACTAAAGAAAGAGATCATAGATGATCCACTTGATGCTCTACTCAGCTCTACAATTAGCTTTGACGGTGTTTCCAAATGGCTTTCCTTCTTTGGGGCCTTACCATAATGGCTGAGAAACTGTGGCTTATCCTGTTAGGTGATTGGGGATCCAGTGCATTGCACTACTGAGCCTCTCTTCACATTAAAGTTTTATTACACATATATTCATACTAACATCTTTTATAATTCTTTATTAATACAATATTCGTCATTATTGATTCATCTTCTCTGTGCAATATTTAGTGTCAAACAATCGAGCTATCCTGGGGTCTTCAGCAGTCGGCGTATCTAAGTTGGGTGGGACGCAGATATGGTGGTTTTAAAGAAGAAAACATTGTAGAGATTAACAGACAGCTGGGTGAAAAACTTGGGATCAAAGATGGTGAACAGGTTTGTAAAAAGAACAGTTAGCTCGTGCTTGGTGGACTGTCAAGCTTCCGTTGCTTTCTTTGAGACATTTTTCTTTGATTAACTGTGTCCTCACAGTTTGATGTAAATATTGAAAAAAATATGTTTTCTGTTTAATACAATGGAAAAAAAATCCCTATCTGTTTTAAGAACAGTAATCATAATTTAAGCTATTTTACTTTTGAAACATCTTTATTTATTATTGTAAGATGATTCAATGCTTTATTACTTTTGTGGTAAAGCATCTGTGATTTCAAGCAATTCACATTCTGTTTTCTCTTTGATTCAGGTATTTCTCAGACCTTGTTCACAAATTTCTTCCTGTCACCAAGCAGTCGTGGAACCTCTTTCACCAGATGACTGGGAAATATTGGTAATTATTTATTTTCTTGATATCTGTTTACAAGGAATGACAACCTGCATTATGCAACAATAAACAAACAAAACCAATATGTAATTCAACATCTTACAAAGATTGACTTCATTATGTTCCAATAAAAGAAAAGTAGGAATTCATATAGTTTATGGTGAGTCTTTTAACAAATGAGTGGCCAAGGCACATTTGAATTACAAGGGACTTTCTTTTGAGTGAAACATCCTGTATTACATTTTTTTGTATTGTAATCATAAAAATAATCATTGCATTTGATATTGCGCTTTTATATAAACGTGAAGCAGGCTGGTCCTGGATGAATGAAGGGTGCGGCCAGATACGTACAATTTGAGGAGGTCGCAGATATAGGGTGTGGTGAGACCGGAGGAATTTAAAGGTGTTGACCAGGATCTTGAACTCAGTCTGCTGGGGGAGTGGAAACCAATGGATTTGAGTGAGAATGAGAGTGATGGGCTCTTGGAGTCTAGTGTGGGAAAGGACACAAACTGCAGGATTTTGGATAAACTGCAGCTTGTGTAGTAGGGAAGAGCTGGGAAGTCCAGGTAACAGAGCGTCTATGTAGTCGAGCCTTCAATTATTGTGGGGTCTGTTTGTGTATCGTGCTCAGTGGGATGAAAACTCACAAGACCATACCAGTCATTGTTTTTATTGTTTTGGAATTTTGAATCTTTGTAGCGTTGATTTAAAAATCATTTGAAAAGAATATCTGGTAATCATTGAGTTAATTTGGTGCCTTCTTACCTACAGTTGCCTATAGAGGATACCCCCACTGAGCAGTCTTCCAAAACTCCATAGGGATAAGTCTGATATCTGTCATTAGTATTTTTGTATTGTGATTTTCATAGTGATCATTCATCTGCTGCAACATTTTTTAGACAGTTCATATTTTTAACTTTGTGCTAACTTTATACTGTAGCACTTTAGAAATCACTGAATACAAAATTATGTATATGCAAATACTGACTTTATTAACTAATATGGTTACTTGCTTAAGTTATACCAAATTGTTTGGAAATCAAGCAATTCTATGCTTCTTTTTGGCTGTCTGATTTCATTGATGTTTAATACAAAAACTACGCATGAGCATCAGCTCAGCACTATAATGTGGCGTGTGGTTAATATTCCATATTAGTTTTGATTTTAAAATGAAATGGAAATTTTCTGGAATAATTTCCTCCAAAGAAGCTCGCTTGTCCACTACAAACTCACTTCACATTTAGGCAGAAATGTAGCATGGGCTTATTTCACCAATAAATTCAGGCTAATCAATTTAATCATAATTTATATTTCAATGTAATAGTGATATATAATGGAAATGATTAAATATTTTTAAAAATTGTAGTAATAGTACATTACATTTGACATTGTGCCTTTCAAAGCTATTCACATTTGATAACATTCCAGTAATTGTTAACTATAATATTCATAACTGTTAAATATGGTAATAATATATAATGCAATATATATTGTAAATGAGAAAAAAAAATCTTTTGAATTTTACATTATTCTGTTTCTTCAAATCATGAGATGATCACTAGTGTACAGTTTGTAATGCTGATATTGCTACTTTTTAATAAAATAGAATGTTTGACTGTAGTAATTATTTAGCTTTGAAATGTGACTGTATTAGCCTGTTCTGAAAGTTTAACAATATGTACAGTGCTCAGGTATTCATTCAGGATTGATTCTTCACTTATATTTTTTACAGGAGCTCCACAGTGCCTCTCTTGAAAGGCATATTATGGACCAGATTAGGGTTGTCTTTCCTGGAGGGGTATTCCCTATATGGGTAGAGAAACGCACTGTCATTTATATTAAAATTGGTAAGTAATTTGAAGAAGAATGAACAAATAGTTTTGGAATAGTTAATGTGTTGCTTTGAGACTTTGAACTGGTTACAAAAAACCCTCGAGTAGTTATTGAAAATGTACTCCCTGTCGATGCCACTTCCTGGGTGTTGTGCACACCCAAAGTAGGAAGTGATGTCAATAGTGATCTGATGACTCAGAAGTTGACCATTTTTATTACAAGAGCTGACTGGTGCGCAGGATGCGAGTGTACATTCTGAATGCATGTGTAATGAATGCAGTCCACACTGCACTTTGGGACCAAATTTGCACTAAAACTTAGGAAATATAATATAATAATAATCCTTGCATTTGATATAGCGCCTTCTCGTGTCTTTGAGACATCTCAAAGCGCTTCACAGAATGCACTGTCAAGTGAATTGACTGTATTTTGTGGGCAAAAAAATCCAGAACTCTGCAGCCCGTGTCCTCTCCCGCACCAAACTCCGTGACCCCATCTCCCCTATTCCACTGGCTCCCTATCCTTCAGAGGATCCACTTCAAGATCCTGGTCCTCACCTACAAAGCCCTCCATGGCCTCGCCCCACCCTACCTCCGTGACCTCCTAACGTCCTACCATCCCACCTGGCCCCTCCGCTCAGCCGGCTCCGCCTGCTCCACGTCCCTCAACACACTCGCCCCACCATTGGTGGGAGAGCCTTCAGCCACTCTGCCCCCAACCTCTGGAATTCCATCCCCCAATCACTCAGCCTCGCCCCCTCCTTAGCCTCCTTCAAGTCCCACCTCAAAACCCTCCTTTTCGACCATGCCATCAGCCAACCCCCTTACTCTTCACTCCCTTCTCCCCCCCCCCCACCCCGACCCCAGCCTGGGTCTGAAATGCTGTACACTGTCCAGTGCCTTGGGACGTCCTCCTGATGTGAAAGGCGCTATACAAATGTAATTTGTTGTTGTTGTTACAATCAATCCAAAGTCCATTTTTCAAACCTTTCTGAATCACTTTTGTTGATTTCAGAGTTACTCTGTGCCAGTTTGAATTCAGTAATGGTTATTTTGCCCACAAAATATACAGTAAATTCACTTTACAGTATATTCTGCAAAGCATTTTGGTATATCTCAAAGACATGATAAGGCGCTATATCAAATACAAGTATTATTGTTATGTTCCTCAGTTCCAGAATGTTGTGTAAAGTGAACAGCAATCAGGAATCTTGCTATTCTCCTTCTGCTGTTTTAGAAGTGCTGCGCTGATAAAGTGCTATGAGAACGTCCTAGTGACGTTTCTCTAAATCGGAGAATGCTTCTTTATAGGAAGCTTTTTGCTAGCCTATTCATTCTGTTCATGACTGTTTGTGGAACTTTGCTGTGCAGACTGACTGCCGTGTTTGTCTACAAATTCACACACTACAGTTGGCACTAATTACCTGCCAATGTCACTTCCCGTGTGCTTTGAGACTCCCCATTTTATGCATTATATCAAATGCAATAATATTATTTGCTTGTGGCTAAATAAGGATCTTAGTCAATTGGAAGGCTTGTGAATTGAAGTTCTGAATTTCATACGGGTTCCACAGATCCAAACTCGTGTGGGTGAAGTTGTCTCTTTAGTACCTGGATTAACACAGTGTACAGTTTGTTTCTTGGAGTAGGCTTGTTAGTTCATAGATTTTTGTGTCTGCATAGAACTTATTGTTTTGCATCTTTCTTCTCTTCCAGTCTCTATATCCCCTGCTGCTGCTTACGGAAGATTAGAGCGTTTCACTGAGCTCATTGTCTCGCCCAAACTACGTCATGCTGAAGGAGGGTCTTTACAAGCTTCCTTTGATGAAAGCAGTATTTTTACTAAAAAACTCAATTCTGACAACACTCAAATGCTTCATGACAATTTTGAGAGAGCAGAGAATGAACACCTTTTAAAGAGGCCGAATGATAAATATACAATACATGATCAATATATGAAGGAAAATCAAGATATTTCCAACAAAAATATTTTGTCATATTTATGGGGTTTTCTGAAGGACATATTCTCTGGAAACTTAGATGTCTCAGAAAAGTTTCCTTCAAAAGATGCCTTTTTAAGCACGGTTTCCAACTCTGTTGAGATGGACTCAATATTCAGAGTCTGCAAGCAACTTTCTTATAAGTTAAAAGCACCAGGTTCAATACTGCTGAACCAAAGCCAACCTGATACAGTTCATGTCTTTCCTTTGAACCCATATGTCCCTAATATGGGCAGCAATAAAGTTATTTATGGAAAATTGACAAAACTCTTGTCATACAGAGAAGCAAAAGAAAAGACAAAGCAGAGTCCGCAGATAGAAAAGAAAGCTGGATCTAATGGTGACATAAGAACATCCAAAACCAGAACAGAAGGAGAACATGAGGCGTGCATTGTTAAAGTAATCATTCATGGGTGTGAAGACTTCAAATGTGTCAACAGCTCTACAGGTTTCCACAATGGAAAAGTGTGGGTTAGTACTGCGTTTTGGCACTTTCTTATTTCTTTAAATAAAATTAAAACTGCAAATGCTGGAAATGTAAAATCAGGACATGAATCCCATTAACACCTGAATTAGAAAGATGAGTTACCATTTGGGCTATGACCTTATATCAGAACTGACATGATACTTGAGGGCAGCTGTGTATAGATGTTGGGAAGACATTGAACATAATAATTTCTGCAGCTAGCTGGTGGTCCATTAAAAGTACATTACTTTGTACACTGTGCACCAAATAGTAATAATAATAATAATCCTTGCATTTGATATAGCGCTTTTCACGTCGGGAGGACGTCCCAAAGCGCTTCACAGAACACACTGTAAAGTGAATTGACTGTATATTTGTGGGCGAACGCGGCAGCCAATTGCGCACAGCAATGTCCCACAAACAGTCGTAGATTGAAAATGACCAATTTAATTATTGTTTTTAGTTTTGGAGGGATTATTATTAGGCGTGTGGAGTAAGGAAACTTGCCCAAGGTTTCGCCCTCTGCCTGGAATTGAACTCAGGTCTCTCACTTGCAAAGCGAGTGCTCTAACCACTGAGCTACAGGACTCCACTAGTAATCACATTCTTTCTGCAAAGTACAGTACTATATTTTGGTAAAAGTGCTCGGGGGCTTCCATTCAATTGTATAGGTGTAATTGTACTAGACTTACTGGATACCAAAGGTCTCGGCTCCAATTTCACTATGGCAGCTTTGTAATTTGAATTCCCCAAAAATGGAAAATCCATCTGGCACTAGGGAAATGGTGACAAACTGACGGATTGTTTATAAAAAAACTACTGTGTCATTAATGTCCTTCAGGGAAGGACAACTGCTATCCATACCCAGTCTCTCCTTCATGTGACTCCAGTCCCACATCTAGTTGACTCTTAACATAGTCTAGTAGGACACCCAGTCAGGGCAATAAATACTGACAGTGTTGCCCAATAGTGAAATGAGTTTAATTTTTTTTTCCGTTTACTGGGAAAAGTCTCTTGAACGTATAGGACACTTGAGTCTTGGATTATTTAACCAGAAAAATACTGTAATATAGAACACAGTTTAGAAATAAAAAAAACTTATCAATTGAATGTCAAATTTATAACTACAAGTTGCATTTATATTGGGTGCTTCTTGTGGGGTAGCATGTCAGAGCACTAAATGTATCATGATATAATGCATAATACCCTTCATAAACATTTGTGAAGGATTATAATGTTAACAAATAGTTACCCTGTGTTTTTCACGATTTAGCTTATGTTTTTGTTAGATTCCAGATGGTTTGAGAAAGAAGCTCAACTTGGAAGTGTCTGCTGCAGTCAGAATAAATTCAGTAAAACCAGACCCTGCCTTTCCAACTGGACTAAAGTTGCAACCTTTGCAAATACTGGTGAGTCTCATCTACTAAAACAAAATTCTTTACTATGTTACTTTAAATCATTGAGGTACTGCCTCTTTAATAACATTAAAAAAACACTTGATATTAGTTTAACATAGTCTATAGGACCCACAGTCATTGTGTTGAGTGGGAATATGTTACAGAAATGAGCAATGCAGAGTATGAGATAGCTATTGTTTAAGTTAAATTTCCTTTGCTCAGAATGATATCCCCAATGAGAAGCAATGAATAGTTTGTGGGAAAGTGGCAATATTACTTGGAGCTAAGATGGGGCCTAATCCTGAAGTACTTCTTGAATCTCTTGAAGCAAACTATTAACTGGCACATTTGCAATTTTTGTTGTGGATTTCTTTTCTCTTTATAATAATCTTCGAGGCATCTCAAAGCGCTTCACAGAATACACTGTAAAGTAAATTGACTATATTTTGTGGGCAAAAAAAGTGGCATTGTTTGAAGCTACTGTAAATAGAGAGCTGTTTAAAATGTGTATATTAAATTTTTTTTAAAGTCACCTTTGTTTACACATCCTGTAGAAACTATGTATTCTTTTTACAATAGACAATTTTTTTTTTTAGCCACCGGGAATTAAAGAAGATGATATAAAATCCTCCTTCATTACCTGGCTGAATATTGTGAGCTCTGGGCATTTACCACTTTTTACATCATGGTCAAGTTTGATACAAATACCGGTCAATGAGTGTAAGTGATGAATTCTTACCCTTGCATTAATATTGGGCTCTCAGTGTCTCGCAAATAATTTCTCAGATTACCTAATTTGGATTTAGTTAAAATCAAAATGTGCCAACTCTCCAGTTTGTTTGTTTTGCGTTTGCATTTTGTATCTTGCTTTCATTCCTTATTTTGTTAATGTGCCTTGCTGTCATGAAGGACAAATATGCTATTACTGTATATCAATGAAGTGAAATCAGAGTGTAGGCTTGTGCTGTGGATCTTGGAAGAAGTTTGACTTCAAAGTGAATCTTCACACGTTCAAAACCATGAACCTCCATCTTATAGAGGGTAGCCCCATTAGAATATAGTGATCTGGGTTCATATACTACAACCCTCACATTAAAACAGCATGTTTCCAATGACGTCACTGTACTCTGGCATTAATGAAGTGACTTTGCAAGGTGAAAGGATGTCAACAGCACTTTCTACATGCATTGCATATGAATTGATGGCAGCTGCAGGAACGTTATGACTCAGAACATGCCCATTTTTTGGCAGGAGAAGCCGGCTGGTTAATGCCATAAAACTGGTATATTTCACTTCCAGTGTAGTCCAAAGTACACCTGTGCTATAAGCAGACCTGTGCAAAACAGCGTTGCTCTGTATTTTCTTTGGAGACAATGGAGTCCACATCATCAACTAGACTGGTGGCAAAATTATACTAGGAACATATAAGCAACGAATGACTTGGAAATAACATGTGGAAAAGATCGTTATGATCTGTCTGGTCAGTCCTAAGTTTATAAATTAAATTATACTATAATCTATCATTGCACCTGTATTGAATTATCAATAAGTAGCTCTCCAATTCCCTCTCGAGTTTAAATCCATCTATTTTTTGGTTCCAGGTGACATTGAGTTAATGCTGTCTGTGGAACAGCCTGTAGAAAATTCAAAGACTGAAATTGAACTTTTTTTACTATATCCATGTTTGGTGAAGGAGATCGATATACAGGTAAATATGTTTTTTCCTCAATTATTATTAGTGATTTTACATTTATTATACTAAATGGCGATCTGGTTTGGCTGCCACTATTCAACTTGTTACATATTTGAATCAGTTCGAACTACTAGATCTGATGATCAGAGGCTTGGATAGGGTGATCAGGGAAAGATTATTTTTGGTGGTCTAGTATTGGAGGGCATAGTTTTAAGATCGTAACTGGGAGGTCCAGAACAGAGTTTAGGCGGAACGTTTTCACATAGTGTCGAGAGTGTGTGGAATTCTCTGCCACAGTCAGTTGTTGGGGTGTAAACCATGTGCACATTCAAAAAAGACTGGATATATGGTTGAGGGAGAATCAAATTAAGGGATCTGGGGAAAAGGCCAGGATATGGGATTTAGGGATAGTATCTAGGATGGGCACTCGTGTTGCGTGTGAGGACTGGTCAGACTGGATGTGCCGAATACCTGTTTCTGAGCTATACTTTCTATGGACATGGGCTAGTGTAAAAAGATTGAGATTTGCAGCAGATCAGTTTGTTACTCCCTCCTGTTTACTGCTTGCCAGGCAGGGCGAAACCTTGGGCAAGTTTCCTTACTCCACACACCTAATAATAATCCCTCCAAAACCAAAAACAATAATAAGTTGGTAATTTTCAATCTACGACTGTTTGTGGGACATTGCTGTGCGCAATTGGCTGCCGCGTTCGCCCACAAATATACAGTCAATTCACTTTACAGTGTGTTCTGTGAAGCGCTTTGGGACGTCCTCCTGACGTGAAAAGCGCTATATCAAATGCAAGGATTATTATTATTATTAAATGTCGTGTTCTATATTTTGCCTCGCAACTGGAATTTTCTAATGCATTTCTCACTAAAGATTTTCATGCATGCTGTGCTGTGAAAAGCATGATTCCCATACATAATGGGTCTGTCCTCTTATTGCTCACACAAACATGAAAAGTTTAATGTGAATAAGGTATTTAATTCATCATTGAAATTAAGCAGCTGAAGGCCTACATATGTGGCTTGTTTGAATATGCCACATAGTTTATAAACAGTCAGTGATAATGGAATCAACATTCTCTTATACATTACAGTTCAAATTCACTGTTTAGTGTATCGATCTTTTGTATTGCAAAGATTTCAAGGTTGGGAGACCTTGCAGACTTTTTGTTAATTACTTCAATGTTTATTACATATAACATTAATATTTAATGTTAACATATGTTGCTGTTTAAAGTCAATTTGAAAACTCATCACAAAGCCGTCTTAACCGTCACATCCAACGACCTCACATCTCCTTACCTTCCTTTCCTACAATCTACAATATTTTAAAACACTATTTGGCATCACCCATTTATTGATTTGTCCTATTTTCTCTTTTGCTCTTTTCAACCTTGGTGGTGCCCTGCACTGTGGACTTTGTCTCTTTGTGCAGGATACTTAATAAAAAATGTTTACAAGTTGGGAAGACATCCCAAAGCACTTCACAGGATATACTATAAATTGTAGTGACTGTATTTTGTGTGCAAACATGACAGCCAATTTGCAGTGTCCCACAAACAGCCATGAAGTGAATGACCAATTTTATTTGAGGGATTGTTGGCAGGGCACCAAGAGAAACTCTTCTCTTTTCGAATAATGCCATGGGATCTTTAACGTCCATTGGAACAGGCACTTGGGGCCTCAGTTTAATGTCTCATCTGAAGGACGGTACCTCCAACAATACAGCATCCTCCCAGCATTGCATTAGAGCTTCATCTTAGACTATATGAATTCCAAGCACTTAACAATAGGAATTTGTGTTACAGAATATAAAGGGAAATTCTTATAATGTGTTCCTTTTTATACAGGTAATTTTGCATCCTCCCATTGGAGACTCTGAATTTGCAAAGACTCTGGATGACATTGACCAGATTCTTCCATTTTACAAATTAAACTGCTTGGGGTAAGGAAATTATTTTGATTTCTGCATTAATCTCATGTCGAAACTTATAACTGTGTATTGCAGATTATCAGTAGTGTTTGCCTTAAAATGACGTAAGAAAGAATTTCTTCATTTTAAGGCCATTTTTATTGAGGAACAAATGAGTTTGGCTGGGAATGTAACTGTGGGAATGGGAATTCAACATTTTCATTATCCATGCTGCTTGGCTATTCTTGGTAAGTATATGTTAATGTTAAGGCAGTGAGTCCAAATAACGTTACAACATGCGGTCTTAAAAAATGTCACCTTTGCTATGTTGCAGAGGAGTTTGTGAACTTGCCACTTCCGCTTTTGAACACATCTCTCACAGCCTTTTGGGTTGTCCTCTTTCACGGGACATGAGCCCTGTTGTTCTGGGTCTTCGAAATGGAGCTCTGCTGCTTACAGGAATAAAGGTGCCTGGATAAATATTCTCTTCTTACTTTGTGTTTTGTAAGGGAAAGTGTAGTCCAAGCTTGAAATATTGTTTCAAAAAAGGTTGATGTTTAAATGAAACGATGTAGCTTGTCTAAGTCAGAAGCACTGTTTTCTCAATTTCTTCATTTATTTTATGATTACAATGTAGCCTTTGCTCCTAATTATACACAATACAAGTTGCAAATAATCCAAAATATGAAGAAACAAAACAAGTTTGTCAAATCACCAGCATTGATTTCGAGCATTAATCTGAAATGTCTTAATTTTGTAGAAATTACAATATTGCCGAGAAACCTTTAAGGGGTGGGGGTTGTATTTGTCAGGTGACTATATTTTGGGGAGATTTATTTGTTCAAGGAAGAATTGGATAGCTTTTTGATCAAATACATTGAATGAGAGGTATCAGAAATGGAGCAGTAGGAATTTTTATTAATGGTTTATGCATTATGATTAACAAGATATGCCTCATCGTTCTTCTGCATTGTGCAGTCATGTGACAGTCCTGTGTACTGTGAGTTTTCCTACTTGTTTCTTTTTATCTTGGTTTCTTTTAATTCTAATCATTATTTTATGTATCTCCAGTATTTCTGTTGCTCTTACACAATTGTTAGGTTGAGCAACCATTCCTTGGATAGAATTTCCTGCCCACTTTACCCCATGATTTTTCAGCAAAATATTTTTCATGTAACCAATTTTTTTAATGGTATCAGTAACTATGGTAACCATTTCAGGTAGGAGTAGATGATCTGTCTTACTTACTCATCCAATTTCATATAAGGAGTTGACTTGGCAGAATTTTTAAATTAATGAATGGATTTCTTAATTAAAAAATCCAGAAGTCCATGATACTGAATCGTGGGAATGCTGCTCTGACACAATCTATTTTTAGAGTGACATCCATGACATGCTTCCTAGCTACTGAAAAGAGTTTCCCCCTTAGATTTCTTAATTACAAATTCCATTTTTAATTTTGAAATCCATTGAGAAATATTGGAATATTGTCCCACAATTTCCTTCAAAGCATCTAAATCCAAATTGAGTAACTACGTAGAGCTGCATAGAATGATAATCATATTCCTTTGACATAGTGCCTTATCACGTCTGTCTTTGAGACGTCAAAGTGCTTCACAGAATATACTGTAAAATTAATTGACTGGATACTTTATGGGCAAAACGTGGCAGCCAATTGTACAAGCAGTGTCCCACAAACAGTCGTGAATTAAGTGACCATATTATATATTTTTTTCAGGGATTATTACCCCCGGAAGAGCGATCTGCCAATTGATTAACAACCGGGTTCTTACTTATTGTTAGGTAAACAACAACAACTTGTATTTATATAGCACCCTCCAGACCAGGCGTCGTCCCAGGGCACTTAACAATGGCGGAGCCCAATGCCGAGCCTGAGAGATGGGGAAGTTGACCATAGGCATGGTTGAAGTGGAAGATCTTCAGGCACAACCTGAAAATGGGAAAAGAGGGGGCAAGGCAAAGGGATTGTGGGAGGGAAGTCCATAGCTTTGGGGCATAGTGGCTGAAGGCACGGCTGCTGATTCGGCTTCGGATCCTGACCCAACTGTCCAGCGCCTTGGGACGTCCTCCCGATGTGAAAGGGGCTCTATAAATGGAATCTTGTTGTTGTTGATGGTGGATTGGAGGATTCGAGGGATAAGGAGGAGGCTGGAGCTAGTAGAGCGGAAAAAGCGGGTAGTGCTGTGAGGGGAGAGGTAGTTGGTGAGATAGGGAGGTGCCAAGGAATGGAAGGATTTAAACACGAGAGAGGATCTTGAAGTCGATCCGTTCTGTGACAGGGAGCCAGTGGAGTTTGGCAACCACTGGGCTAATCGGTGAGAATGCGGGTGGCGGAGTTTTGGATTAGTTAAATTTTGCGAATAGTGGAGGAGGGAAGACTGGCGAGGGTGTTTGACTTGTACTCTGACAGAGGTGTATGGAGTAAGGCAACGTTTTGCCCTGCCCAGGAATCAAACCCAGGTCATTCGCTTGCGAGTCAAGTGCTCTAACCACTAAGCCTCAGGACTCTGATATAGCAATGGGCCATTTGGCCCAAATAGTCCAACTGGTGTTTATACTTCACAACCATCCCACCCCTCTCCTATACTCTTCTTCCCTTATCACTTATAGAAGTTTTATATTAACTACGTTGATGGTTTTTGCTTCAACCACAGCTTCCAGCACTGAGTTTCACATTTTCACTACCCTCTGCATGGAGAAGTTTCTTCCTAAACTCCCTATTAGGTCTACTACTAGCTATCTTAACCCTGGATCTTTTTATTTTAAACTAAAAATGGTTTGACTTCTAAAAATAATTCAATAGTGAAATTGTTCTAAGTGAGGTTTAAAAAAATGTTTATTGTTTTTCTCCTTGAACAGTTTTTAACTCTAAAATCATGCACGAAGGACATGCCAAACCACTTGTTATGTGATTAATAAAACTAAGAGCTTCAAAAACTTCACGTTGGAGCCCAGTTCTAGCTCTGTTAATTTATGAATATTGTTTTTACAATTATTTTCAGGGAAGTGGAAAAAGTACTTTGGCAAAAACCATCTGCAGAGATGCAGCAGATAAGTTGGAAGCGTACGTGGAGATTATTGACTGTAAAACTTTACGAGGTAAGTTTATATATTTCACAAGGTACAATTGGTGTGCTCATGGTGAGATTAATTATCTGTTAATGCCAAACCAATAACACAGTTAAATTCTTGTAAATAAAGAGAAATCTGAAAACCTTTCAGAGTTTTGGATGAGTTAAATTTTGCAAATAGTGGAGGAGGGGAGACTGGCGAGGAGGGAGTTTGAGGGGAATAATTAGTGGTGTGGTAGTTGAGTTGACATGATTCGCTTTCTCACTTCTGTTTTTGCTTTCTAATTCTTTAATCTCTCTATTTTAATTTGTTTCATCCAGTGGATTATCATTGGGAGGAATACGCTCTGATAATTATCTGAAACAACTTGGATTAATGCTAAAGTATTCTCATGCTAAAATCTTGTCATCATTTGGCATTGCATATGTTGCTTCGTGTGAAAAGAATTGCATACAAGATGTTGGTTTTCAGTAGCGGGTGCCCACAGTAGGTACCATATTCTGATCAGTTACCTGCTTAATAGCAGACTGAGGCACTCTGGAATGATGCCTCTATGCTTAACACAACTCTCAGCACCACGCTCCTACAACCTTCCCCTGCTTTTCTTCCTGTTTGTATTTTCCATAAATTAGGTTTAAATTATGCACACGCACAGAATTTACAGAGCTAATGTTCAAGCATCATGACTCTGTAGTGTTTAGAATTATGCAAACTTAAATAAGAAACATTATTTATGCTTGTAGAAACGGAATGAGGATGTGGTTTTACTGTGAAATCAAAATGAAAAATATTCTTTTATGAACTATTATTGCTTATAGGTAAAAGGGCCGAAAATATCCGTAAGAAATGGGAAGAAGCCTTTGCTGAGGCGATGTGGAGGCAGCCTTCTATTCTTCTATTTGATGACTTAGATGATATTGCTTGTGCTGCCTCTACACCAGAGCACGAACACAGTCCAGAAGCTATACTTAGCAAGCAACTTGTTCAAAGTAATTCTACTTTTTAATAACTTATTAAATAATATGTAAAATAGGATGAGGTTCCATGTGACTTGGATTAAAAGATCTGCCAATATCTAATAAACTGATGAAGCAGGCTCGATGGACTAAATGATCTCCTCCTGTTTCTTATGTTCCCAATTCACAAGGGAGATGGAACCTAAAATTAATAGCACAATCAATGATGGGATGATCTGAAAATTAATAATTAAATTTTATATAATGTAGAATAATACCCACATTTTCATCTTACCACGTCTTAAAGCACTTCATGAGTTTTCTGTAAACTATAGTGACTGTATTTGTGGGCGAATGCAACAGCCAATTTGCACATAGCAGTGTCCTAAAACAGCCACGAAATGAATGACCAGTCATTTACCTGAGGGATTGTTGGCCTTGGACACTTCTTTTGGAATTGTGCCAACATCGACTTGACGGAATTGAACCTTAGTTTAATGTCTCATCTATTAGACGGCACCTTCTAAAATGCTGTGCTCCGCAGAACTGCATTAGAGGGTTGACTTTTATTGTTATGTAGGCAAAATTATAAATTTAGAAATGCTTGGACTTAAAAATATTTTCACTGAAATGATATGCTTCTATATAAATTGTCATTTATTTTAACTTCCTGTGATTTGGAGTGTATTTTCAGATAAATGTATAAAATATGCAGTACTGTTCCATCAAGGGACTTGTATATCAAATGGGTTTCTTGTCTGATATGGATTCTTGTCAAATCCATAACAAGAGTAGTCAAAGTGAAGTTTTTATTGCATGAAAGCTTATTGATACCTTTTCTTCAGTTTTAAAGGATTTGATTGCTGAAGCCATTTCACAAGGGAGTCTTATTGCACTGATAGCGACAAGCATCTCAGAATATACTCTGCACCCATCTTTGGTTTCTGCTCAGGGATCTCATATATTTCAGCGCTTTCAGGAAATTTCACCTCCAGATCAGGTAAATCTGACACATTTCTTAAATCTGAGAATTTTATTTAAATAAGAGTACGATATTGTGTCAGATTGGTAATCTGCAAACTTCTTTATAAGGACCTAGGTGCTTTGGGACTCTACCTTGCGTGAGGGGAGCTAATATAAATGCAGGTTGTTGTTAATACAGTAAATCTCCAGATTAGGGCAGTAGTTGGGGGTCAAAATGTCACTGTCACCTTATAATGGTTAGTTACACTCAAGATAGTCTTGTATAGTCATATATTTGTTTTAATAATATATGCTTATATATATATATATAGCCTTCTAAAGTCAGTGCTTCCATACTGTGACATAACCAATCACATGGCCATTGAGTCACTGCCGATATGTGCAGAAAGCTGACTAAGTCCATTTGGCAGACATCACATATGAAATCATATCGTCACACTTCAAAATGGGACCTCCCACAGCAACTCTGTTTGAAGCGACGACAGGATTTTCAAACGTGATGATGGATTTGGATAGTGATTTGGGGATTTAGATTTTTCGATACGAAAATGTCAGGGTCCACAACCCAACTGCTTTATAAGTAAACCAGTGTTATAACTAAGCATGTTATAACAGGATTCTTCTATATTTACAGATATATAAATGTATGGATATTTCTTTGATTATTAGGATCAGAGAGTACAACTCTTGAGCTCTGTAATCCAAAATAAAACTAATGTCGCAGTGGAGACTTTGCAGAATATTGATCTTCAGAGACTGGCAAAAGAAACTGAAGGGTATGTGGCAAGAGACTTCGTCATGTTGGTGGATCGGGCCATGCATTCTCATGTGTTAACTAGCAAAAACAGCATTCAACGAGGTATGGTGACCAGATTTCAAAGTAAACGTCTGCTCTGAATATGAGAAGCATCAAACATTGCATGTTTAAATTGAATGTAGTAGAGTGTTTAAGATTGTAAATTACGATATAAACCTGACTTTTACTTCTGTTCAACATTTTTTATAATGTCAACTGGTATGATAATGGATTTTATAACAAAAGTTTGTTAGTTTGTTGGAGGATACCACTACCAGCCAAAATTCTTATTCTTAATGTGAGAGGTGTATACAGGAATGTAGCAAGAACTGTACAAAAATAAATTAGCGCCATATTGTGGTCAGGGTAGGTGCCAAGTTGCATCAGAGCAGGTGGTTCAAGGTCGGGAGGAGCGGGAGAAGGAGTCATAGTCTGCTGAGGACCTCGTCCAAGTCCACACAATTGTAAAACATTTGTAAATGCAAATCTAGTCGTGCCATTAAAACTGTTCTGTTTGCTGTGTGCATGTGGGGATAGATGAAACTCAGTTCACTGTTCTCAAAAACAAGCTTGTCAGGAGATTGATCATTTGCATTTTGCCTACATTAATGCAGTCTAGATGAAACTTGGAGGTCATTCTTGGATGAATACTCAGAAATCCAGAATTTCTAATCAGCTGAGATAAACAACACCAGCACTGGAAACTGAGTCCTGCTGATGTTGTGCTGTCCAAACCCACATGGTTCATATTTTGCTTTTAATTTAAGGAGGCAGAAAATAGTGCTACCCTCTGAAATACTGTGATTTTTGCATCACCTTGTATATTCTTTAAGCAAAATAATTTCATAGTATCAATAACCTATCGAAAATTAATAATAAAATGTCCAACACAATTGACAACAAACAACAAATAAATGGCAATAGCAAATTCATACCCATTTTGCAAACTATTAAAAGTCAAGATTCTGAAGTTTGAAAACATTTTGTGCTATCTTCTATTTGCAGAACTACATTTGACAATGTCAGACTTCCAGCAGGCCTTCAAAGGATTTACACCGACTTCTCTCAGAAATGCTAACCTGCACAAACCAAAAGATGTGGGATGGGACAAAGTAGGGGGACTGCATGAAGTCAAGCAAATGCTCATAGATACCATCCAGTTATCTGTCAAGGTGTGAGTTTAAACTGCTGCATGACAAAGTACTTTTTAAGTTTAAAGTTTGAATACCAAGAACATTCTATATTAGTATGTTTTTGATCATGTGAATATCATTTCATTTAATCTATTGCCAGAATAAAAAGACTTTTGGTCCTACAGTTTTAGGCAATGAATTGTGATACATGATCAAAAGAAATGTACATATGGTTCAAGTGCTCAAGATTATAGGCCCTTGATGTTTCCTCATGAAATAGCTTTTTTTTCCTCTTTCAGTATCCACACTTATTTGCAAAACTACCAATACGGCAGCGATCAGGAATCCTATTGTACGGGGGACCAGGAACAGGAAAAACATTGCTGGCTGCTGCAATTGCCCGAGAAAGTGGAATGAATTTTATTAGTATTAAGGTACAGTAATTGATACAACAATGTCACATCGAATAGCAACACAATTGTACTAAACATATGCAGATGTCTCGATATTCACCCACATAAAATTTCCTCTAAATTAGTACCCATTTTTCCTATAATCATAGATTCGTAATGAGTTATGATTTCATCAGCAGTAGCCTCTCTAAGAGGCTGTTTTTGATGCGTGAGCTTTGATAAATAATTGACGGGTTGGTCAACTTCATGGATTCTTTTCTCTCCCCTTCCCATGCTTGCTGGGAACCTCTTTATATTTGCTGAAATGCTCTTAATGCACGGCTATTATTTATTATTAATAATATTACAATTAAAAAATTTCAATAATCATACAAAACATTAAACATCCCATGGCACTGTTTGAAAAGAGAAGGGAGTTTCTCCTAGTGTCCTGTCAAACAATCCCCCAATTGGTCAGTCATTTCATGGGCTGTTTGTGGGATATTGCTGTATGCAACTAGCTGCCGTGTTTCGCCTGCAAAATAGTCAATAATCCACTTTACAGTATATTCTGTGAAGCGCTTTGAGACGTCTCCGTGATTGATAAGGTGCTATATCGAATGCAAGGATTACTATTAGTATGCGGCTAGAATTGTTACCTCACTGTTTGAGGAATGCAGTCCATGTTACAAAGTGCTGCAGCTCTAATTTCCTGCATTGCATTTCAGAAATGCTGAAAAGGACATAATATGTGGGACACTAATGTGCCAATTCTTCACAGATAAGAATTGCTTCTTGGGCAATTAATTGTGTTTTGGGATCCTAAAGATTGGAGGGGCTAAACTAATTGCAATGAATAGTTTTGTTAATTTTCTAACCATTCTTTTCAATTGCAGGGTCCTGAACTGCTGAGCAAATATATTGGTGCGAGTGAACAAGCAGTTCGAGATGTTTTCAGCAGGTGTGTTATTACTAGTCTAATATGATTGGACATATTTGGCCATTAGAGCAATTCCATGATGCCCAGTGAAGTGACCAACCAATCCTTCCTGTCAATAGAGAGGATTATTGTGACATCAGATTGTCATTTACTACTAGTCCTATCAAGTTTTTGAAAGATATTACTGGACTTCTGAATTTCAGTAGACTTTATATGCATGGATATTAAAAAGAATTGACACCATTGAGCTACAGAAATCTATAATAGTCAGTAGGCCATTTAATCCATTGTACAGTAGAGTGCTAATTATCTGTTGTGAGCTAAGCAGTCAGTGTCGCTATTGGCTCGGTGTGCATTGCACAATAGGATTTTTTGACAATATTGTATCTTGCAGATCTGCGTCCATTTACACATCTGAGCTTCTTGTGGCTAAACCGACGTGCATATTAGTGTTGCTATAACCAGCAATCTACTGTATTAGTGTCAGTGTTTCCTCCATCAAACTCATCTATCCTAATCCCATTTCCTGCATTTCCCCATACCCTCTAATACCCTTCCTCTTCATATACTTGTGTAATTTACTGAATTTATATCTTAAATGTCAAACTCCAGCTGTTGTTTGCCCTGATCAGACTGCACCTTGAATACTGTATACAGTTCTGGTACCTGTGACATAGGGAGGCTGCCCAGGCCACAGGGAGTACAGAAGAGAGCACCAAGGATGATCTCTAGTGTTAGAGGAATGAGTTGTGAGCAATGAATAGTCAAGCTAGGGCTCTTCAGTCTTGAGAGAAGATGACTCAGGTGACCTCATAGAAGTGTACAGAATTCTAAATGAGATTGAAAAAGACTGAAAAATGAATAGGACATAAGTTTAGAGTTGTAAAGAACAAATTTAGGACAGATACCAGGACATTTTTCTTTACATATAAGGTAATCAACTAGAACAGGTTGCCCGGAAAGGTACTGGAGGTTAGGATACTAGACTTATTTAAAAAGCAGCTAGGCGCAGTGATGGAGGACAGTATGGTAAGTGTTCTGGAGGAATGAAATTGGATGGGCCAAAGGGCCTGCTCCATCCAGATCTTATGAAATGACAACCAACTTTGTTCCAACATCTACTCCTGATAAATCATTCCATATTCTGGTAGCCTTCCAGAAATAATTTCTTCCAACAACAGCAAATTTACATTTATATGGTTCCTTTCACATGGGGAGGATATCACAAGGCATTTAAACCTCTTGATCCTCTCGAATGCTTTCATTATCTTAAACACCTTTATCATATTAGTCCCCAACCTCTCTGCTTTCTACATCTCCAGCCTCTCCTCATTCCTATGTACAATTTCATCTCCAGTATTATCCTCATGAATCTATGCTGCACCCTTGCCATAAGTTCTAATAAATGTGCCTTGAAACAACGCTCCTTCTGCATTTTCAGGTGGACATGTAAAAAATCCCACGGCACTATTTGAAAAGAGAAGTGAGTTTTCTCCTAAGAATACCAATATTCCCCCAGAAAAATTGGTCACACTTCATAATTATTTGGGGAATATTCATAAGTGCAAATTGGCTGTCACATTTGCCTGGTTCAGTGGTAACACTCTCGCTTCTGAGTCAGAGAGTTGTGGGTTCAATTCCTACTTCGGAAGCGCATACAATGTTTATTGTTAAACAGCCAGTAGATGGCAGCAAGCAGTTTCTGACCGAAGATTTCACAAGGTCACAAGAGTAGTTTGGATGAAGAAGGCTCTTATGGCCCATTTAATTTTATTCTTCCAGAATACCCAACCTACCAACCTCCCATCACAGCATCAAGCTATTTCTTAAATGAATCTAACTTCCAGTTATCAGTAACCCTTCCTGAAAACCTGTTCTAGTTGTTAATTATGCTCTGAATAAAGAAATACTTCCTAATATCTGTCCTGAAATTGGCCTTTGCAATCCTAAATCTTTGTGCCCTTCTTCTGCTGTCTCAGTGCATCTGAAAATATTCTTATGAATTTACTTGCACAATCTCATTTCCTTTAATGTCCCCTCTGAGATATAATTTTCCATTCACTATAGAGTCCTGGCAGGTAGTTCTTTCTCTTTCTGCAGACCTCCTGTTAGAAGTCTTGTCCTCTGTGTTGTTCAATATTAAATGAAGTAGATCTACAAAATGGGGATAAGGAAATGAATCTGGATTTATTGTGGGAAAAAATGTTGAAACCATTAGCCAAGTGCATTACTCTATTTACTTACAAAAGGTAAACTGGTCCTGGATTAGCAGAGGAAGAGTAATGCATAGAATGAATGATATATATGTTATGAGGAAGTGCTTGACATTTGCACTAACTGTTTTAAATATGCAAAAGTCGATGTAACAAAATATGCAAAACTGGATGTAACAAAATTACATTTGTAAAGCGCCTTTCACATTGGGAGGACATCCAAAGGCGGTGAACAGTCAAGGATACAGATGAGGGGATGAGGGAGGCTGGTAGGAGGGTGGCTAAAGGCACAGTCCAAAAGGAGGGCCTTGAAGGAGGCAAGACGGGGAGCAAGGCAAAGGGATTGTGGGATGGAGTTCCAAAGAATGGGGGTAGAGGGGTTGAAAGCCTATCCGCCGATGGTAGGGTGGATCAGGCAGGAGACCTGGAGCAAAAGCTGAAGAGTAACCAGATTCTCTGTATATTCATTCTCATTTTTCTAGAGCCCAGGCTGCCAAACCTTGTATTCTTTTCTTTGATGAGTTTGATTCTATTGCTCCTCGCCGTGGCCATGATAACACTGGAGTAACTGACAGAGTTGTTAATCAACTGCTCACACAGCTAGATGGTGTAGAAGCTTTACAAGGTATTTGCCTTTTTGTTTTTTTGTAAAGGGTTAGGATTCTCAGGTAAGAGGGTATTGTGAAAGTTAAATGCTTACCTGTAGATATGCTATATAAACTATACCAAACTATATTTAGGGCTTCTCAACAGAGATCAATGAATGTGACACACAGATTAATGTAATGGGTTCATTTGTTTTTGGTCAGCTGGTTGTCTGATTCATGTGGAAACTCGTCATCATGTTAGGAGTATTCAAATTAAAACTGACAGCTCTACAGATGTATGCTATTTACACAAAGAAATTTCTCTGAGTCTGAAATAGAATATGCAGTCTCTCACTGGAGGCGAGTATGAGGCACAGGTTGGCAAGAGGATTGCTCGCTTAGGGTATCCCAGAGTGTGCTCACTCTAATAATGTGCTCTCAAACTGCCGCCCATCTCCAACATCCCTTTCCAAGGTCCTGGAATGAGTCATTGCTTCACTACTTCCTCTCACAGCACTCCCTCTTTGAACCTCTCCAATCGGGTTTCTATGCTGCACACCGCACAGAAACAGCTTTGGACAAAGTGACAAATTACGGTTTGTCCATCTGTGACCAGGGCTTCCTCTATCTCCTTGTCTTCCTTGACCTCTGCTGCCTTTGACACCATTGACCACTCTATCCTCCACTGCCTCTCCTCTCACCTCAACCTTCATGGTTCTGTCCTTGAATGGTTCATATCCTATCTTTCACACCGTCTCCACTTTGTCTCTACAAACGGCTTCTCCTCCAGCCCCCACACCATCTTGTGTGGGATTCCTCGGGACTCTGTCCTTGCTCCCCTCCTCTTCAATATCCGTATGCTGCCTCTTGGTGACATCATCCACAGACATGAGGTCAACTTCCACATACATGTATGCGGATGACACCCAACTCTACCTCTCTGCCCCCACCCTTGACATCAAGTCCTGGATGAGAGCTAACCTCTGCTGCCTTTGACACCATTGACCACTGTATCCTCCACTGCCTCTCCTCTCACCTCAACCTTCATGGACCGAGGCCCTCCTGATTGGCTCCTGTCAGTGCCTCCACACCTCAGGCACTGGCAGCATCACCATCCCAGCATGCACACCCCACCTCTGCCATCCCCCACCTCCACAGCATTGTCTGGCTCCACCACTGCCTCACCCCTCAGGCTGTTGAAACCCTCATTCACGCATTTATTACATCTAGGCTCGACTACACCAACTCCCTGCTTGTCGGCTCTTCCCTCCACAAGCTGCAGATCATCCAGCACCAGGCTCTGTAATCCTATCATCCCCACCCTCGCCCAGCTCCATTGGCTCCCCATCCCCCAGAGGATAGAGTTCAAAATACTTGTCCTCACCTTCAAGACCGTCCATGGCCTTGCGCCTTCCTATCTCTGCGACCTCCTAGCCCCATATCAACCTGTCCGCTTCCTCCATTCAGCAGCCTGCTCCATGTCCCCAACTCGCCTCACTATCAGCGGTCGGGCCTTCGGCTTCTCTGCCCCTTTCTTTCGAACTCCATCTCACAATCCCTTTGTCTTGCTCTCTCCCTTTCCTCCTTCGAAGAGCATCTCAAGACACTCCTTTTCGACCTGCAATTGGCCACCCTCCTACCCGTACCCACCCTGCACTCCAACCCCCTGTTCGGGTCCAAATCTCTGATTGTCCAGAGCCTTTGGATGTCTTCCCGATGTGAAAAGTGCTATACAAATTGAATTTGTTGCCAGAATGCTTCTGCTTCACTGAGCAAAGAGGCCACATCCACTGGTTTTAGTACTTGCCAAATGAATCTTCTATAACCGGGCCAAAGTAGAAACGTAGTAATCAAGCCACTCTGCCATTGAGCGTTCCAGATACTACTCGTGTGAAGGGTGCTATATAAATGTGAATTGTTGTGTTGTTAATAACTTTGCTATTATCTGCAGGGGTTTATGTGTTGGCTGCCACAAGTCGCCCAGACCTAATTGATCCTGCTCTGCTAAGACCAGGTCGGCTGGATAAATCTGTGTACTGCCCTCCTCCAGATCAGGTACTAAAATATTATGTTTTGAAATTTTTAATATTTAGATTTAAATAATCCAAATATAATTTGTGAAAATTACCGGTTTGCAAACTAAGATTTATTGCAAATTAAACTGTATTTAATGTTAGGAACGGCTATTTACACGTACAATACACGATCGATTTTTTTAACGTTAAATTCAAAAGTGTCATTGTACTTGCCAGTGGGTGATGTTCTTAATACTTTTTCAATGATCATTGTGTTCTAATTCACAGTAAGTTTTACAGCTGCTATTCAGAATTTTTTGTAAAGTAAAAATATTGTTTTTATTTCCCTGACCACCATTCTAGATTGCTCGTCTTGAGATTTTGAAGGCTTTGAGCCAGTCTTTACCATTAGCAGATGATATTGATTTTCAGCAGTTGGCAGCAATGACTGAATATTTCACAGGAGCTGACCTAAAGGCTTTACTTTACAATGCCCAGCTGGATGCTGTCCACAGTGCTCTGTCATCCAGTGTATTCCGGGTTGGTATATCAAGTTTAAGAACTCTGATTTAAGTAATGTTAGCATGTTTGGGGAGATATTCCCCTTGGAGTAGATTTAGAATTAATAATAATCCTTACGTTTGATATAGCATCAAAACATCTCAAAGCGCTTCATAGGATTTACTGTAAAGTGTGGTGATGGATAGTTTGTGGTTGCTGCTTTTAATCTACAAATGCACAGAGTGATTGCCCAATCTTATCTGGAGGCCAAGATACCAGGAGAATTTCTTTTTGGATACAGTAAACTCTTGATAAGGAGACCCCAGCTTACCTTGTTACCATCACTTAAATAACCATGTTGTCAATATCCTGGCAGCTTCCCATGCAAAATGTTAATGAGGTACTCTGCTTTAGTTCCCTTAACACATAACTAATTGCATTCTAGAAATTCTTGTAATGCTTAAACAATGTAAAATTTATCAGACAACTCATCCTGTCTTACATCACAGGGGCCTCTGCTCTATCCTATGACTAGTCCAGGCGCTCAGTGGAGGTTGGGAGAACCTGCTCAGATGCAATGCAGAGGCCTCTAGTCTATTGGAGGGCATCACTGTGGCCTCCCGCCCACACTATTATGTGACAAAAAAGGCAAGAAACCAATAGACCAGAGGCCTCTGCGACAGGATAGGTCGGGAGGCCGTGGCGCGGCCCTCCAGTAGAGCAAAAGACTCTGATGTATCTTTACTTGCACATCCAACTAGCACTTACCACCTGAGAGATCTGTTCCTAAGTTACCACTTCAGATAACGAGTCGCTGAGCTCTTTGCCCTTGGAGTGACGAGTTATTAGTAGTTTACTGTATAGCTGTGGGATCTTTAACATTCACCTGAACAGATAGATTCAGAAATCTTGCCATTGTCTTCAAATAGCCAACTGGGTGTCTGACACATATGGAAACTAGTCACTATACTTAAGAGGATCAAAACCAAACGCTGCCCATGTAAGCATGCTACATACATGTGGAAATTTCCCTGTGTCTGGTATGGAGATCTGTAGTCTCCCTGGATGGATATACTGCATACCTAATTCTGGAGAGTGTCGGGTAAGGTTTAGCAAAGCAATAAGGCTTAGGGAATCGAGAGTATGCCACTGCACTGCTGTTTAACCAGCTAAAATTGCGTATACTAACACTGCGAGCAGTCTGCAAGCTGGTTGTATCACTTTACACATTGGGAATTGGTTGTAGGTTGTCAACAGGCTGGCAGGTCTGTCAACAATTATACCTCAGAACATTGGGATCTGCCTCGCTCATGAGCTGGACTAACTCAGTGTTGACTTGATTCTGATGTTCCATTGCAAAGCACATCATCACCTTGGAGCCAGTCATTCCCAAGATATCCATTTACTTTCTCATCTTCCCTCCCCACCCTGAAGGATAGTCATTAAAAATAATTTAGGCCAATCACATTTAAATTAGAAGTTCAGAATTCAAAAATAACGTTTTAATCTTCATTTTGTGGGTCCCTAAATGAGTTGCTTTCAAATGGTGTGAACAAGGTGTATTGTGCATGAGGTCTAAATGTGCTTCTGTTGATTCACCATAGGACACAAGTTCTGGTTCTGATAGTGACATGAGCCTGTCGTCCATGATCTTCCTGAATCCCAACAGTGGTTCTGATGATTCTCTAGGAGACGTAGAAGGAGGCTTTGAACACTCTCTTGTTCACCTGGATACCACTGACTTACTATCTGATGATCCAGGCCCTAACATCTGGCGTTTTTACTTTGGTAGCTCTTATGAATCAGAACTGGGAAATGGAACACCTTCAGAGCCGGTCAGTGATTTGTCTTAAATCGGTGCACTTAATAGTTTTTATTTCTAATCTTTCTATGAACTTATTTCATAATTTATAGAATATTCTGAATGAGCAGTTGAGTTTAATATACGTAGTAATTAATTTTCAGTTTTAGAGACATTGGTTGCTTTTCAAAAAAGGTTGCAAATCAGAAAATCTGCATGTTCAAAAGATTTTGCAATGTGGCTTCCCAGTAATTCTAAACATCCACCTCTTACTCAGAGTGCAAAGCCCAGCTGTGGATTACAGCTACTACCTCTCGCTCCCTGCTTTGGTAGCAATTTTAGTGATTGACCACCCAGTTTAATCAAAGTTCATTAACAAAAGACTTGACTTTCTCAATGGTTTTAATGAACTTTGATTAAAGCCACTAAATGGAATCCAGATCTTGTCTTTCACAAACCTATGTTAGATTATTTAGGGTGTTGTATCATTATGACTATATGTTTCTAAGTATCTTACTGTTTTAAGCAGGTGGTTCTACATTTAAAATTCCAGGCAGTTATGTTTTGCTTGAGAAAATCAGGCACTTTTATTACTCTGAAGACGTTAGTTTAGCTATTTCTATTAGAGAATGATTTAGAGGAGTCAGGAACCACTAGTAAACGTTAGAGCTAGTTCTGTTATAATACTAACTTAATTCAATATGCAGTTCTCTTGACATTTCTGATCAAGGCAGCCACTTGAGTTTTTTTTCCAAGCATTAGTGTCTTGATCGGACCATTCAGTTTGATTTCTTTAGCACTATAGTGCTTCACACTGGACTCCATATTGGATCTCTTCAAGAATTTTGTACTGTTTATTTACTATATGGACGCTTCCCGAATTAGATGAAAATAAGATTCTTAGATTTGCGCTTCTTTATTCCTGTGACACTACCTCTACTTCACTCTAATTCTACCTCCACCTCCCTTCACATAGCTACATGTTCTAGCACCTTGGGACGTCCTCCCCACGTGAAAGGCACTCTATAAATGTAATTTTGTTGTTGTAGTGCACATTTTTTGTGTAATTACACCTTACTTCAACTCGGTTTCTCTGATGGTAGCTCCGGTCAAGAACCAATGTGTGATTCAGAAAGCAGCCCTTCAGAGGAAGCTCACCTGACCAATTGCTTATCTACTGCACCAACTATTTTAGAGGAATTCATTTTCAAAGTGGTCTTGCCCTATTTGATAGTGGACTATTCATTTGGATGGAGAATTTGAATGATGTTGAAAAAAATAAAGGAACATGTTGCGCTGTACCTTATTTTGAATGGAATAAATAAGATTTATATCTCTCAACAGACCTCTCGCTGTTTATCAGAACCCAGCTCAGTTACCCATGACCACATGGTGACATCTGTAAAGGATATCATATGCTCTCACCCCCCAGTGTGCATGTTGTCATTGCAAGAAGGGTTCAAAGAACTTAATCAGGAACAAATGGAATGTTTACGCTCAGAGTTAAACATTATTAAAGCCAACACCAGGAACAAGACCACGGTAATAGAGTCTCTTCTTAAGTATAGCAAATTAACCTTGTATCATGAATGCTGGCTCTGTTATTAGATGTCAATGTATTGTTGCTGCATGTTTCTTTGGTTAAGTCATAGAACATATGGAAACTCGTATACAATACTAAGTAGTTTTATAATGAAATATTTTCTTTAAGGCTACACAAACAAATTAATTTCATTTATTTCCCCCATGTCATATAGCTTATTCTGACAAGATAATGTATTTAGAAACTTATAAACCTCTGGAAATGTAGTTCTATTAGTGATCACCGAGAGGGGCATAAAGCAGCTAATTGGCCCTTTGATCTTCCCTTCCTCCTTTGTAGTGAAATACTTGTTTCCCTTTCATACCCATTGGAGCCACTTCTACAAGTGCACGGCTCCAGCATCCTTTTATCTACAGTAAATTATTTTACAAACAAGCTATAATACATTATTTTTAAATAAATATTAGCATTAACTATGGATGTATGATGTTGATCTTCATAAATTGGCTCCTGTGAAAATGCTTATTACATCTATTATTATGCATGTTTACCATTGATAGCTTCTTCTGTAATAAATGAGAAACGGGGTAAAATTATTTGCAAAAAGTATAGAATATAGCTAGAACAGCTAGAAATGCCAGAATGTATAACATTCAATTCTATCTGAATCATTTTCTTCCAGGAGGATGGGTTTCCGAGTCAGTCAGGGCCCATAAACTCTCCACCACTTGTTTCTCAATCCCACCTGCTGGCAGCACTGACTAATACAAGACCTTCCATCAGCCAACAAGATTGGAGGAACTTCACAGAACTGTGAGTGTAAATTTTCATTCAATTAAAATTCTAAATTTAACTCCTCTTTGAACTCCATGAAAGATTATGCCAACAAAAAAACGAAATTACCTCCTAATTATTAAGTTGATTTGAACTCATGAGAATTGATGGGAGTTGTGATGAATAACGTATCAGTGTTGCTTAATCATTCTTTCCTGGGACCTCAAGACTGGAACTCCTTTCCTACTTTTTTTCCCTCCTCCAATTTGCAAGTCACTTGCCACTCCTTGATTTATTTTCATTATTATAGTAGAACCATTATCACACTCTTCATTATAACACAGGTTTTCTTATCACAAGATTTGTTCGAATGAATAAAGTCCTTTTGGAACATCTGATCTCATTGTTCCAGAATACCCAGCCGACTGTTCTCCCATCACGACATCAAGCTGTTTTTTTTTAAACACTTCAGTATCCTGGCTGCAACAATCCTTTCCTGAAGCATATTGGTTAGAGCACTCACAAGCGAGAGGACCTGGGTTTGATTCCCGGGCAAGGCAAATTGTTGGTCAAGTTTCCTAACTCCACACACCAGTTTACCCAGCAGTAAGTAGGAACCTAGTTGTTAGTTGCTTGGAGGATCACTTTTCTGGGGATAATAATCCTTCAAAAAATATATTAAAAATAATATTTTTTTACTCAATTCACAGCTGTTTGTGGGACACTGTGCTTTGCCCAGAAAATATACATAACCTAAGAAATGCTAGACAAAAAGGACCAAGGTCCATCTAGTTTACCTTCCACCATCCTGGCGGTCGCATGCACATATGTCCCAAACTACCTATGTACTATATCCCATAATGTTATTTCCTAAAAGAAAACTATCTAATCTGTGTTTCAAAGAATCAACACTTCCTACTTCAGTGCCTTGGGATGTCCTCCTGACGTGAAAGGCACTTTACAAATGTAATTTTGTTGTTGTTCAATTGTCTCCCTAAGGAGCCTGTTCCACAGGTTCACTATTCATTCACTGAAATAGTGCTTGCATAGATTCGTTCTGAATTTTGCCCCCTTCAATTGCAGGCCGTGTTTTGGTACAAACCAAAAAAAAATTGGTTTTACTATCCTGGATAAGTTGAAACAACCTGTCATGATCTATATTGTTTTGCCCCTTTAAAATCTTAAAGACAGTAATCATGTCCCTCTCAAACTTCTCTTTTCCAGCGTGAACATGACCAATTTACTTAGTCTCTCCCATAGTCCATCCCTCAACCATTTTGGTTGCCCTCCTCTATCTTCTCAATTTCTCCAATATCCTTTTTGTACTGTGGCGACCAGAACTGTACACAATACTCTTAAGTATGGCCTCACCAATGATTTATACAGTGGCGGGATTACCCTACCATTTTGGCTTGCTATTGATCTTTTGATACATCCTAGCATCTGGTTTGCTTTACTCACTGACAGAGCATTGTTGGGAGAGCTTCAATTTATTGTCAATCCAGACTCCCAGGTTCTTTTCATTTTCCATACATATTATTTTCCTTTCATTCAAATATTAGTCCCTTCCAGGATTTTGTATCCCCATGTGAAGTACTTTTACATGGTACACCAGCCATCTCCATTCCCTCAAGGCACAAGTGTGAGCTGCCGAACGCGCCTGGACCAAAACCAAATTAACGGTACATCGGCAGATTTGGCTTCACCACACATCAAGACACCAGACATCAAGTCCTGCATGAGGGCAAACTTCCTACAGTTGAATGTGAACAAGACTGAGGCCACCTACCGCAGCGCTCTTGCCTCTGCCAAATCCTCCTTCTACTCCAAGGTTATCTTGGAGGTAAAGGACAACCCCCCGGCTTCTCTTTTCCACCACTAACCGTTTCCTCCATCTACCTTCCCATGCCTCGCCCATCCTCTCCTCAAACTCCAACTGTGAGAAGATGCTGGATTTCCTCGAATCTAAAATGGAGGGGATACGTTCAGCCACCTCAGCCCCGTCCACAGCCACCCCCACATCACCTCTCCCTCATGACCCATCCCCCACTATACTCCTTCGACCCTATCTCTCCCTTTTCCCTCACTACGACTGTCCGCAAACTCAAACCCACCACCTGCTGCCTTGATCCCATCACCACCTCTCTCCTCATCTCCCAGCTCCACCTTCTGGTCCCTCTCCCGTTCGATGTCATCAACCTCTCCTTGTCCACCGGTTCAGTTCCCACCCCCCTAAAAACAGCCGTCATCACCCCCGTCTTGACAAAATCCTCCTCTCCAGCTACCGCCCCATCTCTAACCTCCCAATCCACTCCAAGGTCCTGGAACGAGTCCTTGCGTCCCAGCTCTGCTCCTTTCTCTCTCGCCATTCCCTCTTTGAACCCCTCCAATCCGACTTCCGGAAACAGCCCTGGTCAAAGTCACTAATGACATTCTGAACATCTGTGATCAGCGCTCCCTCTGCCTCCTTGTCCTCCTTGACCTCTCTGCCGCCTTTGACACTGTCAGCCACTCCATCCTCATACACCGCCTCTCCTCAATCTTTGCAGACCTGCCCTTGTCTGGTTCGATTCCTATCTCTCTCACCTTCTCCACTTTGTTGCCTCTAACGGTTTCTCCTCCAGCCAGCGCACTGTCACATCTGGCGTCTCCCATGGATCTGTTCTTGGCCCTCTCCTCTTTAATATCTACATGCTCCTCCTTGGTGACATCATCCGCAGACATGGGGTCAACTTCCGCATGTATGTGGATGACACCCAACTCTATCTTTCTGCCTCAACTCCAGGACCACTGCTGTCCTGACAGATTGCCTGTCGGACATCAAGTCCTGCATGAGGGCAAACTTCCTACAGTTGAATGTGAACAAGACTGAGGCCCTCCTGATTGGCTCGCGCCAGCGCCTCAGGTTCTGGCAGCATCAACCTCCATAGTTGCACACGACAACTCACCAAACCAGTCAGGAACCAAGGTGTCTTGTTCGACCCTCAACTCTTTTCTTCCCCACATCCAAGCCATGACCCGCTCTGCCTTCCCTCCGTAACATCGCCCGACTCCGCCACTACCTCACCCTTCAGGCCACTGAAACTCTTGTTCATGCCTTCATCACCTCCAGGCTCAACTATACAAACGCCCTGCTTGTCGGCCTTCCCAACTCCTCCCTCCACAGGCTGCAGATAACCCAGAACTCTGCAGCCCGTGTCCTCTCCCGCACCAAACTCCGTGACCCCATCTCCCCCATTCTCGCCCGACTCCACTGGCTCCCTATCCTTCAGAGGATCCAGTTCAAGATCCTGGCCCTCACCTACAAAGCCCTCCATGGCCTCGCCCCACCCTACCTCTACGACCTCCTAACCCCCTACCAACCCGCTCGTTCCCTCCGCTCAGCCGGCTCTGGCCTGCTCCACGTCCCCCGACCCACTCACCCCACCATTGGTGGGAGAACCTTCAGCCACTTTGCCCCAAACCTCTGGAATTCTATCCCCCATTCACTCCGCCTCACCCCCTCCTTAGCCTCCTTCAAGTCCCGCCTCAAGACCCTCCTCTTCGACCATGCCTGATTCCTGCTTTCTTTACTTGCAGTACCGGCCTCTCAAGAGGAACTGTATAAAAGGCCTTACTGAAATCCAGTTATACAACATCCACAGCCTTATTCTTATTAAGCTCTCTTGTCACACTGTCAAAGAAAACCAGTAAATTAGATTGGCAAGACCTTCTCTTCATGAACCCATATTGGCTATCATTTATGATTTTATTTCTGTCAAGATGCTCCATAATTTTATCCACAATGGACGTCAAACTTCTGGTCTGTAGTTCCCTGGATCACTTTTGTTACATTTCCTTAAAAATAGGAGTAACGTCTACCTTTCTCCTATCCCCCGGCACCTCTCCAGTATTCAGTGATTTTTTGAAAGATTTGTGCCAGCATTTCTGTGACTTCCTCCCTTAGTTGCTTAAGGGTCCTGGATGCAATTTATTCAGCCCCTGAGATTTATTTACCTTAAGTTTGCACAACTGTTTGGCAACCATGCTGGTAGTGATATGAATCGTGTTGCAGCTTTACAGTCAATTCCCACTTTTCAGTGTGTATTCTGTGAAGTGCTTTGAGATGTGATAAGATACTGTATCAACTGCAAAGATTATTATAACCTATTCCAGTTGTTAATTGCCCTCTGGGTAAAAAAAAACTTACCAGTTTCTGTCCTGAAATTGTCCATTGCATCTCTAGCGCAATTGGGGTGTCGACCCTGAGACTGTCGTCTTGTATGGTAAAATCCCATCTCAAGCTATAGAAAGGTTCGAAAGCTGCTTTGACTACATCTGCGCTAATTAATTTGTGCGCTAAAATAAAAAATGGCTGACTTGCAGGTTGGTAGGTTACTGCAATATCATGTTCTGTTTTCTGCTTATTTCCCAAAAANTCCAAAATGCACACACCAGTTCCATGGATACTTGAAAATGCTGGCTGATGTGCAGGAACGCAAAATGGTATTAGGCCACTGCTGCCTTATATCAAGCAAGCAATGTTGACAGCAACATGATAACCTATCTGGAAGTGAGGCGTTTTGGCTTCTCGCACACAAGCTAGCATCTTGTACCACCTGTGAGTGGATAGTCATTTGCAGTGAATGTGTAAGCAATGACCATTAGTGTACTCCACTATAATGTTGGTTGGGATTTTATGGATCCCTGGCACTCCTGGCTACCATTTTATTACTGGGCTCTTCTGAACTTTATGAATACTGCACAATATGTCTTGGCCCTTTGAATAATGTTTGTATTAGGAAACTGATCTACCAAGCTTTATTTAAGGATAATCCTTCAACAAGTATCTTGTGCAAATTTAGTCTTTTTTTCCCCACCCAAGAGAAGCAGCCAATCTACAAATCTGACCCATTTTCACTTAAAAGCCTTCTGTATCATCAAAGAATGATGATGGTTTGCAAAATAACCAATAATACTTACATTTGTTATAGCACCTTTCACATCAGAACATCTCAAAGCACCTCACAAGATTTATTGTGAAATGCAATGTTTGTGTATTTTGTAGGTGAACACCTACAATGCTGAGATCAACAACTTACACATATAGTGCTGTTTGACTATGTTTTAAGCAGAAAATTGTCATTTAAAGAGTTCATTGCTGACATGCATTGAGCAGTCATGTTAACCAGTTCTGTGTTTGTGCTATTTAGGTGCCTAATTGAACCTTGATATCAAACTAATTTTGCACAGCAGTTTGTTTTTTTAAAAGAAATGAAATTAACTAATGAAGATATAACCTTGATTACTCTTGTGAGATTCCTTTAGATCCCAGCTTTAACTTTATTTTTAAATAAAATTACCTTTTATTGAATTAAGGATTTTGTCTTTCAGATATAATGGCTTTCGGAAATCCAGAAATGGAAAGGGGCAGAGTGGAGCCACTATGAAACCTGGACAAAGAGTGACTTTGGCATGAGAGATGCAATAATAATTAAGTCCATTGTGAAAATTAATGTTGCACTACTAATTCAATTTTAAAATAAACAATACACATTTTACTTTTTTTAAATATATTTACATATTAACAGAATCTTGTAACTAAAAAAAGTGAATTAGTGTGAAATGTCAATTATGTTTGAGATCATTATGGATTTCAAGTACCTTATTTACTTAAATCATTGCTGCTATAATTATTCAACTGAAAGAATTGTACTTTTATGGATAATTACAATAGACCAAGTTATTTATCCACAAGTTAAACTGATTGTATTTTTTTAAACACACATGATTTACATATTATGTATTGGCAAATTGATTTGGCATACTCCATTAATACTAGTCCTTGCATTATAAATAGCACCTTATCATGTTACTGGGTCATCTTAAAGTGCTTCACAGGATATCATTGAGGGTAAGAAACAAGGGGCATCAGTCCTAATTGTTGATTCATATCAGTACCTCGAGTCATGGTGGATACCAGCTTTTGCCAGGACACTGTCCTGCAGGTCTGCGCTGAGAAGGGCGAAGGCTTTCTGGTTGTACTCGTCTCTCAAGGACAGCAAGGTCCCAATGCAGATCAAGTTTGAGGTATACAAGACCTGCAAGCAAATATTCTCTTTTATGGATCCAAACTTCTGGGGACGCAGCAGAGGCTTCCTCTGATCCATTTTTAAACTCCATGATCAAGCAGTGAGGTGGATTTGTGGCAAACCTGAGAAGAGGTTACAGGGAGGACTCCGGCCTACACTGACCTGTCGTTAAGCTCCTTGGAGGTGGAGCCAGTTTCAATAGCCACCACAAATTACAGTTGTATAGTGCCTTTTGCTTAAGGAGGACTTCCCAAAGTGTTTTTTTTTACAAGTGGGTCTCTTTGCCAAGGCCCCTCACGTGTGGACCTGGATTGAGCAATAAGCCTGGTACACAGCATTGGATTTGGACCTCAAGAACACCAAGGTGGCTGGCACATTGCAAACTGTTGTGTAAGGCTCCTCCCTCCATGCTGAAGGCAGATGCCTGCCAGATAGCTGATGAGGAAACTCAGAAGATTGGGGTGACAGCTGCTGGAAGGTGTTAGCTGGAGTCCTAGTTTGTGAACTTGCATTTATATAACCTGAACCTGGAATCCACCTTAATTGACTTGCAGAGAGGTAAGCAACTACTGCGTAAGCTCTGCAATTCCAACTGGTGGTACCATAGCTCAATGGAAAGGGATGTGTGTGTGAGCTGCTGACAGGAAAATGGGGGCAATGTTCTCGCACATTTTGTTTCCAGGAAGCTCACAGGGAGTTCCTACTATCCACCTACTGATGGCTCAAACCTGTAGATGTCAAATGACTATCCTCCTTGGGGGATAGGAAAGTGGGTGACATGTTTGGCAATGGGATATATGAGAATCAAGCCCACCCTCTGGCAGTCTCAGTAGTCCTGTTCCTGAGCGAGGTGGGTTTGCAGTATTCCAGGGCACTGTTATGACAGCACAGCCAATCTGGCTTGTTGGCATAGACTCCAGTTACTGGGTGCAGGGAATCCTCCCACTCAGCTCTCATTGACCTCACAAACCAGTCCTGAAGGAGAGAGTGGTCCTTGCTGAACAAGCAGTGGAAAAGCTTGTCAGGCAGTGCTCTCAATGGCAAGTGATGTGGTTTTAGCTGGTTAAGACTCCAGCAGTATCCCACACTGGGGTCCCAAGCCTGGGCTCTTGTCAATCTGTGCTTAATATGTTCCAAAATTAGGTTTTACACTAAATTATATACTGATTAATAATCCTTGTATGTGATAATAGGTCTTGCACACTGGGAGGATGTACTGTATTAAAACACAGGATTTTACTGTGAAGTACTGTGACCTGTAGGTAAATAGTGGTAGCCAATTTATAAAGCAGTGACCCACAAGCATCCATTCAGTTAATGCCCAATGGTAGCTTGGGGTGTTGTAGGCTGGGACTCTTGGAGAAACTCCCTTTTTGAGTAGTGTTGTGGGAATATTCAACGTCCCCATGAGCAGGTGGAGGTCTCCTTGATTTAACATCTCGTCCAAAAAACAGCTCTGACAATGCAGCATAATACAATTTACAATAGTGCCATTCACATTTTGAGGAAGTCTTGAAATATTTCACAGATGGAAACACATCTACAATACTTCTTTGGAGTTCAAGTCCCAACATGGGCTGTAAACCATTAATAGATGCTCAAACAGGCTGAACATCATTTTTGATAGTCAAGTGTCTCATTTGTAATAATTATTCCTCTTCAATCCTAAAATCTGGACACCAACATCCGCCACAGACAATTGTTTCCACTGCTGCTGATGGTACATTGGATGAGGTGTGGGGAAATCTGGTTTGGATACTATTCATCATGCTGATGGTTTTCCACATGTGTCAAGACACCCAGCTGACCAAAAAGAAACATTGCAGGATTCAGTGTAAGATGTACAATGAAAGACTGCTCCTGAACTGTACACATCTAATCTGGCCAGAGGCAAGATATATTAGGAGTTATATATTATAAAATTTTCAACCAACCCATATATGATTACTTTAACAAAAGGGTAAGGGAAAATTAAATATAACTGCTTGCACAAGTGGAGAATATAACCATGAAATCTAATTGAAATGGTTTGAGTTTATATCTGGACTGTTGAAGAGGAATTTTCCAAAACTAGTTGTGGCATTCTACTGTGAACACTAATGCTATACAATAATAATTGTTTCATTTGATATAGTGCCTTATTACATTGTTGAAAGTGCTCACATGATTGACTGTATCTTGTGGACAAAATGCAGCAGCCAGTTTTGTGCACAGCAATGTCCCACAAACAGCCATGGAGTGAGTGTCCAATTTTATTTGTTGGTCAGGACAACTTTTTTTGAATAGTGCCATTGGATCTATTACTTTCAGCTTACAAGTCTATAAATGGTTATTTTGCTCCTTCGTAAACCCACATGGACCAAATGTTCATGGATTTCACTCCACTTAAATGCTTTGATATTCATGAGTTTCCTCATTTTCAATATGAGGCCTTTACAAAATAATTAACTAAGAAACACCCATTCACTTTTTTAAAAAAAATACATGATTAATGCATTGGGATTGAAGGGAAAATTTAAATGTAATCACATTTGTGGTCAAATTCCACCGGGATCTAGATTTTCTTATGTATCTTTTTAAAGCATCAAGATCAAGCATTTTGACAAATTGTTGAATTCAGTATGTGAAGTTGCTTTTCAGTTCTTAACAGAAACCTACAGAAAACCAGCTTAAAAATCAAGACAGTATTTAAGAATTTGGTAACTTTTGGACTCACTGGAATCCTATGTAAATAGAGTAAATCTAGAACTCAATAGTTGATAATAGCCTTTGGGTCAAAAGATTCTGGGTTCAAATGTCGGAATGTGACCTGATAATCTCGGCTGACGTTTGAGTACAGAATCACTAGAGTTCTATGTAATACATTGTATAAAGTGCTTTTACATCATTTGACATACTGTGACATTAAATATCAAATGCAAGAATTGTTGATTTTAGCCGATTTACCTTCAATCTGAATAATTTATATGACACCTGTAACTTCAGGTTTTCTGTATATACAGAACAGTTTGTGTGAGGTGAAAAGGAATAAGACATGAGATAGGTAACGCTACAGGTTACATTTTGTGTTAATACATAAGCTCAAACTCCATTGTGACAATAGCTGTAAAGAGAAATGGCTGCAAGGGGCCAACAGTCGAGGAAAAAGTCCAAATTGGTTTGGGCAAAGAGTTGGTGAAACACAACATACTAACATACTTGCACATTGAAAATAAACAGAAATACCCTTTTGTGGATAAACCATCATTTTCCCATCACATACACAATCCGAGATAACTTGTCCACTTTCATTAAAAAATATATAATTTGCTTTCTCTAAGATTTAAATCAATTGCACTTCATCCAGTTCAACAACATTTGCATTATATAATGAAAACATGCATCTTGAGAATGTTGAATAATTCAATTTATAATCTCTTCATCTCTCGCTCTGTTTAGCTGAATCTTTACTTAAAGAATCGTCAAGACCAAAATAACAGCTCCCTTATTGATCTTTTGCACTTACCAATCTACACATTAAAGATGCAGATAACAAATACCTTGTCACCATAATGTTCAATGTCCAACCCTATCCTAAAAAATAAACTACATTATTAAAAAGAGATCTGATCTGTACTGGTGATGGTGGTTGTGAGGGGAATTAATTAAGACAGAACACAAGACGTCCAGTAAAATATAAAAAGATTTTACATTTTAGGTTGTAAATAACATCATTCTACAAATATTATGCACCATGATTAACACAGAAAACCCATCCATAACATAATGGCTAACAACGCAGTGACAGAATTCTTTTATCATACATTTCAAAAATAACTAGCTAAAACTGACAACACCCATATAACTCACAATCACACAGTCAAAATGTATTAATACCAAACTAAAAACAAAAATCACATAACGAAAATACAATTACTGGAATTTCTGAAATACTAAAATAGTTCTCTTGTTTATGTAAACTTTCTCAAAAGAGTGAAAGCTTGTAGTTTCCTTCTTTCACTAATGTTTCAGTTCAAATATCTAAAGATCTAGCAATGGCAATAAGTTATAACAGCTTGTATAGCAACAGCTTATGTACAAAGGTTTAATTTTATAGGAAATCTTCATTTGTAAAAAAAAAACAAATCAATCTGATCTGGTGTAGGACAGTTGTAATACAACTAGTAATATCAAGGACATGTGGTAGGGCCTTGGGACGTCCTCCCGATGTGAAAGGCGCTGTATAAATGCAATTTGTTGTGATTGTATAGAACACAAGATTGCTGAAAAGCTGGACTCAATTACAGGGATGCACATCCTTACAACACTATGCATAGCCTTCACTTTGATCAAAAAATTCTAAGATGCCAGTACAGTCGAACAGAAACAAAGTAGAATGAGAACAAAACTGCAGTCTACTCCACTTAGTGCAGAATATTTCAGATACTGAAACCAACCACTATACACAGTCAATTGGTTTGCATAAATAGTATTTTTATTCTTTGTGTGAATGTTGTCTCAAGTTGAAGGAAAACAGTACATAAAGGATGTAAATTTGTTCTGTACTCCCAGCATGAGCAATGCCAAACATCAGGTCTGCCACAGATTTCTGAATATTAGAGAAATACTTTATTCTGCAACACCATCTATCATTTTGGAGCACTCTCAGTAAATTAGTCTGGCACTAGTGGAACTACCAAAAATCATTTCAACCACAGCACTAGAAGCCTTCAATTGCACCTTTCCTCCTATGATGCAATGAGGTTCAAGGGGAATGAACAATCCTAATCTCCATGAATTTGTTTTTAAAAATATTAAGTGGGTTGAGTGAAGACAGATATGAGTAAATTGCAAATATAGGCAGATTGAAAGCTCTGCCTCATCAATCAGATACGTCTATCACAGTCTGTAGGATGTGGCATTTGAAGAAAAAAATTACTGTAGTATGTAAATGGAAATTCAGGTATCGGAAGAATCAGCAATTGCAGCTCTCCTGTCACATTAAGGAGTTGAGATGAATGTCACAGAGTGTAATAGAAGCTGTGGAGCCCCAGATTATCACACGTTTGGGATCTGCTGGAATAAATGGAAGATCGGGTTGATAAGGAAAAGTAAAGATGGAAAGAGATGACCCTCATAGAATTTAAGTAGTCTTAGAATAAGGCAAACAATGGAAAGTACAGCATAAGTGTTGGGGTTAGGCTGGTAGAAATGCTCGGTCTCTTGCACCACATATTGCAGCCAAAGGGAACCTTGGACCACGTGAAATAAAACAATCTGGTGATGGAAAGCGGCAATGTTTGTGATAATCAAGATTGTCTTCAATCCCCATACACTAACGTGAAATGCTCTGCCTCTCACAGAGATTAAAAAATGTTATCAAACTTCATCATATGGTCAGTCACAATACCCAGGCAAGCAAAATGCAACTGATCAGGCAGGCTCTATCTGGGATTAATGTTAGTCTCCTCTACTGATGGGCAGAGCAGAGGTTGTGAGTATATCAATGAACATCCATCTCACCTCCAAGCTCGAGTCCAGCACAGAGGATCAAGAAATGGGATTTAGATTGAACAAGGCTTAATTTTAAAACTGCTTTGATTAGATTCATACATGTCTGCTCTACAATTTATGAACAGTACAAAGAATTACAGCCAGTTGTGACTTGGCTGGTTTTCAGAACAGCTGGAACTGCTTCAGACTACTATCTTACACTGTGAGGAACTCGAGTTGTTCAATTTTGCAGGGATTATCCAAAACCTAATTCAATGATAGAACACAACTAGAACAAAAATAATTAAAATGTCCTGGAATAAAGCAAAACCAAGTGTAAGTATGGGTTGGTGGTGCCTTCTAACATTAAGTGTACAATGGTCTCAAATGTGTGTTGGTTTGTCAAGAACAATATTCGCTTGAGGAATAGACTGAAGTTTTGTTTGTTACCATTCTAAACAGTGTGACCATGCCAATCCTCTTATGTAAAAATCAAATTTCATTTTGTCTGCATCTACGACAAACACATCAGTTTACGCATCTCCCGATGCAAATCTTCAGTGGCTGTATCATTAAAAGGCCAATACATGTAACAGAGCTTAAATTAACACAGGAATTTTGTTTTAAACCAACTTCAGTATCAAAATTTGAGAAAACATTTTACTTTTCATCAAAAAAATCTCACAATTCAGAATATATGCCGGTAAATTAGACAGATATGTGAAGACAGAATTAAAAAAAAAAGTTTTTCCATGCAACTGGTTTTCCTTCACGTGATATGCATGGGTAGAAAGACCATTTGTAAAAAGTTAGAAAAATTAAAATAAATTACATTTATAAGAACACTTCCCTTCAGTTATTTATAAAAAAAGCCAAAATAATGTAGTATAAACAGAACCTAAAAGAATATAAAGGCGTGAGATATCCAGCCTCTGTATCTAATGTGTTCTGCAAAACTTGACATTGGATTCATTAGTTATTCACACAAAAATTTAATCTTCAATTTATCCATCAGTAGACCCAGTTAACTGGGACCCACTGTGGCTCTGTAAATAGTTTCTCTATCGCAGTCTGCAGCTTTTCGAAAGCTTTGTCTAAGTTATCATTGACAATGGTCAAATCAAAGTAGTGGCTGTATGCTCGCTCAATCCGAGCACTTTCATCAACTGTTTTTTTCAAGTCCGTGTCCTATAAACAAAGGGAGAAAGAAAGCAAGGTTACATCACTAATATCTGCCTGTGAAGCTTGAGTTCTCAACAGAAACACATTTACCAACACACATTTGCAAAATTAACAGGACTGTCAAGATACAGAGGAAAAGGACAGACAAGCAGGGAGAGATATGATCACAGAGGAGAAGGGAAGTAACATGGGAGATAAAACCTAGAGAAGCCAGGAACTAAGGTTGGGTTAAGAAAATAAATTTCAGTGCTCTCAAGACTAAAACACTGGTTTTAACAGATAATGCCAAAATTGGTGTTATCTGTTAAACTGATAATGCTGTAGGTGGTAATTGGCACAGAGGATTGTGTCGTGGCATTAGTACTAGAGCTGAACAATTTGTTGCGATAAATGTAAATCGAGCACATTGAAGTATTCTATAAATCAGTTGATAGGCATTTTAAAACTTAAAATGTTTAAAATTCTAAATGACTATAAATGTAAGTATCTCTTACTGTCAGAAGCTTAGTTGTGATTCCAGCATCAATGACAGCTTTGTGCATGGCACGTAGTGTTTCTAATTCCGGAGCAGCAACAAACACAATATATGGCATAAATTCAGCTGTCTTCAGTATCTTCAGTGCCTGGTGGTAACAGAGATAATAAGGTAGTGAACATTGGCATTATGACACCCAGCTTTTGGAGCTTTTCTAACACATTTAAACCAAAATACATAAAGCACAGAATGAGAACACACCACATAGCCCATTAAATCAGTTTCTTCCACTCTCGTGGACTCAGTTCAGTCTCTGATGAGACTTCTGCAACATTTCTCTCTCACCTTTTAAAAAGCAAATCTGACAAAAATGCAGCATATCTAACATTACATTCAAGACATTTGATTAAACGCCTAACTTGATATTTTGTGTACATTCACCTTTTGGAAAAACATTCCATTAGTACTTTATGTAGATGTAAATGCAGCTCCTCCAGAGAACCCCATGTACATCACACCAACTCTAGAGAACCTCTCTCTCAAGACAGTGTTGTAAGGTGCCAGGGACACTCGGGTTTCCTGAGGTGCACTTTTTGAGCCTCACTGTCAAGTCTCATGAATGAAAAATGAACATTAAAGAAGGTACTGCAGGCCTGCCAGCTTTGTAAATTGTAACCCTACCCCAGTCAGTATCTTCAGAGGAGCACAAAATGGGGGAAGGAGGAGAGAAAAATTAAATCTTTCAGGTATCGTTATTTCTGAATCAAGGGAAAGGGAGCAGAAAATAATATTTTTTGCAAAATAAAATCAGCAGCTCTAAAAACTTATTTAATCACAAAAAACATTATTTAATATTTGAAATTCAAGACCAATTCTTAGTTCTTATTTTTCCATAACAAACTGGGAAGGTTGTCTAACTCGTACAGACTCCAAGGGACGTGGGCCAGATTTACTGAGCTCAGCATGAAGAGCATGAATATATTTTGGCAAAGATCATACTCCAGCCTGTCTAACTAAATCTCTTTTCTCAGACAGGAAACTTCATCCTACATCAAGGCTGTTTTTTTCCTTGTGAACTTTGAAAATAAATCGAAGAATTAGTCCTATAGGAAAACCATTTAAAGTGTCAAATTTGATGCATCTCCTTCCCTATCTAAAGCTCCCAACCCCTAGCATGTCCACTCCCAGTCTCTGCCACATTCCTCAATAATCCCATGTCCCTGGTGAAACTTACTACCAGCTCCCTGGATACTCTCAACCCAGTTCCCAAGGACCCAATGTTGGCCAATCTCAAACTTGTTCCTGGAACTGTACTTCCACTTACCTGCCTTCCAAGAGTTAGTTACGTTTAGCAACTCCCCCCAAAATACTTGCCGTGCTGCTTTCCTCTTTACTGTTATACCCTTCTTAAAAAACATCCCTTTTTGACCATGCCACTGGTTAATGTTCTTAAATAATCCTTCCTTTTGTCTATGCTCAGTGGTTCATATAAGGGCACTTCAGAAGTTCATTATGTGTTAAAAGACACTATGTAAGCTGCTGTTGTCTAGATTCTTGCACCAGATGGACAATGCAAAACTTACTCCTTTCAACTTAATTTAGTTCCTTCATATTTGCTTAAACATTCTCATCTATTGGTACTTCTCTTAATTCTCCTCCTCTATTACCATTCAGGTTTCACAAGCTCTTCAGATCTCAAAAGAAATGCTCATCTCCTCCATTCCTAATGTGGTCTCCAAGGCACTCAGTTTCACCTTTCACGTCAAACATTTTCCCCTCAACAACTCTTAAAAGATCCAAGTCCATGCAGGAATTAAATAGCGTCTCCGTATCTAGAGAAGCTCTGCCAATGTTCTCTCGCACTGCTGGACAGAAAACAAGTAAACAATTCGCATCCGACAGGTGTTCTTCCTCAGAACTTCCCTTCACTGTATCGTTCTCTCCATTCAACATAAACCCTTTTACCCTCCTGGGAAATGGGGGAATGTAAAAGTGGGGGCTCTGGGGCTGCCTTCAGGGTGATGTGTCTGGCAATGTAATATTGGAATCGAGTCGATCCTCTGTGGTGATCAAGCACAGATTAGTCTGGTTCCTGAGCCAAGCACATGGGTCTCTCTGCCATACTCCAAAAACACGAGTTTCTGTGGGTGTCAGACACCAGGCTGACCAAAAAACAACCCTTTCTTGTCTTTCTCTAGGTTTTTAACACGTCTATAATGATTACTCTTTTGAACACGTATCTTGCTCCTCCAAAGCTTGAGGTACGATGGAACTCCTTGCCTGTAAAATACAGCCACTACACATTACAATAAATCCTGTGAAGGTCTTTGAGACATCCTCCTGATGTGAAAGATCGTTTATCAAATATAAAGATTATCATTATTATTTTATTATTAATATTTTATGGCTATTATCTCAACTTCCCTTCTTCCTACACCTACAGGATTTAAGATCACAAGCTAGGTATCACCCTACAGTATTTTTTCCTGTCTTTTGGTTTTAACCTTGGGGGTTGATTACATCATGGTACGCAGCCCTTCATTTAACCTTTTCGCTCACACAAAAAATTGTACAATTCTTATTTTTAAATTCATGAGGTGATGCAGGCATTGCAGTTAGCAGACTTCATCAGTCATTCAATTTAACTTGCGCCTTCAACCTTCCCTGCAAATATTGATCCAAGTGTGTATTGTATAATTTGAAGTTACGGTTTGAAGGGAGGCATCAGCTATGGCAGTCAGTACAGAAAAGATATTACGAGAAGTTAATATCTTGAAGCCAGGACTCGTCAGAAATTGATATCCTGAAAAAGAGGGTGTTAAATTCAAACATGTATTGAAAAAAGTAAGTCAAGCCCACAGGCTAATTAAAGACAGGTACAGTCTCATTCTCTCATTGACTCGAATTATTCTATCATTGGCTAGAAAAGCACAAGAACCATATGGATGAGAAAGCAAATGAGAAAGAGCTAAAGATAGCAAAGTTATATATGGAGAATGCCCTTTTATTTGAAAGATGGATGTTCCTTTGAGGCACTGGGCTTGGTTTAGGCTAATATCTGTGCCAGACAGTGATCTTCAAGGTCACAAATAGAAAACTAGTTAGCACAAAACAGTTTTTGAAGGCATTGAGGCAGAGGAATAAAGAAAAGCACATAAAAATACATCAAAAGATTTAGCTTCTAAAGAAAACGGAAATTATTATAATACGCTAATTGTAGGTTTAAAGTATCTAATTTTGGCATTGTGCGATTAAATAAGATCATTATTAATTATATCTTGCTCTGACATCATACCTGTGGGTTAATATCCAAAATGCACATCCTTCTTGTGCTAACAACTTCATGGATTGAGTCAATTTTTGTCCCATACAGATTTCCCTCGTACTCTCCATGTTCCAGGTATCTGCTGGCTTTAATGTCTGCTTCCATTTCTGTGCGTGATACAAATCTGTACGCATGGCCATCCAGTTCATCATCTCTTGGCTTTCTTGAGGTAACTGTAGGGAATTAGGGGAGAAAACACACAGATGTTGTAAGCTCCAAGTCAGAGCGACACAGTGGGAAGAATGTCAAGTTAGACTATACGAGTTACAAGTCACGATATGAAATAATCTTCTGACTCAAAAGATGAGAGTTCTCCCAACTGAGCCAGGCAGGCTAAAGCATCATTCCAATGAAACAGAAAAGGATTGAAATTCTACAGGTTCTGTTTCAAATGTAATATCCTTACAGTAAGTATATTATGTCACGAGTAGATTGTTCCTTGTGGAAATCATTAACTCACCACATTACCATGAGAGGGCTAACTAAGGCAGACGTCAGTCAATATCCCAATGGTGACTAGCGGGTGGGAAGTGGGAGAGGGAAAGAAACCTTTGGTCTCGATTCCATATCTCTTAGAAGTCGCCTTCACTGCAGCATTTGCATAGGCTGTGAGACGGCATCTCAATTGTACTCTTGACTCACAAATGCACAAGACACAGGAAGAGCCAAGAAACGGCAAAGAAAGGCAGTGAAGGTGCGAGTCTTACCCTCAAACACGAACCGGGAATTCTGCTGACAAGCTATGAAGAAAGTAACTCACAAGGGACTGTTGTTCCAAATCGAATGGGATTCATCACAATGAGTCGGTTTTTTAAACTCCGCCGCCCTACACCTTGAGCTCCTATTAACACCAGGGTCTTCCTCTGAAAAGGGGGCATCCTGGCTACTTCCTCATAGATCAGGATTTCATGTCGATCAAATTCTTGATGCAAAAACAGAAAAATATGAAAAACAGAAGCATTTTTCACAGGCTGAAAGATCTACACTATCAAGTTACAAAAACCACCTTAACTGAGCAGAAGTGAGTTCACTTGAATCAAAGTGAAGCAACGTAATAATAGGTCACTTATATCTCAAAATATTGGTTCAGATTTACTAACACACGGAACATAATGCATAAATATTGGCATATTGACCAACATTTTAAAAAGGCTCAAACAAACCACTTTAAGGACTATGTTCAATTGAAAGTACTTTAAAAACACTTGACCACGTTATTAGAAGAAATAAAACACATAGGGCAACCCTGTTATATAATAGTGTTTTGGGTCCATAAAATTAGCCCTTGTGCTACAATAGAATGGCCAAAAAAAAACTGACCACCGGTCTCGCTTCTAGTTATCAGATCACAACTGAAGTCACTTACAATTTGCACAAGATGCTGATCAATAGACCTCTTTCCTGAGTATTCTAGCCCTAGAAACGTTTGCAAGAGCAGTCAAAACTAATCGCCAAGCTTCCTGTGCACAGGAAGCGCACCTCAACTTCCGCACCCAAAGGTCCCCGGGACACCCGTGTTATAAGTGGACTTGTACGGACCCACTATAATGTGTGGTCTGAGTTTTTGACCCAAACCACTATTATAATGGGGTCACCCTATGTAGAAAAGATGGGAGTTCCCAGTGTTAGTAAAACACAGGGAAGAAACTGCATTCTGGATACTATCTATCCTAGTCCCTGAACAGACCTACAGTATCTGTATTCAGTTTCTAAGCTTCACGTCGAAGGTAACTGGAGAGATAAGATACTGAAACTACTTCTTTACCTGCATTTTTTGTAGTGAGATACATCATCTTTTTCTTCTTTTTACCAGTAATTGTTCCACAGAATGGTCCTGGTCAGAGATTAAAAGACAAGACTCAGAACAAGGAATTAATCTTTAAAACACTGCAACTGATAATTTGCGTGTGATGTTCGTTTCTTTGTACCACATGCAATCATGACACAACTTACCAAAGCAACAACCAACAATAATCTGCAGCAAAAGAATCAGACTAGAGACAATGGGGGAATAGGGATTTATTATGTCCCATATGTATATAATGTGTTTCAAAAATAGATTTACAATTGTTCAAATAATCTCCCACTCTGTCATATGTTATGAAAAGCCTATTTCCCAATTAAATACAGTGGAAATTTACTGTAAAAAGTGCCATGCTTCCCATTATAGCCATCATTACCTTTTGTTGTGCCATACAAATCTCTAAACAAAACATAGAAGACGTACCTGAAAGGTCCCAGTCCCGTTTAACAAACGCTTTCCTCTTTTCTTCCAGCATCTGACTGGGAATGAGGCCTGCACTTCCTCCTCCCTTCAAATTATAAGCCTGAAATTAAACACAACTACTCCAATTAGCTCTCAATAGTCATAAACTGAGCACAAACGTTCCAAGTCAGCATGTATCTGTCTAAAAAAAACTATCAAGCTGTATTATTGAGGGAAGGGTTTGTGGAGCAGACTTTTAATTCCAATGTTAAAAAAGGCACAAAGCTACTAAAGAGGCAAATTGTCATGGAAGAGGCCACTAAGTATGTTCTGGGCGTAATTTTTCGAAATCAAGAATTTTCATGATATCAATTTTATTTTGACAGTAGTGAAAGATGAAAGTTCCACATTATATTAGCACTTTATTTCAGATGACCAACAATAAGTATACAGTGTTGGATTACCATTTGAGAACAATGTAAAATACAGTATATGAACATATTTCACTGTCAAATGCTGAATACAGTTCCATTTCCATGTACAACCAAATGACGAAAACAAGGTTATTAAATGGTTAAAGAGCTAGTATCTCAGTGTTTCACACAACCATGAGGGAGATGGTTTAGATTAGTTATTTATTCATTGATGAAAAAAGAGAAAACGTGTTCAAGATTCCATGCAGAACTTTCTGATATATTTCTCAGACAGGGACCACAAGTGGTAAAACTATTTCCAGACAACCATCGAAACAGATCTTGTTGCTCATCTCCTTCCACCCCACTCACCAAAAAAACACATCTTCAACAATCCATTGCAAATATTTCAGTTCAATGTGAGCTGCAATATTCACACTGCTCACTGGTCTCCCTGACTCCTCCATTCCCAAGCTGCAGCTCATATAAACCCCCACCTCCTGCACTCCCAAAGGATCAATTTCAAGGTATGCACCTCTTCACCTACAAATCCATTCACTTCCTGGCAACTCCATATTTCTCTGATCTTCTCCTACCCTACTCCATTGCTCACCTCCTTCTCTCTGCTAACTTGGGCTTGCTGTATGTCCCCACCTTCCCCATGTCACCAATGGTAGCTGAGCTTTCAGTTCTCACACCTCTACCCTCTGGAACTCCTTCCCTCTACCACTCCATTTCATTCCCTCTCTTTCAGTCTTTAAATCCTGCCTCAAATCCTACCTCTTTGAATACACTATAGCCACCTCTACACCCCTCTTACTCAACATTCAACCCCTGTCCCTCTAAAGTGCTGCAAGACCGTACCCTATGTGAAGGACGCTATATAAATGCAAGCTGTTATAATAATGTTTCTCAATCTACTCTTTTATTTGTTTTTAAACAACGGCTTTCATTTCTTGCATCTATAGAATTTTATTCCTCCTCTACAAAAAAGAAATTAAAAAAAACAAAAAGATATGAAATGCAGCCTACTCTGTATACTGACTGAAACAATTGCCAAGAAAAACCTTCAGGCTGATAGGGTGTTGAACCAGATGGAAGCTTCCAAAATTAGCACTAGATGTGGGCAATAGGTTTGAAGAATTCAAAGCTGATTTCATGTGATCTTTGGAGAAAGGAAGCATTTTATTTGTGAGGAGTAATAAATTTGATGAAATTAGTTAATGCTTTCACAAAGTAAGGAAACTTGCCCAGGTCAAAACCTTGGGCAAGTTTCCTTACTCCACACGCCTGATAATAATCCCTCCAGAAAACAAAACAATAATAAAAATTGGTCACTTCAATCCACGACTGCTTGTGGGACACTGCTGTGCACAATTGACTGCCACGTTTCGCCCACAACTATATACAGTCAATTCACTTTACAGTATATTCTGTGAAGCGCTTTGAGACGTCTCGAAGATGTGAAAAGCGCTATATCAAATGTAAGGATTATTATTATTAAAAATGATGAACACCAATGGCTTCCGATGGGAAATTACTGAAATTTTAATAATTGTTACATTTGATATCGCAAGTATAAAATCAAATGTTTGAAAGCGCTTCAGAGCTTTTCTGTAAAGTGTCCTTGTAGGCAAACATGGCAGGTGTTTGCATACGGTAATGTCCAATAAACAGCCATGAAGTGAATGAACAACTCATTGGTCAGGACACCAGGAGCAACTCCACTTCTCTTTTGAATAAGGTCATGGAACCTTTAATGTTGCCCTGAACAGACGGACATCTTATCCAAACGACAGCACCTCAAACAATGTAGCACTCCCTCAGCACTAGACAAGTGGGTCGGCTGCACTACAAAAGTCCTAACAATGGGAGAAACTCGCTTCTTTTTTCGAATAATGCCATGGGATCTTTAACGTCTACTTGAACAAGAAAATGGGGCCTTGGTTTAATGTCTCATCCAAAGGACAGCATCTCCAACAATGCAGCACACCCCCACACTGCATTGGAGTGTTAATCTTAGACTATATGAGTTCCAAGTACTGACAACCTTCTAAATCAGAGGCAAGAGTGCTAGCAACTGAGCCAGACTGATGCACGTAATTCCAATTTCTTCCACTTGATTTACTACTTGCATTGAATCGGCTAGGAAACCAGGCAATTTTTACTTCAACGTTTTTCTTTTCTAAATAAATTTCATCTTTCTGAAGAAATTTGAGCAATTGTGCATAACTGCTAATAAATTATCAGTGGGCATGCAATAAATTAAAATCACCATTGGAGGGCACTAGAAGCACTCCCTCATCAAGATTTCCCTCTTTAGTTCCCAATATTTAAAAATCCCCCGGAAATTTTCAGATTAAATCTATAAGGAAAAAAACGAAGAAAAAAACTTTATTTAAAAAAAATACAGTAGAATATACTAGAAACAAAGAGAGCAACAGAACCAAAATGTCAGATAAAAAAGATCACAAGAAATTATGCAAATATGTACAAATGTCAATATGTGTGTGTGTGAAAATGTCAATATGGTGCAGTGGGTCAAGGCCGCTTGTATGTCCTCTCTCTCACTCTGTGGACAAGGTCAGGGAAAGCTGCTCAACACAGAAATAAATTTACAGGAACTGTGCAAGAGGAGGCAAGCAATATGCAAAAAAAAAACAGAAATATCAGATGTTCTAAAAGTAGAAAAGTACCTGGTGCAGACAAGATCTACTGTACCAACAAGTCTTAAAAACAAAATGCGGATGGAATTTACAGATGTTATAACTGCCATTTTTGCAAATTCAGTATAATTCCAGGAACTGACTGATCTAAAACCATTACCTTATTTGAAACAGAACCTGAAAATTAGATTATTGGCTGTAGGAATCCACCTTTTTTGAAAATTTTGAGCAGTAAAACTGCTGTCGAGATACAGTAAAACTCACATAAGTCTTATCTTTCTAATTCGTATAAGTCGTAGATTCACCCGAGTCCCATTCAGTTTCCTATAAATTGATTTCTTTGCACAAGTCGTATTAATCATCTCCTAACCCTTAACGCCACTCCCCTAGCCTCCATTACTCTCGCACTTACCAGCTGCGTTGAATCACAGAAAATGACATCCTGACCCCTCGATGCATGTGAACTAACCGCTGGGCTGCATTAAATTGTGGGAAGCATAGTCTTGACCCATCAGCACATGCGAGATTACCGACTGCAGTGACGAACTACCTCATTCGCCCTTAACAGCTGCAATGAATTACGCATGTGCAGTGTAGGTTATTGATTAATCGGATTTTATACGATTCATACAGTTTGCCTGAAACTCGGACTTCTTGTAAGTCATGTGTAGTCCTGTAGCTCAGTGTTTAGAGCACTCGCCTTGCAAGAGAGAGGACCTGGGTTCGACTCCCAGCAGGGCGAAACCTTGGGCAAGTTTCTTTACTCCATATGCCTCTGTTTACCTTGCAGTAAGTAGGAACCCAGTTGTTATTCAATTGGCAGATCGCTTTTCCGAGGGTAATAATCCCTTCAAATAAATAATTAAATAAAAAGATAATAATTTGGTCACTCAATCCACGACTTTTTGTCGGATACTGCTGTGCACGATTGGTTGCCATGTTTCACCGAAAACATATACAGTCACTTCACTTTACAGCATATTCTGTGAAGCGCTTTGAGACGTCTGGAAGATGTGAAAAGCCCTATATCAAATGCAAGGATTATTATTACTTTACAGTACATTCTGTGAAGCGCTTTGAGACATCTCAAAGATGTAATAAGGCGCTATATCAAATGGAAGGATTATTATCATTAAATATGATGGTCCCAACTGATATGACTTATGTGAGTTTTACTGTTTATGGGGGGGAAAAAACCACAACGTAACAAAACTGCACCAACCTGCCACCAGTTGAAGTCTTCTCGATTCACAATCTGAAGGATATCACCTCTGGAAAATTTCAATCCTGCATCTTTGCAAGGGATCAAGCTGTCATTGGCTGGATTGTAATCATAGTGGCATTTCACAAACACCTGCAACAGATCGGAATACTTTGCAGTGAAGCTTTGGCAGAGAAAGGATTATTATACACAGTAGAAGGCAATTGAGATCTTAACTTCAACCCATAATTTCAGAGTCATTACACTTAGTATTGAATTTCATAATTAGCTCCTTGTAAATCAACATTTAGTGCCAATACTTTTTCTTTAGTTACAACAGTGCAGCATTCATCACAGTCACATACTGACTGCCACAGATGGATTACAGTATTTCCCAAGTTGCTACCCAAGAGCGATTTCTGAGACTGCTATGTTATTGCAATATAATCTGTGGCTGAGATTCATCAAAGCCAACAGAAAGAGTTAAATATTTTAGCACCAGTGCTGCTGTATTTTCTTTGCTAGTAGAGCAGTTTGAATCCCAGCCTTTGCTGAGCACTGGTGTCAAATTCTTTATACAAGGAAAGTTACTCCAATTTTGCTTGGTCCTGCCTGGTTCTACACAATACATTTGCAAAGCGACTTTCACGTCAGGAGGACATCCCAAGGCGCTGAACAGTCAGGGATTAGGACCTATACTGTGAAGTGCAGGAACTGTATACTTTCTGGGCGAAACGCGGCAGCCAATTGCACACGGCAGTCAGGAATTGAGTCACCAAATTTTTTTTATTATTATGGCGGGTGGAGGTGAAATACCATCTTATTAACCGTACTTGGCAACTTGTACAAATCAGTGGTTTTAGGATATTTTACTCTTATCTGCAGTTATTCCTTAACAAAGGTCAGAAGTATTTTCTGAGAGCATTACCCTTTTCATAATAGATGTACAAAAGGAGAAGAATTCAATGGACTGCAAATCACAAGCAAGCAATCTTATTTTAAGAGGTATTATGTAATCCTTAGTACAAGTTACACCTCAGAAACATAAAGTGAGATTCTTTCCTCACCCAATATCCAAAGGTACACTTTCTAGTAAGGCTCAATGAACAGCATTTAGAAACAATGACCTTGACCAATGACTCCCCCTCCTTCACTGAGTGGATTGTTCAGAGTCTCTACCATGTCTATCACTGAAATATCCTGACATGGTCAAAATGCAGACTGTCAGAATGCTAACCTACAGAGAATTGTAGTTCGCATGCTGAACAGCTTTATAAATGAAGTGATGGCTCCTAGATGACTCATTGGATACATGCACCACTGAAAGCCACCAGGGAGACTTGATTGAACTTTTAAGAAGAACGTCAAGGTTAAAAGTACAACGTTAACGTACTCCTTTATGGCCACTCCCTGAAATAATTGTGGTCCTAGTCATCAACCACTCAATTCATCATCAGAACATAATATTCCCTACAGCAAATCTAAACCACTAGTCCAACAGCAGAAAGGCCAAGTCTCCTAAAATGCATAAACTCGAGTTAAGTAACAGGTGCATAGATTGAGCAGGGTTTAGAAATTTACACTTGAACTCAAAAGCTCAAATGTTGTGTCACATGATCAACGTATCCACTTGTAGTCAATATGTCCAGAATTTTTTTTCATTTAAATCTGCACCCAATTCCGTGTTAGAAGCAATTTCAACAGCTCAACTGGCAGTGAAGAACAACCAAGTATCTAGCTTTCATTGGACTGGGAAGTGTGCTAGCAGTTACTCAAATATTCAGCACTAAACAGGAATCGGACAAAAGCATAAGCTACAACTATTGAATTCAACTGGAGATTCAATTCAATAGATTCAACAGAAAAGGGCACTTGCTTTACTGTATACATGCTTTCACTCAAATAGCTAAAAATTCTGGTAGTCCAAAGTAATCAGATTAATCACTACACAATAATCCAATTCCATACTCCTTTTCTTCTTTTCAGCGGTAATACTCTTACCTGCTGTGGTAAAGGTGTTTCCTTGTAGCTGGGTAAGATTTTGAATGTGATTCCACCACTGCTATTCTTCAAAGTTTCTTGAAGTGCCTTGGGGTCAGGACCCACTTCACTCCCATTTACCTCTTTAATGATATCACCAACGTGGAGGAGACCTTGACGGTCAATCACGCCACCGTAGAGAATCCTTGCGATGACCAGCTCATTATTCTCCACCCTGAAGGTAACCCCCTGGATGAAACAAGGAAGAAGTTAGTTTTTTTTGTTAAGTATCAACACTAGGAATCAGAAAACATGCAACCACTTACTTTTGCGCACAAAAGATATTTTTCAAGAAATGGTCACACTTAAAGACCCCAAAATGTATCAAGAAAGGCAGCAATTCAACATCACCTCTCTATATGAACACACAGTTCATACAGAATTCATATCATTTATGATAGAAAGCGTTAATGTTTTTGTCCCATTCCATGTGATCAAAAGTGGCTAAACCAGCTTTACTTTCTGTACAGCAGCCAAACTTCAGGTTAATTCTTCTGACACAAAGAGCTAATCATGGAACAAATAAATAATATCTCTTCAATGTGATGGTGATTGAAATAGTCCACCACTGTTTGGAGGGATACCCCAAATTCAATATATAATCCCTATTTAGGGGATTTGTTGACATGGCAGTCAGCCACATCACATAATAGGGATTAAAACATCCACTGTATTTGTACTAATCCCCATTAAAACCAAACACAAATATTTAAAAACAAATTAACAACGAATAAACTAAATACTGGAGTGAGACTGAGTAGACTAGTGAAACACTTTGAAGCAATATCACCACACTTCATTCACAGAATAAGCTTGATCTTCCAATTGCACTTCTCTCATTGAGTTCATAAGTTTGTAGGGAGTGAAGTAAAAAAACTCAGAACTTCACCCAACAAGCAATTCCACCAACACTGATTTGCTCCAAAGGAGAGCCATTTGCAGAACAATATAATATATTACAGAGCTCCACAGAGGTGCTATCAAAAAATATAGAATATTTACCTGAAGAATGATCTTCTTTCCAAAGATTTTCACAAATGATCACATCCAAATGCCAATTAATAACAACATGGGGAAAAAAACTTACCAAAGGCTCCATAGCTTTTTTCTGAATTCCAATCATCCGAATAGCGTCTCCAGATGCCGTTTGGTTGTTCAGGAAATCATTTAATACGTTAGGGCTAGGAGGTGGTGTTTCATAACACTTTGATGCAACCAAATCATGGGCTTCCAACAGGGACTACAAAACAGTCAAATACAATCTATCAGGTACTGGATGCAAAGATCCCACTGTGTTCTACACCCACAGCATAAATCTACATAAACCTCTCTCAGGTTTGCTCTCAGTTTCTGTGGAACAGTGTGAGACATAATAATAATCCTATAATCCTTGCATTTGATATAGCGCTTTTCACGTCGGTAGGACGTCCCAAAGCGCTTCACAGAACACACTGTAAAGTGAATTGACTATATATTTGTGGGCGAACGCGGCAGCCAATTGCGCACAGCAATGTCCCACAAACAATCGTAGATTGAAAATGACCAATTTTATTATTGTTTTGGGTTTTTGGAGGGATTATTATTAGGCGTGTGGAGTAAGGAAACTTGCCCAAGGTTTCGCCCTGCCTGGAATTGAACTCAGGTCTCTCGCTTGCAAAGCGAGTGCTCTAACCACTGAGCTACAGGACATGTTCTGAGGAGAGGGGGAGCAGGCGCTTTGGGGCACTAGCTGCATCCTCGTCCGTCCCCCACAAAAAAAATAGGAGCTGGAGGTCGGGGTCAGGTAGGGTGGAGGGCAGGGGGGGAAGGAGGATGATCGAAGGCACGGTCAAAGAGGAGGGTCTTGAAGGTGGCAAGGGAGGGGGTGAGGCAGAGGGACTGTGGGATGGAGTTCCAGAGGGTGGAGGCAGCATGGCAGAAGCTCCGCCTGCCAATGGTGGACCGAGCGAGGAGGGTGACATGAAGCAGGTTGGAGCTGCTGAGCGAAGGGAGAGAGCAGGATGGTAGGGGGTTAGGAGGTCGCAGAGGTAGGGAGGGGAACAAGACCATGGAGAGCTTTGAAGGTGAGGACCAGGATCTTGAACTGTATCCTCTGTGTGATGGGAAGCCAGTGGAGTCGGGCGAGGATGGGGGTGATAGGGTCGTGGAGCTGCAGAGTTCAGGATGATCTGCAGCCTGTGGAGGGAGGCCAACAAGCAGGGAGTATGCCCAGTCAAGCCTGGATGTCTCGGCGGTTGTCACAATAGTCAAAACAGCTACTACATGGCTGGCTGAGGGCGAGCTTTTCCCAGGCAAGGTTGCAATGGGGAGTTTTGCGCAATGGGCCGCTGAGCGAGTGTTTGCTGAGTGACTCCTGGTTGGCTGAGTGGTGCAGATAAGTTTGTTCCAATGATATATATATATATATCTATATATTATACTTATTGGTTTATATAGAATTTGACTTTATGTGAGTGCTGAAATAAAGCGGGGGGCTGTTATTCATGTTCTGCGTGGGAAGGGGCCGGGATATTGACAGCATGATGATATAAGCCAGGGTCTCATCAGTACACTGTACCATTTCGGTAAATAATGTCTCGTTCTATTTGTAGTTACAGCAACATATTAAGTCAACTCTGAGTTGTCTTTTCTAGGCTGAAGAGCCCTAATCAATGCTCATAGATTATTTCTATAACAATGGAATTCATCTTCATTGCTCTACTCTGCACTGCATGTTGTGCCTTAGTCACAGTAACCAGAATTGTATTGACCACTCTAGGTACAGCCTGACCAGAGCACTGTACAGCCTGAGCACAAAGTCTGGGGATCCAAACTCAACTGATTTGGCAATATAAAAAATATACTGTCAATTCACTTTACAGTATTTTCTGTGAAGAGCTTTGAGACGTCTCAAAGACATGATAAGGTGCTATATCAAATGCAAGGATTATTTTATATTTTATTATATAACTCAGCATCCTGTTCACCTTGTTTACTGTTGCCATGTACTGGTTTGAAAGTTGTTAGTAATAAGTCAACTAACACCCGTAGATCTCTTTCAGCTTCCCCCTTGGCAAGTTGTGTCCCATCCAAGTGTGTCTCCTATTTTTACTTCCTATATGCAAGCAGTACTTTGCATTGACTTGTTTTTTTTGGTTTGTTTTTGTGTCAGCCAGGTGTCTGATACATGCGGAAACCCATCACCATGCTTAAGACTATATTGAACTTCATCAGCCCATGGGCATGCCCTGTCAAGCTCTCTTAACTTAAAATAGATCTTATGAGTAAGCGAGAGAGAGAATAACAAAACGGATTACAGACTCAGACTTTCCAATCTGGCAGATTCCTAGATAATGTGTAAACATGTTTCTATAGTTTGTGAGAAAAAGCAGGAACTCACATGTAGAGGGCATTATGGGAGAGAGGAAAGAAGGCGTGAGGGGGAGGAGAAGGGAGACAGCATTGCAACTTATCAAAACATGGGGCTCAACATTGACCCAATTCGAATTCAGCCATCTCCCTGAGATGCTTAGCTTGATTCTCATCAGAAAAGCTTAAAGGATTACAAATCATTAAAACAAATTGGTTTGTAAATGGTTAGTAAATTTAGCTTTTATGGTCCTTTATTCAATACAATTTTTTTAAAAAAAAGCTTGTGCCACATACCACTATCACCTGAAATCTGGATTTAAGCATTATTTACATTTGATAAGAGTCGTATGTCAGAAACAAGGTGTCTACTATCACTATGCAAATGAGAACATGTTGGTCATCTCTGAGATTGAAAGCAATGTTCCAGGAGAAGGCTACAATCTCAGCAATGCTACACAATACTCCTTTATACCATACGTGAAAACACTTTGACATGGCCCTCATTCTGCTTGATGGACAGGCATACTTTGATAAGGAAAAGCTTGGCAACAGTTTAAAAAGTGGGGGGGACAGGGGGACAACTAAGTTTTTCTGCCTTTTAAGTATCACAGAAGGGGATTATGAGGATTATTCTACTTCTGTCTGTTACATAGATATCTCATTAACTATAGATTTAACATTGGGGAAGCATAGTGTTAAATAAAACAGATTGACTAAAAAATAAGGCGAGCAACTTACATATAGACTGGTGGATAACTGAAATTTAATTGCGTATATATATATATATTTTGCAGATATTATTGTTTAAAAAAATCCTAGATTTTCCATGTCTTGATCCAAGTCACATTAAGCATTAAGTGCACTAAGGATACTAGTATTTGAAATAAAGAACGGTTTTCTGTTGGATTATATACAATGCAAGAAAACATGCATTGGCAGAGGTGTCCTCCTTTGGTTGAGACCTTAAACTGTTCAAGTGGATGTTAAAGATCCCATGGCATATTTAAAAAAAGTAATTTCTCCCAGTATCCTGGCCAGCAATCCTGCAGATAACATTGATTATTCACTTCATGGTTGCCTGTTTGACATTCACTGTTTTTGAGACATTGCTGTGTGCAAATGTACAGTTACTACATTTTCCAACAGCACTTTGAGATTGATGATGTGATGAGGCACTATAGCAAATGGAAGGATTATTGTTTTATAAATCTGATACTAAGGCTAAAAACTATAAAATAAAGAATTTGGACAAAAACGAAGAAGTGAGAAAATTGCTCCACCTTTTACCAAATTAGTGCCTAAAATCATAGAATGTTACAGCATAGAAAACAGAGCATTCTGCTCATCAAGTCTGTGCTGCTGTTTATTTGCATGAGCTATTCTAATCCCACTCCTTTGTCCACCTCCACATATTCCAATATTCCTCCTCTTTAAGCAACTATCTAATTCCCATTGAAAGAATTTATATAATGTCTAAACTATGGTTTGTGACAGTGAATTCCACCACAACAAGTCAGTTGGCAGTTAACTGGTATTAGGTGTTAATTAAAAGGCAAAATACTGCAGATTCTGGAAATCTGAAATAAAAACAGAAATTTCTGGGAACACTCAGCAGGTCAGGCAGTATCTATGGAGAGAGGAAATTGATGTCGATGACCTTTCGTCAGAACTTTTTGATGAAAGACCATTGACCTGAAACATTAACTCACTTTCCTCTCTCTATAGATGCTGCCTGACCTGCTGAGTATTCCCAGAGACTTCCGTTTTTATTAGGTGTTAATTGTTAGCTGACCATTTGAAACTGGTTCTGACTGAGGGGTATATAGAAGGAAAACTTGCTATTGTCATTGGGGATTCAACAGTCAGCAGGATAGATAGGTGTTTCTGCAACCACAAACGTGAGTCTTGCATGGTGTGTGGCCTCCCTAGTGCCAGGGTGGAGGATGTCACGGAATGGGTGCAGAAAATTCTGCGGAGGAGGGAAACAGCCAGAAGTTGTGATCCATGTTGGAACCAATGACATAGGAAAGAAAAGGGTAGAGTTTCAGGAGATAGGGAGGAGACTAAAGAGAGGGACCTGAAAGCAGGAGAAATAGAATTACTCCCAGTGCCACATGCTAGTACAGGAACAACAAGAGGAAGCAGGTTAATGTGTGGGTGGAGAAATCATGTTGGAGGGAGGGCTTCAGATTCCTGGAGCATTGGGTACAGTTCTGAAGCAGGTGGAACATGTACAAGGTGGTCAGGTTACACCTGAACAAGGCTGGGACCAATGTCCTCAAGGGGAAGTTAACTAGTGCTGCAGGGGAGCATTTAAACTAATTTGGAGGAGGGGAGGGAACCAGGATGTAACAAGGAACAGAGAGGGCTGGGAAAGACAAATAACTCTGGAATAAAGAGTAGTCCGGAAATAGAAGGAATTAGACAGGCTGAAGATGTACACAAACCATGCTCTGGATAATTCACAAGACATTTAGACTATCAGCCTTCATGATCTCATTCTTAACAGGCTTTGCTTCAAAATGTAGAAAAATCCTGCTAACACAGTTCTTGGACCGAGAAAATGTAAACTCATATTAGAAGCGAAAGCGCAAAATAGCCAATGTCAGTAAGCGCTTCCAAATTCATGAAGAGACATCACTGGAACACTTTGCACATACACACAGAAAGCCATTCAAAACACTCAACGTCTAGTTCCTATCCATCCTTATAATAATAATTTGATCACTCAATCCATGATGTTTGTGGGACACTACTGTGTGCAATTGGCTGCCGCGTTTCTCCCACAAAATACAGTCAATCCACTTTACAATATATTTTGTGAAGTACTTTGAGACGTCTCAAAGACATAAGGTGCTATATCAAATGCAAAGATTATTATTATTTATGAGGCAGTGTCATACTGAAGGGAATTATAATCGAACTCCATCGCATTTGATAAGCAGTGTATCTTAGAGAAACAAACATTATATAAAAAAACCAAAAAATCCACTTTCATACAAAATGGAATATCAGCATTGTAATTACACAAGAGCAGTCAGGTACCACTGATAACAATTCACTTTTCAGAAGGATAATGCATGCTGAATTTCACAATAATTTGATCAGTTATTTCTTGGACATTGTATCCAACTAGAGCATAGATATAATTTTACTTTTCAAGGATAAAAGATTGGTGAATATTGGTTTATGGAGGGTTAATAGCAACAACAAATTCAATAAATAAATAATAATAAATTACACTTGTACATGCCCTTCACATCGGAAAGACATCCCAGGGTGCTGAATAATCAGGCGTTTTGGCCCGGAGCTGGGAATTGGGGTCAGAAGGGGAGGAAGGCAGGGAGGGATGTGGGTGGGAGAGTGGCCGAAGGCACGGTCAAAGAGGAAGATCTTCAGACGGGACTTGAAGGAGGCAAGAGATGGGAGGGTGTGGAGGGATTGCCAGGTAGACTTCCAGAGTGTGGGAGCAGTGATGCTGAATGCCCGAATACCAATGGTGGAGCAGGAAGTGCAGAGGACCTGAAGCAGGCTGGTGTCTGCCGAGCGGAGGAAACGGACAAGCTGATAGAGGGTTATGAGGACGGAGAGGTAGAGTGGAGCAAGACCGTGGAGGGCCTTGAAAGTAAGATTGAGGGTTTTGTACGCAATTCTCTGAGGAATAGGGAGCCAGTGAAGCCAGGCAAGAACAGGGATGATGTGGGAGAGGACATGAGCTGTAAAGTCCTGAATAATCTGCAGCTTGTGGAGGGGAGAGTTGGGAAGTCCAGTGAGCAGGCAGTTGAGTTCTAATGGTTATCCTTGTATATGATCATTTACAAAAAAAACTAGATAAAACAAACTAAAAACATCCAAAGATAATACAAGTAATAGCATACAACTGCAGTGTGTACCTGAAAGTGTGGTTCTTTCAGAATTTTAGCGAGTTCTGTAGCACTCTCGTTGCCAGTGGAGATGGGATTGATATCTTCTAAAATTTGTTTCACAAGTTCCACATTATTCTCCCTCACGGCTTCCAGTTTGGTTTCTTCCAATCGCTCATGAGCCTGAAGCAGACAGAAACTCAGTTACTCAAGCATACACACCTCATGTAATATTAGTCACTTTTAGTGTACATCTGCCCTTGGTAGCGGACAGAAACTCATAGCATTCTTACAATTCCTTTTTATTTTTTGATCAGCCGGGTGTCTAACAGCCTACAGTGGGCTGACTTGATTCCGTTGTTAAGCATGTTTCCTTGGTTTAGGTTTGTATCAAAACTATAGACTCTACTTGGATGAACAAGAACTAGTAGAACTAGGATTCTGCTTCTATTATTTCCTACCTTTCGAGTTGATAGAATTTTAGCTCAAATCTGTTGTAATGTTTAATAAGCCTTGGGTTATGAAAAATAAAAATTCAGGAATTATGGCATGCTGTACTGCTCTTTCTCTACTACCCCAGTAATGGATCGGGATCTCAGCTCCTACTGCTGTTTTCGCGCTGTATTCATTCCCGTATTAAATAGAATGTTGAGTCAATTCATTGTGGATGGGACAGAGGTTGACGTCCACTGACCCCTGTGTAAATAACTGAAACAAGATATTCTCACTACAAGTATGGATTTGCAAAGCTGTGCTTACCATTGTCAACACAGAGCCTTGTCTAATAATCATAATCCTTGCATTTGATATAGAGGCTTTCATGTCATCAAGAAGTCTCAAAGCACTTCACAGGATATATTGTAAAGTGAATTAACTTTATTTATGGGCAAAACGCAGCAGTCAGTTGCGCATAGCAATGTCTCACAACAGTCGTGGATTGAGTGACCAAATTCTTAGATATTTTTTAAATTTTGAAGGCATGATTACCCCCAGAAAGCGATCTGCCAATTGACTAACAAGCAGATTCCTACTTACGGCTACGAAAACTAAATAGAGGCATGTGGAGTAAGGAAACTTGCCTAAGTTTTTGTTCAGCCCTTGAAACAACCAATTTTATTTGGAGGATTCTTGGCCAGGACATCGGAAGAAACTCCCTTCGCTTTTCAAACAGTGCCAGGGGATCTTTAAAGTCCATCTGAACAGACAGACCTTGGTATAACATCTCAGCCAAAGTAGGGCACCTCCAACAAGGGATCCAGCACTACATTGCATGTCATCTTACACTATGTGGTTCCAAGTCCCGATGTGGGGCTTGAACTCACAACCTTCTGGCTCAGAGGCAACCATGCCAAGCTGATCTAACTGTTGCTGAAAGTCTTCGCTATTAAAGTCTCTGCTGTAACAAGACAAAAAAGCTTTTCATTTCCCATTTAAAGATTTGACAATTTTACAAGAGATTAAATAAATACATTCTACTGAAAATATTTTCTGAAGATACATTGCCCTCTAAAAACAGCCACTCAACCAATAATAAAAGAAACATTAAAGCCATCAAACTATAGTACTGCCCCTACCACAGATGCTCAAGTGCTGCAACCTTTAAATCACTTTTAAAAATAATAAAACTCTCAATGTTCTGGGATATAACTAAATTTTTGAGTTAAGCCAAATTCGCACAATGCCTGTTTAACTGTAGAATAGCTATGTTATGAATATCTGTGAAGATTAGGGTAAAGATTTATCAGATTATAAATTGAAGTTTTTATAATCCTGACTGGATTCCAAAACTGATCCTCCTTGCATCAGTATTACAATCCACATTAGTATTAATGTCCTGATAACCCTAGTATAATCTACATTCAAAATAACCCCAGCCATAGTTGAAGAACAGTGGGACAAAAAGTAAGTTAATGGTCAACCACCCCACTTCCCAAATAAAGAGCATAAATAAAATAATTTGGATTGTACATATCTCGATGAAAATGTTGTACTCATGCTTTGCCTTCCTGCAGGCTTTTTTTTAATAAAACAGCGACTTGTAACCCTAGATGCCTAACTACATGTTCCCACTCATCTACAAGTCACTGTTTCACTGGATTGAAGAGCAGAAGTAATGTACAATCTCCAGATAATTGCAGCTAAAATACGTTGGTTTAAACTGAACTGAACAAAAAATTATTTCACTGAACAGATTTTGATAATCATGAATTCTGTTTACAGGTTCTCATCTTGAAGTATTACTGATTTGGACACAAAAAACAAAAACTGCATGATCTTAAAATTATCTGGTTCTCTAAAATTTATATTAGCTGCTGTAAAAATCTAGTTTTCAATATCATTAAAAAATCCAAACTCACCATGAATTCTGAATGCTTTTGTCTAATCCAGTGAATAAAAGTGCAATTTTTATCAGGCATTTAATAAAGTCAGATTTTCTTTTGATATACACTTCTTCCCAAGCATCGAGTCTTGCTGGAGTATGGTAGATGGAAACCAGCAGTCCTCCAGCGCCTCATGCAAGTGAATATTCGTCACACAAGATTCTGGATAGTGAGATTCCAACTGTGCAACAGTGTACCGCACCATTGCAATCCTCGGTCAGGTTACTTGTTACAGATTACATGTGTACTTTCCAGTTCGGGACACTAGATAGGGATCAGGAACAAGAACCCAGAATGATCCAACATCTCCCTCGACTCTGGAGGCAAGGTCATCAAAGCAGCCCTCCCTATCGCTGTTCTGCCTGAAATCAGCTAAGTTGAAATAGAGCAAATCTTCAACCTTAATCGGCTTTGCTCCACTGGGCAATGCCTTTATCTGTTTGACCACATTGGGGGGAAACGCCTTTTCATCTTGGTTAAAGTTCATTGCATTTACGTCAAATTGGCTAGCAGAATTGTAAAAGCAGTGGGAAGCAGAACATTGTAAATGAAAAAAATCTCCGTCAGTGAGGCAATGACTAGAAGAGTATCGCAGGGATCTTCACTGAATACTCTGCTTTCACACTAATTATTCATCACTTGGAAGAAAATATTCTATTTTGATTTTGAAGAAAATATTGGTTTGGATACTCTTAAGCACAGTAATGGGTTTCCACATATGTCAGACACCCAGCCGACTACAAAAGAGAAAATACTTCTTGTATTATAAATTAATTCAATGCAGAAAAGTGTAAGGTGATGCATATGAGAACAGTAAATGTGCATACACGAGGAGACAGCATTTCAGTGGTCTATCAACAGAGAGAACCCAAGATGAACAGAGGTGAATGAAAATAATTGGGTGCAATTATGATCAATCAGTCACGAACATATGCAGTCAACATGAAACTACAATCACAAACAATCAAATATTGAGATACAAATAGGCAAGAGGTTGGCGACAAGTTTAAAGTTTACAAGTACTTGAGTCTAACAGCAGTTAGTGCACTAGCCTTGCAAGCGAGAGGACTCGGGTTCAATTTCTGGCCAGGGCAAAATCTTAGGCAGGTTTCCTTATATGCCTCTGTTTACCCAGCAATAAGTAGGATCCTGGTTGTTAGTGGATTGGCGGGTGGCTTTCCTGGGGTAACAATCCCTCAAAAAAAATGTAATTGTTCAATTCATGACAGTTTGTGGGACACTGTTGTGCGCAATTTGTTGCTGTGTTTCGCCCACAAAATACACAGTAAATCCACTTTACAATATATAAGCGCTTTGAGAAGTCTCAACCAAGTGAGATGTTTTAAAGCACTGATATAAGGCAATATATGAAATCCAAGGATTATTGTATATATTATAAACATTTTGAATACTATGGGCAATCTTGGGACAACTACTTTCAAAAGGACGTTAACTTGCATTTATAAAGCACCCTTAACGCAGGATTGTGTCTCACACCTCTGGGTAAGGCAGTCTATGATTCTACAACTGTGTTTCTGATAGTAGAGCAATGTGGAACAGGTAACCTACTCACAGCTCCAAAATCAGTTCTTTAGTTTTTAATGTTCTTAAGTACCGGGCATGTGATTATGTCTCCTAAATGAACATGGACATTGATGCCTCAGGTTAGCAAAGAGATTTCTTTGAGATATTCTGTAATCCGATTAAAACCCTTTCCCTCCAAAAAAATAAGTGTTAGGGACTTGTCAATTGTACGAGTACATTTTTTAGGTTTCATGCACTCATGGATTTTGTTTTATTCTGCTCTCTGGAACTCCATTCAACTCACTATCTCCATCCCTTATTTAAAGCCTGTCTCTACATGCGCTTTTGGTCATCTTTGCCCCCACTCCCCATTTCCTTCAGCTCTCACCTCCAACTCTGGTGCCCAGCCAGGATTGTTAAGCGCTTTGTAACATCCTGATGTCAAATGAGCTGTATAAATACAACTTGTATTGTTTTATCCCAATTTACCTTTCACCTCAGATCAAAGACAAATTTCTTTCAGCGCATTTGGTACATTATTGTAATAGAATTTAGATGTTTTGGAGGTGATGAAAAAAAGAGACAAACCATCTTGTCTCAAAGAATCATTTTCGATTTTTTTTACTATTAATAACATACGCACATTTTCATAATTTTTAAATATTCAGTGTTTATTTTGAATACAATGGCTTAACATGTCTGGCTTTGAACCAGAATGATCACTTAATTAATCTATTTAGGTACAGAATCAGTTTTGGAATGGGCATTCCAATATTTGGCCAGGGTATTCATATCCAATGTACAAAAAAATGTGTTTACGTTGCAACATAGCCTGTATTCAAAATGCAGGTTTGCAGTAAAAAGGAATAAGCCATCTGTCAGAGAATAAAACAGCAACAACGCTTCAGAATGGTCTCCCAACACTTTATAGCTGGTAGCTACCGAAATGCTCCACCTTCCAAATAAGAAAACAGGTCAGTGAAGATAAAGGCAAAAAGGAAGTTATTCCAACAAGAGATGGAGTACACAAGGTCTTCAACATGCTGTGCCAACCCGAACATGTATTCACACACACGTAGACACACACACAACTCCAATCAAACTCCTGTACATCATGCAGAAGAGGCATGGAGCTCAGTACTTTTGTCAGAAAATGGAGGAGAGGGAACAAGTCAAAGAATTCCCTGGATGAATCCTGCACTCCAAAATAATAATAGTAATGCTTGCAAATGGCTGGCTCAAGAGTAGTGCTTGAATTGATGCTTTTTTTTCTAGTCA